ATCGCGTGCCAAAAGCGGGGGGGAGCATGGGGGGCATTGAATTATGGGGAGCACGATCCCCCACTCCCCCCACTTTTGGCACGCAACAGCAAAAAGGTTAGCCATCACTGCACTAGACTTTTACATGAAATATACATTTATCTTACAGAGATCCTAGGTGAAAGAGACTTTTGTTGCTACTTGAAATGGAAAAAAATGGGATAAAATAATTTCTTGTCAAGCAAGCCCAAATGATATTTCTTCTGAGTCTTGTACAAAATATCCAAGAATGGATACTAACACTGAAATAAGCTTATGACAAATTCAGCAAAATATACGTGCACATTCTAGTCCACATAGTTGTGCACTTAGCCTGCTGCAATGAACCTTATTTTAATGCTGCTTCAATAGGATCCCAACTCTGATAATTTTTTTAAAAATGATGGTTCTTTTAGATGAATAGCCCTTAAGTGAGTTTTCCCCACATGCCCATATTTAAATATGTTGTTGATGATGATGATGACAACAATGATTTTTTGTCAGATTTGAGAAATTGTTTCACTTTTATATCACACAAAAACCAATACAATTCACTGCAGTTCTGCTTCCATAACCAGGAAGAACAATTATCTCAGACTTTGCATTCATTTTCCCCTGCATTTTATTTTATTCTGGACAGATCAGAATCAAAAGAGTGTAACATGCCAGATATCGCCTGTCTATAGTAGCTGCTCATATATTTTGTATTTTATTTTATATATTTCATAGCTTTTCCAATTAAAAGCCAAATAAAAAACCTATGGAGATAACTTTGTGGATACAAAATTAGGGAAGTGTCAGAATTACTCAACCCGCATACCCAGTGTCATGCCATCTTTCTTAGAATTTGATTCTGATTTTGCAAAAATGCTTTTGGTATCTATTTATTTATAATTGAACAACTGATGCCTTTGAATGTGTGGTGCTTACTCTGTGACCTGGAAATTGTTGATTTTGTTTATCAACAGGACTTTATTAAAAAAAAAATACTCATACTATTATGGACCCAATCTCAGTTTTAGATATCTATTAGTCAAATGAATTAATCAATTTTTTGTGGGTAAAAGAGTCCAGCATCAGCCTCCATATATGCTTCAAAAGTGATGGCTGTTAAATGGAAGAAGCATAACCTTCATTGGTAAAGTGCTTATCCATGGACCCCATGCAAAGCATTGTCATGGTATCGTCCACTGCACAGGTGGACTTCTGGGCATTACTTGTTTCTTCCTTGCACTTTTCAAAACTACCCATTGCTTGTCAGCGTAGATTGGAGCAAAAACACAGCCAAATGAGCTAATTCTACTTTATTGTATGATAACATTAACATAATTTTGCAAATCTGATAGAATAGAATAGAATTCTTTATTGGCCAAGTGTGATTGGACACACAAGGAATTTGTCTTGGTGCATACCCTCTTGGTGTACATAAAAGAAAAGATACATTCATTAAGAATCATAAGGTACAACACTTAATGATAGTCATAAGGAACAAATAAGCAATCAAATCATATTAGGAAACAGTCAATATGAATCTTAAGGATACCAGCAACAAGGTTACAGTCATACTCTTCTCTCTCTCTCTCTCTCTCTCTCTCTCTCTCTCTCTCTCTCTCTCTCTCTCTCTCTCTCCCTCCTTCCCTCCCTTCCCCCTAGTCTGTTTACAACCCAAGAAAGTAGGAACAGTCTCTTCTGAGCCACGTCACCCACATTCCTTCTGTGAGCTCAGCTGACTTTTATCTGACCACTCCCTTGATTGTGTCTCTTTGCCCTGTCTCCCAAGGTTATTCTCACATATCTTTACACTGCTTCAACTTTTGTTTGGTCTGAGGGAGTAATTGGTCTTTGAGTACCCAGGTTATAAAAAAATGTTCATGCATAAGGTTGAACCCAAGTTTATTAGTAGATTAGCAGACTAGATACTACTGATGAATAAATTCCCTTCAAATCAGTTCTGCTTTAACACTCCCCAATCTGCTTCTGGTGGGTTGGGGAGCCATTAAAGCAGATTTGGAGCACACAGAGCCTAATGCAGAGTTCAAGATTGCATGAGAAATTTCCACTGAATGTGTAGACATCCATATGCCTAGTGTTGTTTGAAACCAGAGAATTACTTCCTAGTGATATCTTTACCCTGATTTCCATCTGGCCCTGGATCCAAGAACCTTTCAGCCACTTTTTTCAAAATGGTGGCATACACTTTGTCTTTTCCAAGCCATCTATTGTTACTGACACAAAAGGATGCAAAATACTGTGCATGTACTTTATTTATTTATTTATTTATTTATTTATTTATTTATTTATTTATAATTCATCATGAGACCAAATGGATGTACACAGAATAAAAACAGAAGAATAGTAGCCATTAATAATGTATATTGGACTTTGGGGAGGGGCAGTTGCCCATGGTTTAATGTTTAAAATGGTTGAATCAATACTTCTAATTAAAGGCAATAAAACTAAGTGGTTAAAATATAACCAACAGTGTTTCCATATTTTCAGTTTTTCGCACTCTCCTGTGGATCGGGCAACTGGTTTAAATGTATGAAGAAGGGTAGCAAACCCTTTGCACTGCTTAGTCATTTCCCTTTTAGTGTTGAACCTACAACGGGCCACACAGTTTAGGGATTGCAACTATCGTATAGTCAGACCATGTATAATTGACACTGGATTTTATTATAGATTATAGTTGTTATTTATTATTTTATACTAGAATTTTTAAATGTATATATACTGAGTGTTTTTATTTGTTCCGATCTCTGGTCTAAGACTGTAATAATAAATTGTTGTTGTTGTTGTATGAATAATAGCATTAATACAATTGACACAGAACAGAATGAGAAAAGAGAAAAGATATGTCATCCTGCCCCTGCCATCCAAGTCTTCTAAAGGCCCTGGACGGGCAGATGGGTCCAGCAATTGCGAATCCTTTATGCAGACCATTCCATCATGCTTTATTTTTGATGACCACATCACACAAAAGAGAGTTTGATGACAGGGTATCAGTGAGGGCATGGGAAGTCTCTTCTCTTTTTAAGAAGTATAATATACTTAACAAATTAAATAAACATTCATTTGAAGTTCAAAAACTTTTAATGCCTGAAATCTCATTTAGTTTTGCTATGACCTGAAATCTTGTAAAAGAATTAAAATGTGAATACCAAATAGTGGCGATCTTCCAAGATTTTAGCCATTTAAAGAAAAAGATATTTTGGCATCCAAATGATGGGCATTGCTGGAATATAACGTTGGATCACTAATTCTACAGTATCTATTTATGCTTTCTATACTGGTACATGATTATTACAGTTGGTTGCAGTCAGCCAGATGTTCAAAGTTGATTTAGAATTTTTGTCCACCTATGAAGTCCTTTCCAAGGATCTGGAATAGGCAGATGTTATTGTTTACAATATTAAAGGTATCGTTGCAGGATGTATTTGTGACAGGTAAGCAACTTTTCTGCCAGTATTGTAGTCCTGCAGCTGCTGGCCCTGGTTGCTCAGCCCTCAGTCCTGAAACCTGTAGCCTACTTGTTACTAGATGTCCAGGAACTCCAACATCTAGTGCAATCCTTGTTGACATAATTAACCACTGATCTGGTATGGATTCTAGTAAGTTACGTCTCACTGTATTGTTTAAGGAAGAAACATTCTTTGTTTGCCCTCTATCCAGTATGACTGAAACTCTAGCATAGTTCTCATCTTCCTCAGAGCACACACTCTCCATAACCATCTCAAGATAGTGCTAAACTAGAAGATTACTCTTATTAATATGGTTCATCCCAAAGTCACAGATGTTTAGACTGTATTTGGCCTTTTTATCCACCTATTAAGTTCTTCCCAAGACCTGAGATAGGCAGATGTTGTTGTTTGATAAGCTGTCTTTTGCAGTTAACTGATGGCTGGGATTTTGTCAATGCCAATGGTATTTAGGTGGTGCTATGGATTATTTAGGATTCAACCAGAGACACCCATCATTATTGATACATTTTTTTATTTCTTTTGCCACAGTTGTTCTACTTGCAGGTTCATCAAACACTCAGCTACATGTTTAGACTGGCCTGGCATTATTTTACTGTTTATTATTATTAATTATTCTTTTTATCCTGTTTACTACGATAAATCCTTCTAACTTGCAAAAATTCCCACACCCTAAATCTTACCTCTTAAAACAGATACGTCTATACACAATTTCTTCTGAAAGAACACTTTTTGTGTGCTTTTTCTGAAGCGAAAAACTGCACTGAAACGTTCGGAGAAGTAGTAACTCAGAAAAACAAGGTACATTCTGACTGACTAGTCTGAACATTGAACCGCTTTACAGTGACACGGAACAAAATTCTCCAACAACCAGATGAGTCTGGGAAGGTTCTCCAGATGACACTTGACACGTTCCTGCTGGTTGTCCATGTCATCTGGCCTTTGGATCAGAGAGGAAGCTTGTCCAAATATATCAGACCACAGTTCCCATCAACCCAGCCAACCTGTCATGCTGGCTATACATATGTGGTGCTAGGTTGGGAAAGCTGATCCCAACCGGATCATAGAGCAGATGTTATGCATTAAACACAAACATTCTGTGTAAACACTTGGGCTGGGGACATAAAAACAAATCAGTAAGAAACCATCCACCACAAAGAACGTTTACTTCCCACTCAAAGGCATTCGCTTCTGGGGGAAAAAAATCTAATTTTATTTTAGCACACTTTAGCAACATTATCCCCAGAGACCAAGTCAACGAGGCCGTTTTCCCGAAGACTCAAGGCTCAGAGTTTAACAGTTCAACTCGGTCACCCTTCCAAGCCCTGGCTCGCCCTAACTTTTTAGTCGTCCAGAAGTTGCTTGGACTTGTCCTCCGTGTGCACAGCAACCGGGTCTGTTCCCTTCACACGCGCGCCAAAACTTCTGCCTCGTCCACACCCAGTTCCACCGGTTGAGCGCGTTCGCGCTTTCTCCAAACCGCGGGGTAACTTCCTGCCTTTGTGACAGGAGCGGGAGTTTTGCTTTCGTGCTTTTTTTTGGGGGGGGGGGTTGCCTTTCCCCACACCTTGGCACCTCGCCCCCATATTGTCTTCCCCGTCTTCGGTTCCCCCTCCACCTCTTCCTGACCCTCGAGCCCAACCTGACTCCTCCCTTCCACGCCCCCCTCTCTCTCCCCGGTTGCTCTTCTGCGCCTATGGTGGGCCACAGAGGGGCCGGGCCCCCCATCCTGACAGAGAGTGACAGCCAAGAGATTTTTGCCCTCAGTCGCCGAACTTCTCTAATGTTTAACTTGGCGCTGCTGACAACCCAGCGTATCCGGGACGGGAGGGGAGGGAGGAGGGAGGGAGGGAGAGAGCCTGAGGAAAAGGCGCCCGCCGCTGCTGTTTCTTCCCCTTTTACATATTGATTTCCCTGGAAGCCAAAGAACCGGCAGGAACTTCCCGCAATGAAGGTAAGTTACTGGGGTTTCGCCCCTCACGTCTAGCTGAAGCAGCGCGGAAAACTGCGGCGAAGGCAAGGAAGGCGACTCGGTGGCGCTCGCCTCTCTCAGCTCGAGGTTTCCCGTGGCTTTTTTGGCAAGGGGGTGGGGGGAGCTTCGCCGCTTGCTGTGTTGTTGTTTAAGGCGCCCCACGATTCAAACGTTGAAGCCTCCTTAGCCGGCCCCGCGGTGCTGCACACGTGGCGGTATCGTTTCTGAAGAAGGCGGCTTTGCTGTCAGCATGTGGAACATTTTGCACCTCGGCACTGCTGAACAACACTTAAAGTGGATAGCCTCTTCCCTTCAACAGAGCCTCCCAGCTGTATCTTTAAAAAGGCAACCAAACGTCAATCAGTAGCAAAGTTCTTAACCTGGGGTGAAATTCCAGTGGCTCAGATCGATTTTGACAAACAAATTAAAAAAAAAAGAACCGCAGGAGTGTTTTTCTCTTGCTTTGACAGGAAAACAAATTTGGAGTTCAGTTTTGTGCCCGCCCTTGGGTAGTTGCAACCCACATACTCCCGTCATCTTTGACAGGAGACAGGGGCCACAGAAATACTCCTGCCCTGTGTTGTTTGTTCACAGCATTCAAAAGTATATTTACTTTTTAAACAAGAGACAGAACATAGTACCAAAAAGAGGGTTCATTTGCATACCTATAGTATGAAGGTGAAACCTGTGTGATTTACAGCATAGGTGTTCTCATAGTGGAGAAATGGGCAGCTAACCTTATGAAATCAACACAGGTCCAGGCAAGGATCTGCAGTATTGAATGGGAGTTACCGGTTAAAAAGATTATATGTAAAATCCAATATAATTCTTGTAGAATGTCTAACTGTTGAGATTCAACCACCCCTTAGAGAAATAAATTTCATATTATAATCCTACTATTTATATCTTGATAAGAGTGGAAGGTTGTTTGTATTAAATGAGTAATCAAAGGTGGGGGGGAATCAAATAGCTAAAATCTGTTGGTAATAAATTAAATACAGTCAATTTGGGGCAGTAGTTAAGGAAGGAATTCTAAGGAACTAGAAGTTCTAAACCTGCCTTGGTGTGAAGCCAGCTGGATGACCATTGACCAGTGTTTTATTTTAGTCCTCTAAAGAAGGTAGTGATAAACCACTGCTTGAAAATTTTGCCCCCAAAAACAATAAGGACTTGCCCATGTACACTGGAAAACAACCTTATTCAAAGGAAATAATAATAATTAATAATAATAATTAATAATAATAATAATAATAATAATAATAATAATAATAATAATAATAGCAATAAATATAACTGGAGAACAATCCTGATAAGTGGTGAGGGTGTTTTTTAAAAATATGGCACAAGGCCTGTTGATAATCCAGCTATATTTATCTTTATTCTCCATGAAAAACAAGCTTTTTTTTTCAATTTATCCTTTGAATATTCTGGCTTCAAGGCTAATTTTATACAAAATGATTGGTAGGATGATTGAAGGAAGTTTTTATTCACAGATGCTTTTCAAATGGATAAAACCTAATTAGTACTGTGAATTCAAATAATATTTTAACATAAAATTAAAATAAACCACTCATCTGAGAGACAAGAAACCTGTTCTATTTGTATCATATGCAGATGAGCGGGTTACTACTTTGTAATGTCATGGCTGTGACTTGGAGAAATGAAATTCCTGGAGTTTTTTATTAGGAAAACTATTGTTTTGTTTTGAGGGGGAGGGGGAGGAAATTTTGGAGGGAAATTGAATTTAGTTTTAGCACCCTTTATGAATATACAGTCATTTGGTTACCTATGAAATGCATGACAGATGGTTTGGTTTGTTCATAAAAGTATGTTTGATGTACCGTATAAAATTAAAAAATATGATTTATTCACTCAATAAATATAATTTTATTTTTTGAATATACTTTAAAAAAATTTAATATCTGTTACAACTGGTATTACAAAGTGATATATTGTAAGAAATCTAGTACTGTATCTCTTTTATGCCTTTGTAGGAAAAGGAGGCAAGTTCAGAGTACTGAAAATACAGGAAACCACCAATGTTGCAGAAAAAGAAAATGGTGCATTCTGCACATATATCAAAAGTATTAATTTTTAGATAATGAGAAAGAGAGAAGCACAGACCAAAAAACCACATTTTGTCACATGAAAGATTTTCTAACCAGTTTCCTTTTTCTGAACATAAGGTGGTATACTTACCAACAGTTTCTAGTTTTTCTGATCCTTTATTTTTGACTTTACAGTAGACTTCTAAAAGATGTCTTGTCTTGATGCAGACTACTCTTTCACATGTTAAGTTAGTTAAACTCAGAAATAGTGCATCTTCAAAAAGACCTCCACATTATAATCATTCTATAAAAAATTATGCAATGAAATTTTAGAAATAGGATGTTGTAGTAAATAAGCCCTTGGCTTAGTCAAGAAGATATTTCCCAGATTCTAACATACATTTAACTTCTTCATTTGTTTCTTTCCAGACGATAGTAAAGTGCTTATTAGGGCTTCTTGCACTTGGAGTTATCATTACAGTCATAGTTGTTCCAGTAGTTTTGCTAACAAGGGAAGGTAAGTTTAATCATTACTTCCTATTTTAGTATTGTAAACGATTTTTGAAACTCAGTTTTCTAAACCTGGTGGAATAAAACTCAGTTTTATTTAAAACTCCTCCTGGATATGCAGCTGTCCTTGGAGGAACATCTGACGGCTGTAACCAGGGGGACCTTTTGTCAGGTTCACCTGATTCGCCAGTTGCGGCCCTTTCTTGATCGGGATTCCCTGTGCACAGTCACTCACGCCCTCGTCACCTCTCGCCTTGACTATTGCAACGCTCTCTACATGGGGCTCCCCTTGAGGAGCACCCGGAGGCTCCAGCTGGTCCAGAACGCAGCAGCGCGGGTAGTGATGGGAGCAGCATGGCGCTCCCATGTAACACCGCTCCTGCGCGAGCTGCACTGGCTCCCAGTTGTCTTCTGGGTGCGCTTCAAGGTGTTGGTTATCATCTTTAAAGCGCTCCATGGCATAGGGCCTAGCTATCTTCGAGACCGCCTGCTGCTACCAACGACCTCCCATCGACCCGTGCGCTCCCACAGAGAGGGCCTCCTCGGGGTGCCATCAGCCAGACAATGTAGGCTGGTGACCCCCAGGGGGAGAGCCTTCTCTGTGGGGGCTCCCACCCTCTGGAATCAGCTCCCCCCAGAGATAAGGAGAATCCAAGACCTCAGTGCCTTCCGTCGCGCCCTTAAAACCCATTTATTTAAACAAGCTGGGCTGGCTTAAGATGAAATTTTTAACTGTTTTTAAATGTTTTAAACGTTTTTAATTGGTAAATGAGTTTTAATTGGGCCAAATTTATATATCTTTTAATTGTTTTTAATATTTGTTCTGCATGTTTTTTAATCTGGCTGTACACCGCCCTGAGTCCTCAGGGAGAAGGGCGGTATAGAAATCCAATATAAAATAAAAATAAAATAAATAAATAAAGTTTTATTCCACCAGGCAGGCCTGGCCTAATCTTTTCCCTCTTTTTAATTATGCAAATTTTAATCGGTTTTTAAATGATTGGGGTGTTTTAATCTGTCTGGGCCAAATTGTTTAATTCGATTTTACTTTGTTTTTAAATTTTGTATCTATGTATTTTTACTGTTTGGCTGTTCACCGCCCTGAGTCCTTCGGGAGTAGGGCGGTATATAAATCAAATAAAGTAAGTAAATAAGTAAGTAAAGCCTTCTGCCAGAGCCTCTTTATCTAAAACAGAGCAAAAAAATAAATAAATCTGATGTTATATAAATCAGGGTTGTACAAACTTTGAAAATAAATTTTTTTCTTCCAGAAAATAATTCAAATAATTCAGCATCTCCCTGCTACTTATTAAAGCAGCCTACTTTTTTAGTTTCTCTGTAAATCTGAAAAGGGGCAGCTGTTTCAATAAATGATTGGATGTAATGCTACTCCTTTAAAATTGTTTTGCCACAGGCGCCCCCGACACAAATGACATTGAGCTGGCCATGGCCACCCCGGCCCCCAAGGTTGAACACAACCCTGATGTGGTCCTCAATGAAATTGAGTTTGACACCCTTGCTCTATGCTTAAACTGGAAAGAGGCTGAAATTCAGGCTCAGTTCTTCAGAAATTTTGCTCTGAGCATAGGGTCTGGAGAATCAGTTTGGTCGTCACCGGGCTTGAAACCAGGAGACTGTCAGTTCTAATCCCACCTGAGGCATGAAAGCCAGATGGGTGATTTAAAGCCAGTCATTTCTCTAAGCCAAACTCACCTCAAGTTTTATTGTTGTGGGGAAAATAGGAGCAAGGTATTAAATATTTTTACTGACTTTAGCTATTTGTAAAAATAATAAAGGTGGGATTCAACTGAATAAAATATCATGCTAAAATGAATCCACTTGTAGAATAAATTTGGTCTCATTTTTGTTATATCAGATGAAATTGGTTATTCATTACTGTATGCTTTAGCTTAAATTAGTTCAGTAGCTATTTAGTAGAATTTGTATAACGTTACGCTTATTAAACCTCAAATCCTGAATGAATTTGTGGTCAATGAACACTCAGAGTTCCTGCGTGTTTTAGGATTTATTATCCTTGTGAGTTGTAGAATTTATCGCTTATGATGAGAATGTGAGGATCTGCAAAGGAATCAGTGAAACATTGTAACTGTTATCAGTGAAATAACTTCTTACAGAGTGGAGCCTTCTTTTTTGTGTTTTATATGTGAAACTGTAACAGAAACTTGGCATATAGAAAAAAGAGGAAGCTTTCTCTTTATAGAAAAACAACCATTTCACCAGGAACAATTACACTGAATTATTTCAATGTTTGAACAATGACTTAATTCCTCTTGTAGTGGATAAATATTTCCATACAAAGCGTAAAGTAAAATAACCCTCAAAATTATGCTGTGTGCATGACGTAAATATATAGTATACAAATATACTGATGCATATTATTCCAATTACTGGTTACAGAATACTGTAATTTCAGGAATGTTGTCATTCTCTTACAGTTCACAGACTTAGATTTATATACCGTTTCGCAGTGCTTTACAGCCCTCTTTAAGCGGTTTACAGAGTCAGCATATTTCTCCCAATAGTCTGGGTCCTCATTTTACCCACCTCAGAAGGATGGAAGGCTGAATCATCCTTGAGCCAATGAGAATCAAACTGCCAAATTGCAGGCAGCTGGCAGTCAGCAGAAGTACCCCACAATACTGCATTCTAACCACTGTGGCACCATGGCTCTTAACGATAGTTTGTTCATGTTGGCATCAACAAATTTAAATTACTTAGTGGTTTCTTTCTGGAAAATTCAGAACACCTAATTTTTTTAAAAAAGGAATCCAGTATACCACTAACTAAATTCCAGAAATCATTCTTTTAAATCCAAAACAAATTGTGTTAATGAAAAGTTTATATTCAAAAATAGAAATATGTTAAATTATAATCCTTCAAAGAAAAATAGTAAATGCAGATTTTTTTAGGAAATTGCAGTGAACTTATTTTTTTATATAATTCTATAATCTTGAATATTGGCTACAACTTTTAAGTATGCAGCAAACTGTATTTCTAAAAGATAAAATCTGGGTACAACACAGCAAAGAAGATAATTTTATGTAACTGGAAAGAAAGAAACTCAATTTCTTGATTCAAGGAATAGATCTAAAATACAAGTTTGTTATTTATCTTTGAAAAGTCTTTGCATTCTACAGATGAAAAAAAATGTAATATTTGCTGTATTGTCTAAAATCCTATACCGCTCTCTGTGGGTATTATATGGATTTTTTTTTTCTTTTGTCACATTTAGAAAATGACAAAAGAACCACACTACACTTGGTGTAGTGGTTAAAGTGCTGGCCTTGCAACCAGGAAGCTGTGAGTTGTAGTCCTGCCTTAGCCAGCTGGGTAACTTTGGACCAGTTGCTCTCTCATCTCAACCCACCTCACAAGGTTGTTGTTGTAGAGAAAAATAGGAGGTGGGAATACCATAGGTATGTTCACTGCATTGAGTTGACCAGAATATATATTTAAAGGCAGGATAAAAATCTAATAAGTTTATTTTAATCATTGTAATATATTTAGGGCTTGTTCCACTATGTAATTACTATTTATCTTTTTTTCTCTATTGGTAGAGTAAGCCTTTACTTATTTATTTTACTTTTTAAATTAATTTTAATAAAAAGCAAACAAATAGGAAAACAAATATTTTAATTAATTTTCAAAGTGCTTTGGGAGGAAATAAGTAGAAAATAATTAATTTTAAAATCTAGTCTGGAGAAAATTCTGGGAGATTCTCTCTTGTAACAAGAGGTTTGTCTGTTTGACCATTGCATTCTGTATTTGGTAATCAATGATCTGCCAGAAACAAAAGCTGTCCTGAACACCTAGCTCTGTTATCAGAAAGGACTTTGATATTTTAAGTTTGAGGTTATAACTGCACCCTTTATCTCTAATTAGATTGAATCAATCTTCACAGAATATAAATTTCTGGCTGTTAGTTACTCATACTATGTTCCTAAAATTAGGAGGAATCTGACAGCAGCTTTTTCAATTAACATGTTATTAAAAGGCATAAGCTTTTGTGAACTGCATCTTTTTTTCTAGATTTTTAAAACCCCACCTTTATTATTTTTATAAGTAACTCAAGGGGGTGAATCAGTAGTGGGTTGTCCCCGGTTCAGTCAGGTTCTATAGAACTGGTAGTAAAACCAGCGGGAGGCTCCGCCCACCCACCACGACATCATCATGGGTGATCTGTGCATGCGCAGAAGCACGCACGCTCCCATTGCAAACTGGTAATAAAGGTACCCACCCCTGGGGTGAACATACCTAATACTCCTTCCTCCTATTTTCCCTGAAACAACAAGGTTGTTGCTGTGAGGTGAGTTAGGCTGAGGGAGAGCGACTGGCTTAAAGCCTTCATGAATAAGAAGGAACTGGAACTCACAGTGTCCTGGTTTCTGGCCTTCTATTTATTTCTTAAATAGAAATTAAAATTTGTTTGTTTTTTATCTTGCCTTTATTATTTTTATAAATAACTCAAGGCAGCAAACATAATTAATATTCCTTCCTCCTTAAGTGTGTTAGTCAGAAACCAGACTTCTTTTGATTTTTGGCTACTACACCTTTTCTTCTTCCCTATTATTTCTAGTAAGTCTGTTTCTCCCTATTGTAAAATCTTTTTTTTTTTTGCACTTTAGCGTTTTATCTCCCTATATATTATACATAGCATCATTCATTACAATAACGTACCATTCAGTGTTCTAATCTAGCGTAGCATATTGTGCACCATCACTTCTCTCTGGCCATTTTATGAGAGATGGGATTCCCTCTGTACATAGTGAATCTAGAGAATTCAGATAATTCCCCATAGTAGTTAAAATCAAAACTCCAAGTTTGTTTCTTTTTTTAATTGATCTGTTGCATATCCTTTTTGAAACCACACATAATTAAAACCAGAGATACTCTTTATATTTTCAGTTGGATAGGCCTATTTTTTAAAAAAATTCTGTGAGAATGTAAAACTACTTTTTACAAATAATTGGTCCTGACTACATTAGTTAGGGGTGGGTGGGTGCAATGGCTCAGCAGTTAAAAAGCTGAGCTCGTCAGCTGGAAAGTTGACAACCAGGATTCAAGATTTGAGGGCCCCACCTAGCAAGTTGAAAGCATGAAAATGCTACTAGATAAATGGGTACCACTTCACTGGGAAGGTAACAGTGTTCATGTTTCACCACACCAGAGATGGGTTTCAACAGGTTCTGACTAGTTCTGGAAAACCGGTAGCAGAAATTTTGAGTAGTTCGGAGAACCGGTAGTAAAAATTCTGACTGGCCCCACCCCCATCTATTCTCTGCCTCCTGAGTCCCACCTGATTGGGAAGAAATGGGGATTTTGCAGTATCCTTTCCATGCCACGCCCACCAAGCCATGCCACGCCCACCAAGCCATGCCATGCTCACCAAGCCACACCCACAGAACTGGTAATAAAAAAAAATTGAAACCCACCACTGCACCACATGCTCTGCCCTGCTGCATGATTTCATGCTGGCCACATGCCCACAGAAACATTTTCGGACAACACCCTCAGCTAAGAAATGGAGATGAGTACCTCCCCCCAGAGTCAGACATGACTGGATAAGGAAACTTTTACCTTTATTGATATCATCTAGTAAGGCCTTTTGGAGAATATGGATCTTATCTTGTTTACCATATATATAGTGTCTCAATAAAAGTCTAATAAAATCTCTTATCTGAAAAGCTAGAAACTTTGACAGCTGATGATATTTTATTAGACTTTTATTGAGATACTAAAGTTGAACTTTGGACTTTAATTATGCCTGTTTTTTAATGATTGATGATTGATGACTGATGACACAGATGCATTTCTCAATTAATCATGCCAATAAGCCATGGACTTTGTTGCCTATACATGATGTTTTGAATTTATAGGCAACTTTGTTTCTCAGAGCTCATGTCTACAGCTGGCTTCCTCACACTTTTTTTCCTGCAATGCCTATTTATTTTGTTGTATTCTTTCTTGTCCTTTTAATAGAATTGGATTTTATTTTATTTTTTAAATTACTTATCAACTGAGAATTAAAAACATAGAAGAATGGCAGAATGTAATATTACAATTCTTATTTTATGTATGCACAAATAACATGGTACAATAAAAACTATTATTAGATCCATACAATCAATGAAGCTGCTAATTTTTAGCAAAGCCTTTCATGGAAAATTGAGTGAAAAGGCACTTTCAGATTGATAAAACAGCATAAAGAGATTCTTTAGCAAAAAGAAATGAAATGCTTTATTATTTCTGGAAACATCAAACAGAAGAAAAATAATTCAGTATTGCTGGGGGATAAGAGTTACAATAATAAGCAAAGAAATTGTGGAATAGAATCATTAAAGGACGCAAAAGGATGGACAGAATGAAATGTGAATGACAAAAATTAAAATAATTTTTAATTTATTTTAAATAATTGAATTATTAAATTGTCACACAGCAAGTTGTCCTATGGTGAGTTGGCTATGGTGAGTTGTCTTGTGGCAAATTGGCCATGGTGAGTTGGCCACAGCAAGTTAGCTGTGGTAAGTTGGCCATTGTGAGTTGGCTGTGGTAAGTTGGCCATTGTGGGTTGGCTGCAGAGAGTTGCCTGGGTTGAGTTGTCCCATTCTGCTACAACAGGGTGATAGCATCCTTCAAGATGATCCTTACTTTTTTTTCCCCCTCTCTTTCTTCTTTTGTTAACAGATTCCGATATCCGTAGAAAATTTTCTTTGGAGGATTATTTGAGTGGTGATTTTCAGTACAAATCATATAATGTGCGGTGGATGTCAGGTAATGATCCTAAACTTTTGGAATGCCTTAGAGTGGTTTCATTTTTTTACAAATATATGTTGGATAAAGCGTGAGAGTTGTGTCCAACCATACAATCTTTGGTCTCACAAGATTTGTTTATACAGTCAAAAGTGTACGTTCTTTCTTAATGACACATATGTCAGTGATCAGCTAACTGATCACTAACGTGACTAATTACATACAAAATTCATCTGAGAAATATTTGAGACAATTGAACACTGTTTTACCTCTCATTGGCAGCCGACAGCCTCGTGATGAGTTTTTATCCAATTTTGATTGTATTCCTTTTTTCAGTGAGAAGCCCTAACAACAGTGATATATACTTTTATTATACACTGAACAGCGTTTGAAGATTATCCCGAAATTGTAGTCGTTTCTGGCATTTGAGAGTTGTTTCAACAATGGGACCCCTATACTGTAGTCAGTACATTGCTTATGTCAGCGTTCCAAGTAATGCACTCATAGAAAACAGAACAGAACAGAACTATATGATCCTCTCTTCCAAATAGAACTGTTTCAACTTCAGCGCTGTTTGATTATGGGTTATGGGTTATAGGTTTGTTCCTTCTGGGTGATTGGAAAAGCAGGAAAAACCCAGAGGCAGGTTTTTTTTTTTCCATGATTCTTTGAAGCACTCTTCCCCTTGAGATCTGTGTAGCATCCATCTGCTTAACAATCTGGAAAGCGATGAAAACCTGGCAGTTCCACCAACTACCCAGTTTTGCAACTGGGGCTGGGTGGAGGGGAGGGTAACTTTTAATAATTTAGTCATGATTATTATAAGCTCAGTTCCCAGGGTTTAACTTATTGTTAAAATGTACTGTTTTAGATACTTAATTTTATGTGAGCTTCCTAAAACCTGTTTGAAGTGGCAGGGTGTAAATGTGGTAAGTAAATCAGTCTACGATGGTTATAGACTAAGCCAGCATCCCTAAATACTTCCTTTACTGTAGATGGGATGTGTTCTAGCCAACTAATTAAATCATTTTTGCCCCATCATCCCCACTTCATTTTTCATAAACTCTACTTCATAAACATGGAGTGCCAGAATTCATTTATGTAGATTATTCTCCAACCACATAATAATCAATTTAAAAATAAAGTATTCTCTAACTCGTTTGAATTCATACATGATAAAGAGACTCTTATGACAATGAACTTAATAAATAATGCAGGATTTTTTTTTATTGACTTTGTGTGTAGGGGGAGAAGGTTTTGTTTATTGGCACTGAATGTTTTCCTATTTTTCTTCCCTTTTTAGATCATGAGTATGTCTACAAAAATCAGAACGATGTTTTCCTGTACAACATTGATGATGGAAAAGAGTCTTTAATCTTATCAAATGACACATTAGTACGTTTTTTTAAAAAAAATACTACTTCATCAGTTCAAAAGTCCTCTGTACTGAATATTTCCTTCCTTAAACATCAGTGTTTTATTACTAATTTGTTTTCTTTATCTACAGGACACTTACAATAGTTCTGAGGCAATATTGTCACCTGACAAAAAATTTGCTCTTCTGCGATACAATTATGAGAAGGTAGCAATGATATTATACTTTTATACTCCACTTGGTATATTTGTATTGATAAAAATAGTTTTAATCTTTTACAACAGGGATATACAAACTTGGCAAATTTAAGACTTGCAGACTTCAACTCCCAGAATTTCTCAGCTAGGCTGCTGAGGTATTCTGGGAGTTGAAGTCCACAAGTCTTAAATTTGCCAAGTTTGGAGACCCTGCTTTACAATATGGATTCACTTTGGCATTTAGATAGGTGAGGACTTGAAAGGCCCTTTGTGGTTTTTAAAATCTAGCCAGTTCTCCACATTGCACCAATTTCTTTTCAATGATTTTACTTTAATATTTATCTTGTATTTAATTTCTCATTTATTCCTGACTTCTTGACCACCAACACAGTGGTTTTTGTAAACAATAACAAATTACTTACTCCATGCAGGTAGTCCTCAACTTACAGCCACTTGGTTAGTGATCATTCAAAGTTACAGTGGTACTGAAAAAAGTGACGTGTGACTGTTTTTCACACTTGCAACCTGTTGCAAGCATGCTCAAGGTCACCTGATCAAAATTTGGCCTCTTGGCCACTGGCCTGTATTCATGATGGTTGCAGTGTCCCGGGTCATATGATCAGTTTTTCTGACTTTCTGACAGGCAAAATCAATGGGGAAGCACACTTAATAACTGTCTTACTAATTTAATAACTGCAATGATTCACTCAACAACTGTGGTAAGAAAGATCGTAAAATGGGCAAAATTCAGCTAACAATTGTTGTGCTTAGAAATGGTTATTTTGGGCTCAATTGTGATCTTACGTTGAGGAGTACCTGTACTTTGGTGTTTTACAGGACTTTAGGACTGCAGGCATGAGAGTGAGACAGTATTGAAGAAAAAAAATCCTGGAGAAATATTAAAGATATAAGTACACAGAATACTGAAATTATAAGTATAAATGAAGGATTGTCACATCAGCTATCCCTATAGAATGTAAATGATATAAAGTCTTTTCTGAAGGCATCCTGTTTGTGTAAGATACCTCTACAGAGTGCTTTCCTCGGGGGAATATTTTTAGAAATAATTAGAGCTTTTGTTCCCAACTGTGTTTAACCTTATCTAAATACAAGTTGGGAAAACAAGCCAATTGTGATTTTCATAATTTTACATTAAAATGGCTGAGGATTTTGAGGGCTCCAAAGGCTTACTTGGGGATTAGAGATGAAGCAAATAATGAAGAAAGCCTGCTAACTATTAGTATTGTTTTGGTTTGATTCCTTACAGGGAGTTTTGAAGTTAATCTTGACTTCAGGGTACCACCATAGTTTAGGAGTTAGATAACAGTGATTTGTTCTTAATTGAAAACAAAAGCAATTCTCAGGGCACCTTTAGATGACAGCTTTGCAAAGGTTCAGAAGACACTTTGAACTTGACCAATATATTGCTTTACTTGAAAAGGGAACAGGGCTGGTTATCCCTTTTGGACTAATGCAGTGCTGAGAAATGTATTTCCTCTTTGGTTGAAATTTTTGCTTTGCTGATTTCTGAATTTAAGTCAACCGTAATTCCCGCTTCTCACCCAGTAGTTCAACATCATGTGCTTGTGAGTAGTTCCTGAGAATATAGTAGTTCCCTTACTCCAGCCACCAGGACTCCATGAAGCCATGGATATTAGGGTTGTACTGTGAACTAGATTCAAAAGGAAAACAATGGATTCGAATACTTGTAACTACATACATCACTCCTTAAATCATGTGTTAAAGCTGCAGCTTTTTCTCACTGATAGATACAAGGTGTACATCATACATACTTCAAATCACATTTTCCTCTTTGAATCCAGAACATCATACAACTGTAGTGGTTGTATCTTTTGAAAATCAAAACAAAAACACAGATATAGTGATACCTCGGGACTCATCATTAATTCATTCCAGGAAGTGCAATGAGAACCAAAAATGATAAGCATCAAACAAATTTTTCCCATGAGGAATAATATAGAGCGTCACAAGGTAGCCAACACCAGTAAATCTAGTTTATGCATTGAGTAGCAACCAAATGATGACAACCAGGACAAAATTTTCACATCAAAATGCATTGAGTACCAAATTTGATGAGTTTCAAAGCAGTTGTGTACCAAGGTACCCTCTGTACCATTGAATTTGCCTCAACTCTTAGTCTGCAAGGACAAATGTCTTCCATCTTAGCCTATGGCTGGTTGGAGTCCACAACTCCCAAGAATATTCCAGTGAGGTACCTGATCCAATCCATCCACCATAATCATTATCTATTGGAAAGAATGTTGCAAAATGCTGACATCACCTTCACCTAATATTTTCATCTATGTTTTAAATGCAATGAAGGAACAACCGTTTTGTAGCCAGATTCTTGTGGCAGCAACTGCCCATAATATTCTTGAAACAGTGTCACAAATAGATATTGAAAAATAAGATTGTGTGTGTGGGAGTGGTAACTATTTATTTGCCTTCTTGTAAACCTGAAGTAAGGAGATTTTTCCTGCTCTGAGGTCTGTGGTAGTTCAGGAAAGAGTGCCACTCATTTCATATCACTGATTCTGTTGGTGAGTCTTCATGTTATCAGAATTCCAAGATTGACAAAAAAAATATAGTTGTGATTTAGCTACACATTGCTTTGTGGAGAACTGGTAAAAGGGATCAGAGTAGCGTAGAAATGCCCTCAATGTGTTTTTGATAAGGGAAAAGACAGCCCTTAATCTTGAGGGGGGGGGTCTTCATATCATAATAAATTATAGTTTAGCAGTATAGTTAAATATTATATGCTATATAGTAGCCATATACTAGGACTAATATTTATTATTTGAAATTTTTATTTCTAGAAAGTATCAAGAGGTCTGAGTTAAAGTTGAATTTTGTCTATCACGATCTTATGATCATTAAATGTAATATGGGTAAAATTCATGCAAACAGGAGTTTTAAAAAAATACTAACTTTGAACTACACTCCTGTTTTTTAAGTGTTTTTCTTTATATGCAAATATTGTTTTGCAGGTGTGGAGGCACTCATACACGGCATCATACCATATCTATGATCTAAATAACAGGTCAGTAACTGTATTGTTTTTTCGTGATATTTCAATGGCTTACATTATATTGATAATTTTATTTATGTTTCTTCACAGAACAATAATAACTGAGAACCCACTTCCTACAACTATCCAGTATATATCATGGTCACCTGTTGGACACAAACTGGTTAGTAAAATACATAGGGTTTTGCTTCCTTATAACTAAGTATTCCTTGCAACACCAATTCAGATATTCCTGTGCACCATTTCTATAATCCAAATTGCACCATACATGCAACAGAAATTTCTGAAAAACGTAGAGGGGGAAATGTAAGAGGGATAGGAATGTTCCAGAATATTTTACATGAGGACTTCAGTTCATTTAACCAGACTAAATATTAAATATACAAAGAACTGGTGCTATATATATTTAACTTTACAGTAAATGCATAGAGACCCAGTTCAGAGTGAGGCCTCTTGGGAGTGGGGGAGCTTAATTCTCTATTGACTCCTTATTCTAAAAGTCATCAAGTACACATTTTTTAAAATCAGCAAATTGTGAAAGCATAAATCTGATTTCCCAGCTTAATCAGAGTGAATTTGATCTGAATTCAGCTTTAATTCACAAACTTTCTAGGTTTAAAAAAATGGTAAGATAGTTGCATGCTAAATTTTTATCATGTGGTTTAGCTCCCAATGGCATGACATATTGACAGAAAAAAATCCACTAGCAACTGGTTGAATGAGTAATAGAAGGAGAGGGAAGAAGAGACCTGATCTTGGAAGTATAGAATCTTATATCTAAACATCATGCTGCAAAGTTATTTCATAATACTTTAAGGGGCATATATGCAAGAAATTAATGGAAAGAGAACCAATATTTTAATGTAAAGGAAATTGGATAAAACAATGCTAAGATTTCTCGGGATTAATTAGACAAAATGCAACATTCTAGGCAGGGATGAAATCCAACAGGTTCTAACAGGTTCTGGAGAACTGGTAGCAAAAATTTTGAGCAGTTTGGAGAACCGGTAGAGGAAATTTTGAGTAGTTTGGAGAACTGACAAATACCACCTCTGGTTGGCCCCAGAGTGGGGTGGGAATGGGGATTTTGCAATATCCTTCCCCCAGGATTAGGGTGGGAATGGAGATTTTGCAGTATCCTTCCCCTGCCACGCCCACCAAGCCATACCCACAGAACCGGTAGTAAAAAAAAATTGGATTTCACCACTGATTCTAGGTCTTTCTTGTAAACCATTCTGATTTTTTCTTTATTCTTACAATAACAAGGGTAAAAGAAATTCAATTTCCTGCATTTAGATGGGTGAGAAGAATTTTACAATATAAAAAAGAATCTCCACTTTAGACTTGCAGGAAATGAAAGTAAATGTAATTTGTTTGATATAAAGTAAATGTTATAAAATCATTTTCTGATGGTAAATACTGTAATGTTTGTTTATGGCAGGCTTATGTTTACCAGAATAATATTCATGTGAAAACAACACCAGCCGCCAGTGCTATTGAAATCACTCAGAATGGAGCCGAAAACAAAATTTTAAATGGATTAGCAGACTGGGTATATGAAGGTAACTGTCATTGAAAGGGGAAAAAAAACTTTTAAGAGCAACTTAATTGCCATCACATACAGAAATAAAATATTAGGTTTATGCAAAGTTTCTTTTGAATCCAGTGCTTGGAATGAAGGGGGGAGGGGCAACTCCATCTTTGAGTTACATAACCCTTTCTAGCTTTCAAAAAACCCTTCAGAAACAATCTCAGTGAAAGTGTTATCTGGACAGGGATGAAGTAGCTTCAGAAAACCAAGAAAGAGTCTTAGAAAAATTGATACTTTTCAGAAATATGGCTGCAAAGCAGCAAATCCAGCACAGTGGTGTTCTCTATTTGGGGAAGTACCCTTCCAAATGGCTTATGAAATATGCCTTGGCTTGGTAATAGCTGTACTTTGGTAATAATTGTGGATTGGCCTAGATAGATATATTAAACAAGCCTTAGTCTCATATTTTACCTCCTCCTCTTTTCTCTTTCATTCACACATGATTGAAAGGGTAGAGATTCAGAAGTATATATGCTTCCAGGAAGTAGAAAATCACTTCCTTCATCTTGTTTTTTTTTTTTCCTGGGGTAATACAACAACACAATTCAGAATCAAACAGAAGTATTGCCATCAAAGTAGGTGACAAAAAGAAATATATGTATGGTAAACAGCAGGTGAACTTTTAATACTATTTTTATTAAATGTTTAACGAAGTAAAATCATAAAAGGAAATAAAGATAATAAGAATAGTAAATTGTGAAAAAAGAAAAGAAAGATGATTAAAGAAGCAGCTTCCAATCTTATTGATAGTGGTTATAGATACATTTTTACTTTGCTTCTCTAAAGTTACATCCTTACCGCAGCTGAATGTTTCACAAGGAATACAGTGTGGTTGTTGTTATTATTATTATTACAATATTATCCATAGTTTGTATTGCATATACATAATCAAGAGATAAAATGTAACATTGTTACCATTTTTTGAGTGAAATATGCTTCCTTCTAAATTTTCTATAAAATAATCCACATAAATTGACCAAAATATTTCATAGAACGAGTATCATAGTATATGAAGATTGATTCTTCTTCTACCGATAGAAAAGAATATTTGTATCTCAAGGTTAAACTGTGAGGTCCTTGGTGCTTTCTGAGCTTGGTTGTTTTCTTGCAGACATTTCATTACCAAACTAGATTGCATCATCAGTGCACAGTTCCACTTCTAGCTTATGTGATCAAGCATATTCATCAAATAGGGATACTATCAAATATCCCCAACCACTAACACCAAGAATAAAACACCGAACATAGATGGAAACACTTCTTCCATCTAATATAGGGTATTAAATAAATAGCTAGCAGTAGACATTTTACCATGTTGCTCCTAAAGAGAGAAGAACTGCTTTTATATTTTTGAAGATCAGAACCTGATGTCCATTTTTAATGATCCTCTAGCTCTGACCATCTCCCATGAAGTCAAGATCAGAGAAAAGAACACCCAGTTGTGCATATAATCTCTCAATTGAAGATTATATGAACAGCTGGTTGTAATATTTTTTTCTGTCCTTAATTTCATGAGAAATGGTCAGAGCTACAGGACCATTAAAATGGATTATTGAATTGAAATCATCCTGAAAGGCCAAAAATGCACAAGATTTTTTTTAAAAAAAGTTAATTTAAGCCACTCTATTTAAACAATATAAAATAACCGGTTCTGGTCTCAATGGATATCACAGCAGATTTAATAAATAAGAAAGTAAACTGTGTGGCATCTTAAAAGTTTCTTTTATAAATTCAAACTGGACAATTTGCAGTGGCCTAAAATTTAGAGAATTATAAATTATTTTGGGTCTGAATCAGTGGGTTTCAAATTTTTTTACTACCAGTTCTGTGGGTGTGGCTTGGTGGGCGCGGCTTGGTGGGTGGCAGGGGAAGGATATTGTAAAACCTCCATTCCCTCCCGATCAGCTGGGACTTGGGAGGCAGAGAATAGATGGGGGGCAGGGCCAGTCAAAATTTCCACTACCGGTTCTCCAGAACTGGTCAGAACCTGCTGAAACCCACCTCTGGTTTGAGGGCATCTCCAATAGACAGGAAGTTCAGGTTAGCACTAGTGCAATTGTGTGACATATGTAACCTGTCTAGACCAAGAATCAGAAAATGAAACATGATTCCTATTTAAAGCATTGAACCAAACTGTTGCATTCCAATTACCGTTCCCATTTATTCCTCAAGGTCTCTTGGAAAAATTCATCATCTTGCGTTTTTTTCGGATGATTTCCTGTTAGGTATTCTGCCTCACAGAAAGTGGCAGAAACTTGAATCCAACTTCTTAGGCCTACTGTATTTGTTGAGAGAATTGGCACATCATCCAGATACTAGAGGAAGATTATTGCTTTACCCGTTGTTATTTTTTACAATTAGATAGCTTTTTATAATATTTTTATAGAAGTTAAATAGAAGGAAAGACAGTGCATATCTTTGCTTAATCCCCACTGAATTAAGATTTCACTAGATATCCTATCTAAGCTGCATTAAAGTATTTTCATGTTATATTTAATAGCAACAGCTGTAGTTTTCCAAACTCTTCCACCGTCTGTCTCTAGGGACAGAACCAAAAGCTGATTTTTAAATCACAAAGATTACCCAAAGGATATTTGCAGAATAGTTGAATATTCCTTTGCTAAATTTGTTGTTGTTAGTTGCGAAGTTCTGTCGGACCCATCGTGACCCCATGGACAACGTTCCTCCAGGCTTTCCTGTCCTCTACCATCCTCTGGAGTCCATTTAAGCTCACACCGATTGCTTCAGTGATTCCATCCAGTCACCTCATTCTCTGTTGTCCCCTTCTTCTTTTGCCCTCAAACTTTCCCAGCATTAGTGAGTCCTTCCTTCTCATTAGGTGGCCAAAGTTTTCAGTTTCATCTTCAGGATCTGGCCTTCTAAAGAGCAGTCAGGGTTGATCTCCTCTAGGACTGACCGGTTTGATTGCCTTGCAATCCAAGGGACTCGAGGAGTCTTCTCCAGCACCATAATTCAAAGGCCTCAATTCTTTGGCACTCAGCCTTCCTTATGGTCCAACTTTCTCCTTTGCTAAATGTTGACCCCTAAAGGGTTTCTTACATAACATGTTTTGTAATGTTCAAAAATTAATGGAGGAATTCTTAGTAGTCATTTTATATTTCTTTTATGTTAGAACTATGATAGAATTACAGGCAAGTTGGGTAGAATACAAGTTAATAAACAAATAAATAAATATTCCAATTCTGTCTGGACTATATGTATCCCACAGTGAATAGAGATCTGCATCAGTTTACAAACTTATTATTTTCCCCTTATTAAGTTCCTCTACTGCAATTAAGCTGTTTTTAGCTATAGTCCAAGCACAGTTGCTATACGGGGCTCAAATAGGACCCTATAACAGAATGATCATCGCAGAAAGGATTCAAACAAAATTTCTAAGTATCTTCCAGGTTATCTGCTGTGTTCCAAATCAGTACTTCAGTGAGAAGCAGGAATCAGTAAGCTTGAATCTATTATCTGATAAATATCTTTATCTATTGGTTAAAACTACATCACAACCCTAGTGGATTGACTCATGTAATATTGGCTGACAACTACAAACCTTCATGGGAAACAGCAATTCCAAAGAAACTGAGCCACGATGGTTTCTTCAGTGATGCCATCTTAACCTTAGAGTCAGTCAAGTTAGAGTCAGCTCAAATTACGACAAAGGATCTTAGATATAGAAGGTCATGTAGAAATTGCTGCTTTCTCACATAATATAATTGCAGATAAACAAAGTTTAGTGACTAATCCAATCTCTTACTTATATCACAGTTCCTAAATTCAGGAGTGCTTTATCTTTGGTTTGGTTTACAATTGTCCTGGGAAGGGAAATATAAGAAAACTCCATATGAAACCCAGTACTGCCCTTGTGATATGAGTACCATAGAAATCAGAGTTCATGTTCTTCTGTATTGCTGCCAGATGATTACCCCTTTTTTATTTAAATTTCTAGGGCAATCTGATAATCTTTATTTGCAATATCTATTAAACAATCAAGATAAATTTATTTCTATAAAAGTGGCAGAATTTTATTACATTATGTGTAAATTTTGCCTACAAATAGTTGCCAGTAATTCTTTTTGCTAGAAGATAGTTTTGTGTTTTCGTTTTCTTGAATATACTTTTATTGGTCAATGACCAAAATAATGTTTTTGTCTGTCTGTCTGTTTGCAAATCCAGTGCATTGAAAATCCTCCAAGCTATTAGAAAGTGGATCCATATATTTTATTATATTTCTGTATGAATTATCAACCATTTCTTTTGATTCATTAAACAAGCTTCTTGCATACAGGTGTTGCTCACTCTACTTTGTATTAATATAGTTTTTAGTAATGAATGATTGAAAATGAAAAAATGTTGTATAAACGTACTTTTCTTCATAACGAAATTAGGAAGTCTTCAACATTTATATTTTTATTATCACCTCCAAGACAGCCCATAGTAATTGCGCTTATTAAAGTGCCTTTTTAGACATAAAATATTCAGTGAATGTTTAATTTGTACTTGTATATTTTCTTCCAGAGGAATACTAAATTTGGGTACATAATTGGAAAGTTATGTTTCTTTACATTTAATTATTGTTCATTATAGATGATATATTTGAAAATGTTATAGTATAAACAAGAAACAATTATCCGTAATATTGAAAGCTAAGATAAATCAAAATACTATAATTTGCATCATTATTAAAGCCAGATTTTTATAACAGAATATTTCCATAGCACCGTATTTCTATAAAAAGGCATTTCTGAGAGTTGACTTACTGTTTTGGTTGCAAAACATTGCAAGTAATCTGAATTTTAGTAACCAAAGTTCCATCTGAAATTATACATGCAAGTTATTATGAACAATGTTTCAGAGGAAAAAGCCAACTTAGCAACTATTGCTTCAAAAGAACACATTTGCATCTTTTTCAGAGGAAATGTTTGGCACCCATTCTTCTCTGTGGTGGTCTCCAAATGGCAGTTTTTTGGCGTTTGCAGAGATTAATGACACGGAAGTTCCTGTTATTGAGTATTCGTTTTATTCAGAAGATACACTGCAATATCCAAAGACCATTAAAATCCCATATCCTAAGGTCTGTGTTATTTATTAAACATAGTTGTTGAGTGGTTTGATTAAGAGAATAGTCACATTTAATCATTTGCTGCTAACAAAAATATTGTCTGTCTCTCCTCAACAGCTTGCTGTGATTACTGTGACTTAAGTCAATAGCATCTGGCAGCTCTGAAGTATTCTATTATCTCTAGGGAAACAGGAAATGAAAGCAATTGAAGGCTATGGAATATTTGAGTTTCTAAAATGATTTGTTGAAGAGCACTTGGGTGATCAATGGAAAAAGGAACACTTCAACTCAATGAGCTACATAGCAAATAAGGGACTAAGGACCATTAGGTCTGACATGAACAGGGAGGAGCGGGCTAGGTTACAGGCATTTCTCCTTTGGCAGACAGATTTCCAGGCTGATATATTTGCCAGGGCAGATGTGAATTATTCTGTTTTTTTTTTTAATGTATGTAATAGAACTATACTTGGTTTCAGCTTTGTCAAACTTTAGAAACTGGTATGCTCTCAATAGTTCTAGGGCACAGGTCGCCACATCACATTGCTGTCACATGATGTTTCGCCATGTTTTTCCCATCCGTGGAGCTGGGGTGGGTGTGGCTGCGTATGACGCATCCGGCCCATGGGCCACCAGTTTGACACCCCTGTTCTAGGGTCTTTGCAGAGGCTGTTTTCTCTTATGCTACATAGACTGATCATGTGGCTGTAATATCCCATGGCCAGTCCAGGAAGTGATGGGGAAAAAGCCTCAATGTAGAGGCTGTGATATTGCTTTAAGTGTGTTAGAATTTTATTTATTTATTTTATTTTATTTCCAATTTATATACCGCCCTTCTCCCTGAGGACTCAGGGCGGTGTACAGCCAGAATTAAGAACATGAAATACAAATATTAAAAAACAATTAATATATATATATAAATTTGGCCCAAAAATTAAAAATCACAAACCAATTTTCAGGGGTTCAGCAAAGCAAGGAAAAATGTCCCAGCTTGTCATGCATTTTAAAAAGTAAATGTAACTTCTTTTCTGGAGTAGAATGAATACGAGTGGGATTTCATTCCTGCTGTCATTCATCATGGTATTGAACTTCTAAAGTAGGTCACCCATATTCACTTTCAGCAGAAGCTTCTTAAAATCTCTAGTGGGACATGAATCTGGACATATGTTGTTCTGCTTATTTCTCAGAATCATGTAACTGAAAATATCTGACATACCCTAAAGTTATTTCTGGAAGTCAGAAAGGCAGTACAATTGTTATAGGGCAAAATTAAATTAGTTTTTATGCATATTTGCAATTGATTCAACTTGGTCCTGATGAAATTACTTCCATCATCAAGATTAAAGCTATGGTTTGTTTCAAGAGGAAACAGTTGTTGATCAAAGAGTAGTTCTGAGAGGAATTGTGATTGAATTGTAACATAGGAGGAAGATGGTTAAGCATTCCCTTGATCAGTACTTCAATTAGATTTGGCGACACAATGTACTTTTCAATAGAAAATACAAACAGAGCTGTTGGTATCCCTCTTGTCATTGTCAGATCATGACCTAATTATTATGAGACTCTCTGGTGCCACTATCCACTGCAAGGAATATGGACTCATTAGATTGGTCCATCCCCAGCAACTGATGGAGCTGGAGAAGTTTCAGAAAGAGCCTGGGATTGTCCCTCCTGGTCTGCTAGATGATCCATCTGAAGTCTTGGTTGCTGCTTGGAATAAGGGGGCAGCTGAGACTTTGGTTTAGATTGCATTCCCTGTATTTTACAGAGAAGTTGGGGGAGATGAAATGTGAAAAGAAACATCTAGAGCAGCAGCACCCAATCTTTTGGGCACCAGGGACCGTTTTTGTGGGAAAAGTTTTTTCCTCAGACTAGAGGGGGCGTGGTTTTGTGGGTTGCCTGCATCACACAGATGGGGCTTCAGTTGTTTGCATGGGCCGGTTGTTGGAATGCCACGGACCGGTGCCAGTCCATGGACTGGGGGTTGGGGACCCCTGATCTAGAGTGCCACTAAATTCAACAAAGAAGGAACTTGACTGAATATGGGCTAGAGTCACTAGGTCCCTCAAAGCTTTGTTATGCCAGCATCCCTGGGGACCCCCTAGAGACAGGTGAACCAGTGAGGTGGCCCCATTAACACCCGTTATTATTCTTTGTTTTAGCTCTCTTCATATAGCTTTTTAAAAACGCTTTTTAATAATTGAATATTAATAGTTTTAGATATTTGTGAGATGGGCAGCAATATAAATTAAATAAATAAATAGTTGAAAGATATGCTCATTGTTGATTTTTTTTCAGAGATTAAAAATTATAAATTAATAATGGGCCAGGAATAATGTATGAAATTCTAATTTATTTTGAGAGGTATGTTTAGTGTTATTAGTGCTATTTTATTATAGCACTATAGTGCTATAGTGCTATAGAGGTATGTTTAGTGTTATTTAGTGCTATTTTCAGTTAATCTGAAAATAGCAAATCATTTTCTATAATAGAAATTTTTACTAAGTCATGTGATCAGGAGTTAATGTTACATTGATCTCTAAAAGAATAATTGTTCACAAAATATGGGTGGTCATAATGTATCCTGAATTGACTGCTTTTGCTAATGTAGAAAAAATACATTATTTTTATAAGCATTTAGTACTGGCTTTTACACTTTTAGCTATGAACCTCTATAAAACACAAATTAATTTTTAAAAACATATATACATAATTTTCTTACAATTTATGTTGAGCTTTAAAAGCGAACTTCTTTGTAATTTTCTAATTAACATTGCCATTTGGACATAATCTGTTTTAAGATGTTTTAATTTTATCCAGGCAGGTGCTATCAATCCAACAATAAAACTATTTGTTGTGGATATTCTAGACCTTCCCTCAAAAAATATCTCAGAAATTGTTGCACCAGCTAGTATAATATCAGGGTAAGTCCAAGTAATATGCTTTGTTCTGGTGAATGTTGTAGATTATTATTGTAATTATTTTATAATTATTGAGTAATAATATGATTTTTAAAAACATTCTTTTATTGCATTAAAAATCCTGTGGAGAGTTTATTTGTTAATACTTGATTTTTTTTTTAATGTATACGCAGCTGGATCATTCATTCTTGTTTTTAATCATATTTATTAAAACTGCCCAACTCCAAGAAGATTCTGGGTGGCAAATAATAGGATATACACATAATTGTCCAAATTAAAACACTGTAAACAAATCTTTATATCATAGTGACATAACTTGCATATGTGAAGAGACATATACAAATTGAATTACTGGAGAAGTGTATTTGATGTTGTAAAATGTAAAGGATATTATATGCAATGTCAGAACCCCACATAAGACAGGATGAGCCACATCAGCTTCTATATCTGAACATATTCTTCAAACATTAGAAACGTACAAATACTAATATAAATATACTCTCTCTTATTCATATACATACACACACACACACACGGACACATGGACAGGAAGGGAGGAGGCAGGGGTGAAATCCAGCAGGTTCTGACAGGTTCTGGAGAACCGGTAGCGGAAATTTTGAGGAGTTCAGAGAACCGGTAGCGGAAATTTTGAGGAGTTGGGAGAACCGGCAAATACCACCTCTGGCTGACTCCAGAGTGGGGTGGGAATGGAGATTTTGCAATATCCTTCTCCCAGGAGTGGGGAGAGAATGGAGATTTTGCAGTATCCTTCCCTTGCCATGCCCACCAAGCCACACCATGCCCACCAAGCCACGCCCACAGAACTGGTAGTAAAAATAATTGGATTTCACTACTGGGAGGAGGTACCCTAGCTAGGTTGGAAGAAGTCAAATAATTATTTGTAGATAAATCTCAATTTTCCAAGCCACACTTCTGACTTTTATATTCTGTGGATCATGGTATCAGATTTTAGTTTAAATTCTCCAACTCTATTTTATCTTGTCCTACCCTGTGCTCCTCCATTTCTAGTCATAGAACTGTAGTTTCTTATTCTATAGAACTGCAATTTGAATTATACATATACAGGTAGTCTTCAAGTTATGACCACAAATGAGCCCAAAATTCATGTTGCTAAATGAGACATTTGTTAAGTGAGTTTTGCTCCATTTTGCAAACTTTCTTGCCAAAGTTGTTAAATGAATCATTGCAATGGTTAAGTTAGTTAACGTGGTTGTTAAATGAATCTGGCTTCCCCATTGACTTTGCTTGTCAGAAGGTCGCAGAAGGTGTTCCTGTGACCCCAGGACACTGCAACCGTCATAAATATGAAACAGTTGCTAAGTGTCTGAATTTTGATCAGGTGACTATGAGGATGCGACAACAGTCATAAGTGTGAGAAACGATCATAAGCCACATTTTTCAGTGCCGTTATAACTTCAAACGGTCACTGAGTGAAATGTTGTGAGCCGAAGACTACCTGTATAGTACCTATTGTAACAGTATGTTGAATATTGAATGGCATATAAATGATAAGCATTTAGGTATAGAATTCAAGTGATGGACCTGGACTCTGATTGGGCAATTCCGACTGAGATGACAGGGGCAGGTCTTAGTCCTATTGTGTGGGATGAATTTGAGCCTGTGACTCCTGAGGAAGTGGACAAGGCTGTAGGAACGATGAGTTCCTCCACTTGTTTGTTGGACCCGTGCCCCTCCTGGCTGGTTTTGGCCAGCAGGGAGGTGACACGAGGTTAACGCGTCCTTGAGGGAAGGGTCCTTCCCGCAACCATTAAAGGAAGCAATTGTAAGGCCCCTCCTCAAGAAGCCTTCCCTGGATCCAGCAGAATTAAAGAACTTTCGTCCAGTCTCCAACCTACCCTTTGTGGGAAAGGTTGTAGAGAAGGTGGTGGCACTTCAGCTCCTACAGTCATTGGATGAAACGGATTATCTAGACCCTTTTCAGTCTGGCTTCAGGCCTGGCTACAGCACGGAAACTGCTTTGGTCACACTGATGGATTATCTCTGGTGAGCCCGAGATGGGGGTCATTCCTCTATCTTGGTGCTACTTGACCTCTCAGCAGCTTTCGATACCATTGACCATGGTATCCTTCTAGGACAACTAAGGGAGTTGGGAGTGGGAGACACCGTGTTACAGTGGTTCTCCTATCTCTCTGGTTGGTCACAGTTGGTGTTGGCAGGAGGACAGAGGTCAACCCCTAGACCCCTCGTTTGCAGGGTGCCTCAGGGCTCGGTCCTCTCTCCTCTCCTATTTAACATCTACATGAAACCACTGGGTGAGATCATCTGATGATACGGGGTAGGGTATCAACAATATGCTGATGATACCCAGCTGTATATCTCCACCCCGCATCAGTTCAGTGAAGCGGTGGATGTGATGTGCCGGTGCCTGGAGGCTGTGAGGGTCTGGATGGGAGTCAACAGGCTCAGACTTAACCCAGACAAGACTGAGTGGCTGTGAGTATTGCCTCCTAAAGACTATGTTGACTGTCCATCCTTGGTTCTGGGGGGGGGAGAAATTGTCCCCCTCAGAACAGGCTCTCAATTTGGGTGTCCTCCTAGACTCACAGCTAAGATTAGAGCAACATCTGGCAGCTGTAGCTAGGGGGACCTTTGCACAGGTTTGCCTGGTGCACCAATTGCGACCCTACTTGGATCAGGAGGCTCTCCTCACAGTCACTCATGTCCTTGTCACCTCACAGTTAGATTATTGCAACGCGCTCTACATGGGGCTACCCTTGAAGAGTGTTCGGAGACTACAGTTGGTCCAGAATGCAGCTGCGCGAGCTGTCATGGGTGCACCTAGATACACCCACATTACACTAATTTTCTGCGAGCTGCACTGGCTCCCTATTGGTCTCCGGGCACAATTCAAGGTGTTGGTTATTACCTTTAAAGCCCTACATGGCTCAGGGCCAGGCTATTTTCGAGACTGCCTTCTACTGCATAGCTTCCAGCAACCAGTAAGATCCCACAGAGTTAATCTCCTCTGGGTCCCGTCAGCTAAACAATGCCGTCTGGCGGGCCCGCAGCGGAGGGCCTTCTCTGTGGCTGCCCCAGCTCTCTGGAACCAGTTACCTCCTGAGATCCAGACTACCCCCACCCTATTGGCCTTCCAGAAAGCGGTGAAGACCTGGCTTTTCCAGCAGGCCTGGGGCCGTTGATCTCGCTGTTGCAATCTTGCGAGACCCGGCCATGAATGGTGTGCATGGGCTTTTAATGTTTTTAAAATGTTTTTATAATGTTTTTAATAATTTTTCTGTTCATTGTTCACATTATTTTTGCTGTAAGCTGCCCAGAGTCCCTTGGGAGTTGGGCGGCATAGAATTGCGATAAATTAAGTTAAATTAAATTAAAACTTATATAGAAAAATGCTGAAATCTCTCTCTCTCTCTCTCTCTCTCTCTCTCTCTCTCTCTCTCTCTCTCTCAATCTCCAGGGATCACTACTTGAGTGTTGTAACATGGGTGACTGATGAACGAATCTGTCTGCAGTGGCTTAGAAGGATTCAAAACTTTTCTATGCTCACCATCTGTGACTACTCTGGTGGTGTATGGCAGTGCCCAAAGGTATGAATGGTGATGGATTGTAGCAATAGCAATATCATTTAGACTTATATACCACTTCACAGTGCTTTACAGCTCTCTCTAAGAGTCAGCCCATTGCCCCAACAATCTGGGTCCTTATTTTTACTAACCTCGGAAGGATGGAAGGCTGAGTCAACCTTGAGCCAGTGAGACCCGAACTGCCAAACTGCTGGCAGCTGGTGATCAGCAGAAGTAGTCTGCAATACTGCATTCTAACCACAGCGCCATCACACTCTTAGAGGTTGAAGGGTGAAGATTAGCTTGACAGTGCAAACAGACAATTATATCCTTCTTTTTGTTAGTGGGGAGTGCATGGTAGGTGGGGTAAATAATGGAGTTGGTGAGAGAAGCTTGGGGAAACCTGAGTTAGGAACGGGAGAGGCAGATTTGTGGAGTCCTTGGTGTTCTCTGAGCTTGGTTGTTTTCTTGCAGTTGTTTCATTACCCAACTACCATAGTTAACATCATCACTGTTACTACCTGATGATGCTACCTACTAATGAAATACCTGCAAGAAAACAACCAAGCTCAGAAATTATCAAGAACCCCATGGTTCAACCCTGCACTACAAATATTCTCTTCCAGAGGCAGATTTCCACAGTAATCAGCAATTTAGGCTAGTTGCCAGTATAGCCCTATCTGGACCATGAAGACCTGGCAGCAGAGACTTTCACCCTCATCCCCTAGACTCTGTAACATGAGCTGCATGGGCCTTCCTTTGAAAACAACTTGGGAACTTTGGTTGGTACAAAATGTAATGGCCAAGATATTAGCAGGTAAGCACCTGCTGTAATCCTGATTCTCTGATTGCTTCATTGGATATGATTAAGTTTCTGAGTTGAATTGAGAATGCTGGTTTCTGCATCCACGGTGGTGCAGTGGTTAGAGTGCAGTACTGCAGGCTGTGAACTGCCTGCAATATGGCAGTTCAAATCTCACCAAACTCAAGGTTGACTCAGCCTTCCATCCTTCCAAGGTGGGTAAAATGAGGACCCAGATTGTTGGGGACCATAGGCTGACTCTTTAAAACCGCTTAGAGAGGGCTGTAAAGTACTATGAAGCAGTATGTAAGTCTAAGTGCTATTGCTATTTAAAAAACATAGCTTGTTTCCTGTCTACTTAAGGGACTGCCTCCTTCATATACCTAATGGGTCCTGCATGCAAAATGGGTCTGTTTAAAATAGGGATTATTTTTTTTTTGCTTTAATTTATATGCTGCCCTTCTCCGGAGACTCAGGGCGGCTTACAATGCATTAAGCAATAGCCTTCATACTTTTGTATATTTATACAAAGTCAGCTTATTGCCCCCACAATCTGGGTCCTCATTTCACCTACCTTTGAAAGGATGGAAGGCTGAGTCAACCTTGAGCCTGGTGAGATTTGAACTTGCAGTAATTGCAAGCAGCAGATGTTAATCTGTTAATAACAGTGCTTTAGTCCACTGTACTACAGGCTCCTTCCACTGTACTACAGGTTCCTTTGGTGGTGGTTGTTTTTTATAATCCTGTTTATAAGATTTTAAGATGATTGGGTTGCTGATATTTATTTGGGTAGGTTTTATGTGCTTATATACATGTTTTTGTTTCGGTATTGTAATTCCCTAAGTCTTGGGAGCAGGGTAGTGAATCAATCAATCAATAAATAAAAAATCCTACTTGCAGAAAATTCTGTAAATATTGACATTAATCTTGAAAGAGAGAAGAGCTAGACTAACAGACAGAGGTTACTAAAACAATGAAAATCTTTCTCTTTTTTCTTCAGGAAAGGGAGCATATTGAAGAAAGTAAAACTGGCTGGGTTGGCAGAGTAAGTACATTGATTTAAGGATCAACTTATATGTTGCATGGCAGCCAAGCATCCTTTTCTGCAGAGAGAGCACAACTAAAGAGATATTTTGCTTACAGTGAGGAAATGAAGCATTTCATTGTAGCTGCCAGCTGTTTTCTATCAGAAACATCTATACTCTTTCCTTCCTTGCCAGATACCAGCCCCATATTAGTAAGATAAAGATAAGCTTGTTAGAAATATTTGTTAGCATGTGTATATATGGGTTTCAGGGCAGGAAAAACAATTGGTTGAGTAGAATTGGGTCTAGGACTTTTCGTCTCCTACCCTTGGCTGCCCCTCTCATTCCTTCTCCTAACAAGCGTTTGGCTTTCCTAAAGCTATTTATTGGCAGTTAGCTGATTGGTTGATGGCTAACTCAGGCAGCAAAAAACCCAGGACAAACCCTCCTTTGGTGAATCGGCCACACCGAAGTGCGTGGGATGGAGGGGCCATGGCCCATTACCCAGGGCGAATGAGTGGGGGCATATCAGCCGAGGAGGAAAGTCAGAGGAGAATTGCCTGAGGAGGAACGCTGGGGGAGAAGGAAGCTCCATTCCGAGTAGAATTAGACCTTCTATTTCCATGTTGTTTCTTAAAAGCACTTGGCCAACAAGCTATCTGGACAATACTGTATGTTACTATTTTCTAATGCATAATTTAATATATAGACACAAAGTTAGCTCTTAGTAACTGTTCTTTTACAAGTGAAATGTTGAGGATTTTTTTCAAGGCCATTTAGAATTGCAATTAAAACCCCACCCCCTGATGTGTGAAATACATTGGCTTCTCAACTTTTTAATTAACCCTGTAACAAAGTCTTCATTATAGTTTTCGTTATACTTTGTAGGTCATATTGAACCCACCTCTCTCTTGCATTTCTGTCTTGCAATCCCTAATTTTTAAAAAGGATGTGTGATATGTAATGTCATTGCAGTCTTTTCTCATTCTCTTCAAGCAGTAGTCAAAGACCCAAACATTGTTGAAGATGTTGTCATGTTACAGGTAGTTTTAATCAGTTGTTACAAGAGGACACGAAAATATGAAACTTGATAGCAACTCATTTTTTTGTGGGATATCATCATATCCATTTGTCTTTAGAGGAATGGAACTATTGATAGGACAATCAAATTAATGTAAATTATGATTTGTTGATGTGGTTATTCATCCTGACATTGGCAATTTGTTCTGCTCTGATTCAGCATAGCACATCAAACATTGATATTTCTGATTTCATCTTTAAGATTATATTTTGGTGGTTGACATATTTAGTTAAAAAGTAGTAAATTGCTTCAATATAATAAGTGGAATCTGGCATTTTCATATCTAATGCCTACAATGAGTAGTTGTTCACATTTTGGGGACATACAGGTAGTCCTCGGCTTACAAACATTTGTTTAGTGACAGTCTGAAGTTACAATGGCACTGAAAAAAGTGACTAATGAAAATTTCCCACGCTTATAACCATTACAGCATCCCCATGGTCATGTGATCAAAATTCAGATGCTTGGCAACTGGCATCTGATCACCTTTCTGACAAGCAAAGTGCATGGGGAAACCAGAGTCACCTAACAACCCAGTGGTGAAATGTAAAATGTGTTACTACGGTTCTCTGGGCCTGGCTTGGGGGGGGGGGAGTAATGCGACTGGGTGGGCGTGATCAAATTTTTTTTTTTACTTTTAAAACTATTTCTTCAACAACCTCTTCGGCTGAAGAGGTTGTAAAAAAAATGCCTTTAAAAGCCTCTGACGATCCCAGCTGAGTTGCCTGATTGTCAGAGGTTTTTAAAAGCATTTTTTTCTGCAACCTCTTTGGTCCTAAGAGGTTGTAGAAAAAATGCTTTTAAAAGCCTCTGACGATCCCAGCTGAGCCGTGCGATCATCAGAGGCTTTTTAAAAAAACTTTTAAAAGCATTTTTTTCAGCCGAAGTGGTTGTAGAAAAAATGCTTTTAAAAATAAATAAAAAAAGGCTCTGATGATCGCACGGCTCAGCTGGGCATGGGGTGTGTGTGTGCAGGGATTTTTGGTACTGGTTCTCCGAACCACCCGCAGCCATCACTATCAGATCGGGCGATCCGGTCCGAACCAGGAGCATTTCACCCCTGTAACAACCATGTAATTAACAATGCAGTGATTAACTTAACAACTGTGGCAAGAAAAGTAATAAAATGGGACAAAACTTACTTAACAGCTGTCTTGCTTAGCAACAGAAACTTTGGGTTCAATTGTGGTTTCCCCCATTGACTTTGCTTGTCGTAAACCAGCTGAGAAAGATCATGATCAAATGTCATCGGGACAGTGCAACGGTCATAAATACATGCCAGTTGCCAAGGACCTGAATTTTGATCATGTGACCATGGGGACGCTGCAATGGTTGTAAGTGTGAAAACCAATCATAAGTCACTTATTTCAGTGCTATTGCAACTTTGAATGGTCACTAAACGAATGGTTATAAATCAAGGTTGTAAAATGAATAGTTGCAAATCTATAGTATGGTCAGTAGATTGCCAGGTTCTGGTTCCAAAAGGGGAACACGTTTATAGGAACAAGGAGTTGTACAATAACATCACTAAATCTATATGTAAGAATAATGCTTTTTTCCCTTTATCATTTGCTTAAAAGAGTCATGATTTTTTAAAAAGCATCAAATATAGACCTACCCTGCAAAATAATGGAAGTTAGTATCTTCTGCTGTCAAACCTGATCAGAAAAGAAAGACCTTAATATAACTAACACATTTTAGCTCTACACGATAAAATCTCAGGAAGCAACGTGATAAGCAGATTGTGTATGGTGTGAACAGTGAAGCAAAAAGAAAGGAAAGAAAAAAAAGGAGGAGTATAAATCTACTATAAAAATAGGAAAAAATAGGTTAACATTATTATTGTCATGCTTGTTCCACTATGGTTTATATGTTCAAATAAGTCAGTTGCATCCAGAAAATACAAGGTATCTTATTACTCTATAAGACAGACTACCTGAAACACTCCTTTTTTAAAATGTCCCTGAAAATTTGACTGGGATAGAATCAAAAATGGGTAGAGACAGGAATAAAATAATTTAGATGGACATGGATCTCTCTTCGTGTTCTTGAGCTACATCTCCAACTCCCATCAATACTAGCCAACTGGTGGAAATGGAAGCTAGAATGCTTATTTTTTACAAGAAAAAACTTCAAAAAAATTTTTTAGAAAGACAAAACAAAACTAAACAAAACATTTAAAAATGTGCATTAAAAAAGACAAAAACACAAATACACATATTGTTCCCCCAGTTGAATACTGATAGATGTATTGCAACAATAATAGTATGGCATTTTTGAAGAAAGACATTCCAAAATATTTTTTTATTCAGTTATAATTCATCTCTTTACTAAGTATTTAAGATTAAGTGTATATGACACGCTAAATATTGTTGTTGAATGTAATAAATAAGAACAAACTCTATTCCAAGAATGAACTATTGTTCCAACAGCTCTGATAAGATAACAGTGAGCAATTTGTTCACTGGTGATTTTATGAGGATGTTAATGGCTTTTTAAAGGTAATTGCTTGACATGTTTTGTGGAATTATTCAAATGGGGTATTAGAGTTCTACTGTACTGAAATAAATTTGTTGTCTGCAGTAAATTATGAAGCGTGAAAAAAGATGGTTTCTACTCACTTGGAATATTTAATGAGATTAAATTCAAGTAATTTAAATTCAAGTAACTTCAAGTAAGATAGTGACACTGATTGCAAAAATGTTCTCTGCATTTATCAACAAAATAGCTTTCCTCAGGCAAAATATCTTCCAGAAAAAAATCTGTCAATTCCTAAAAGTTTTCTCAAAGACAAACTTAAAACTGTTGACATAGATGCACTTGAAGATTACTTACATGCTCTAAAGCAGGGGTGTCAAACTCAATTTCATTGAGTGCTACATCAAGGTTGTGTTTGACTTTGAGGGGGCTGGTGTGTGTGGCCAGGGTGGGCATGATGGCCTAAGCAGTTTGCCAGTGAAAATGGGTTTCCAAGCTCCATTTTGGCTGTAACGGCCTCCTGAAACCTTCTGCCAGCTAAAACAGAGCTCAGGAGAGCCACAGACTGCCCTCCCAAGCTCAGTTTTCCCTGGCAGAAGCACTGCAGGCCAGTCCTTCACTGTTTCCAGGATGGCCCCGCAGGCCTGATTTAAGCACCCCGCAGGACGGATCCAGTCCCTGGGCCTTGAGTTTGACACCCCTGCTCTAAGAATTGGCATGCTGACTCAAGTTGGTGCCCTAATCGATATAGATGTGTCAAGAGGATGACAAATACAAAACTAGTTTCAATCGAGAAGTTTATTTACACCTCTGGTAGAACAAGAATATGTCAGTGATTGTGGTTAGCACTAATTTCCCGAATGCATATTTTGTTGAGACAGTTTAAGTCCAGTTCATATTAAAAAAAAAAAAGAAAGCAGAAAGAGCTCTTCATCTCACCATATCAACTTGAAATCCTAACAATTATTCTCTTGGTAAAGAATATCAAACACTAAATGAAATGAAAAATAAGAGATAAATTAGTTTAATATCGATTTGAGCAGCCATTTAGCACTACAGCTTGCACATCACTCTGAATGTCAAAGAATGTCTGAATTTGAATATTTTGATTAACAACTAGAATCACCTTAAGAAGTGGGGGCTGTAAAAGGACCAAATAATAGGACTTCGTTTCGGGATTCAAGTTATTTCTTTGAAATAGGGAACTGCCCTCAATAGATATTGCATTAGAATTTAATTTCTTTTGTCTTTCTGTGTTAAAAGACTTATTCTCTTTTACTTCCATTTTTGTGGACATTTGGACATTTTGCGCAATATCAGATTGAGCTGAAGATTTTTTTTTTCTTTGTTAATTTCTTGGGAGCTGATATGTAACTTGCAAATCTTCCCATTCCTGAGATAAAAATATATTTTTGAGACTTTTTAAAAAAAATCTATGTGATTTTGTTGTTTATGTATTCATTTATTTTTATTCAAATTTATATATTTGTAATTACAAATATTCATTTGTAAATGAACTGTCTTCCAAATTGGAGGGAAAAGACTAAACCCTAATCATGTCTTTATGCTACAAAACCATTTTATGTTGCATTATAGAAATTTTTTACTTTTTACTTATCAGAAAGCTGTAAGACAATGGGAGCCTAATCTTCAGAGATCATGGTTAGGGGAGTGATAGGTGGATCCTTGTGGAATAGATGGTGGTAACAGAGAGGCAGAAGACTTCAGGCAGGGTCTTTTTGGTGTTATCTAGACCAAGAATTTCCTCTGAATGAGGAAATTCGAAATCCTAAATCTTTCACATAGTCTCATTTATGCCACTTCAAATTTAATTTAATTTCTTTTCTTTTCTTTCTTTCTTTCTTTCTTTCTTTCTTTCTTTCTTTCTTTCTTTCTTTCTTTCTTTTTTTTTTTTTTTTTTTTGTAAATAGGTTTCTACAAATAACAAATTCATTTCCATGAGATTTGTTAATATGCTATTTAGAAAATTTGACTTAAAATCTAACATTAATAAATATAATTAATGATTGACAGTACCAAAATCTAGCAATTTAACAACAGTAACGATTTAAAAATTAGAAAAAGTGACAATTTCTTCACATAGTACAGTGTACTTTCGGCAGATATAAAAATATTGAACAACTAGCTGTTTGTGCCAAAAAAGGCTGAAGATCTCTGATCCAACTCTCCAAGATTTCTGTTAAATGTACGGAATTGCAGAATAATATTAAATCAATGATATATTCAGTTTACAGAAGAGCTACTGGACAAGCCAGTCTTCTCAGCAGAGTAACATAAGTAAACATGCTCCGTATAAAACAGTTGAACTGAATCTTTTGATTAAATTTCAGTAGTTGTGAACTTTCAGGTATCAGAACTTGAGAACACAAAATTGGGCAGCGCTAGAATGTTGGCATTTCTTTGCTTCCTTCAAACTATTTATTGTTTTGTATTGTCTGTATGTCAACAAATTATAAATTATGATTTCCTTTTTAATTAATTACCTTCCTTATATTACAAAAACAACAAAAGAAAATAAAAAGTACTGAAAAATGAATTGTTAAAGAGCCAAGTAATTGCAATTCGCTAATGTTTCATATTGAAGAGTCCATATTGAAGAGTCCATCTGTAAAAACAGCCAATGCCACAGTAGAAACCTATTGCTTTTGTTTCATTTATTTTGAAAATATTCGGAATAACTTGACCTTTGAGAAATAATTTTTTTTTAATCCCTAAAAAAATGTGATAGTCAATGTATTTTTCTGAGAGGTTAAAATTAATAAACCTATGAAATAGAATACTTGCTAACCATTATATCTATAAACATGTTATTGTTCTTTTTCGCAGTTTCAGCCATCAGAACCTTTCTTTGCTTCTGACAAAATTAGCTACTACAAAATTATCAGTGATTCACAAGGATATGAACATATTCACTACACCGATAGCGCAGGCGTAAGTAATGATTATTTGTGCATGTTTCTTTATGTTTGTGCAGGGTTGTTCATAAGGAGGGGCAAAGAGAGGCAAATGTTGATACCTGTGTGATGTCATCACTCAGTGCCATGGCTTATGTACTTGCATAAGACCATAATGGCAGCATTTTTTGTGATAATGTCATTACATACATATTATCATTTTGGAGTTATCAGAGTTTGCTGCAGACATTGTTTTCAATTTTGGAAACGACTCTGGCTGTGGCATTTTTGTTTGTTTGTTTGTTTCTCAGTTGCCACACAGATGGGGGGAGGATAGGAGGTTTGGAATGCTACTCTACGATGTGTTAGAGACACAACACAGGCAGAGGCTGGTAGAGCCAAGGTCATTGCTCAGTATGAGCAAGAAAGGAGTAGAGTGCCTGAAGAGCCTGCCGTTTACCCAGTTGGGCAATGTGACCTGTGACATTTGGGCAGTGGTGGGATTCAAATAATTTAACAACCGGTTCTCTGTCCTAATGACCAGTTGGGTAGGTGTGTCTTGGCGGTCATGTGACTGTGGGGGTGGCCAGTTCAACATCACTCAGGTCGATGGGCGCTTTGCCTTAGCTGCTACAATGTAACAAGGGTTAACCAGAGAGGCAGTTTCTGTAAGCAGGGCAATAAAGATTAGCCTAGAAACAACACCAGAATATTTCCTTCCTGCCTTCCTTACAGGATTAGCCCTGTAAAGTGGAAAAAAACAAAATAAGATTTCTTCCAACAACCAGTTCTCCGAACTGCTTAGAAAGTTAACAACCGGTTCTCCCAAATAGGTCCGAACTGGCTGAATCCCACCCCTGCATTTGGGGGGAGGGAATCATGTACTTTTTTAATTATACTGAACCACGGGAAATATTTAGAGTTGGCTTCACATTTGAATGTGCTGATATGATGTACCCAATAAAGAGAATCTTTGAGAAGAGTTCCAGTCTCAAAGTTCTAACTTGGTTGGGATTGTTACTCGGTACCATGACAATTGTTTTATGCATGTATGTGTAACACAGTGGTAGATTGCTACCGGTTCTCTCCGGTTCTTGTGAACAGGTAGTGGAAATTTTGAGTAGTTTGGAGAACCGGTAAATACCACCTCTGCCTGGCCCTGCCCCCAATCTATTCGCTGCTTCCCGAGTCCCAGCTGATCAACTAGAAGGAAAAAATCAGGGCTCACTTGACAAAGAAGAAAAAAAAACACCAAGACACTGTAGCTTTAAATTGAGAAGCCAAGAAGCTTCCCAACTGATCGGCTAGAACTGATCCACTCCTTGTAAACCGCTCGATGGTGGTAGATTGGCAATTGAGGCCAAGCTGCCTGAAAGCGGTTTCAGATGCTCTCGGTGGTGGCAGAGTGGCAAAAAACTGTTTAAACTCTTGCCGTGGTGCTTCAAAGGGCTGCCCTACAGCTGATCAGTGGTAAAAGGCAGTGTGGTGGTAGACCAGTGCGCTCCAAAAACAAATGGGTAGACCGGAACACTCCAAAAACAAATGGGTAGACTGGTAAGGCTCTGCAAGCAGTTAAAAGCCTGGTAGACCAGTATCTCTGCTAAATTCTAAAGAATTGTTTGTCACATGATCATCAAACCACACCCACAAAATAAGCCACGCTCACAGAACTGATAGTAAAAAATTTTAGAACCCACCCCTGGTGTAACGTATTTATGGAGTTTCATATTTTATCTAATCTTTATACTTAGAAAGTTAAACCTATTACAAGTGGAAAATGGGAAGTAATCGATATAGCTGCTGTAACAAATAACAGCCTGTGAGTATCCATTGATAACTTTTGAATTCGTGTGTGGCAAATGCATAAATCATCCCTTTCTAAGAGATAGCCTTTTCTGTTTGTCCTGCTTTTGTCTGTTGTATTAAAATTGAGACTGGATGAAAGCTTAGCATAAGAAATCTTGCATGGCAATCTTACGCTCCCTTGCCTTTTATACTGAGTGTGCTGACCTTCCTTTCCTTTCCTTTATGTCTTCTTAATAAGCCAAAATCTCATGACTTTTGAGATATAAATCTTCTATCCCAATCTCATTAAATCAAGGTTTTTTTTACATCCCACTGAATTCTATGTGACAAGTTAATCATTACTAACTTAAGCTTTAAGATTTCAGTAAGACCCAAGTGTCACTAATTTTAGTTGAACTAGGAGCCTATCTGTCAAAACAATCCATGCTGAATGAGTAATATTCTACAATAGAATGGCACTGAGGTACATTGTCTTCTATCCATGATTATGAAAATACCATTCTCTTTCCCCTATTGTCTGCTTTCCTTATGTAGGACCCACTGTTAATATTTTCTCTTTATTAGAATGCAATCAACATTCTAATCTGCATCATTAAATAAGTATAACAAATATACACAGAAGCATACATATATAAAATCTCTAGATGTAACAAAGTGCAATAATGTAGCATAAACATGCTACAACCCCCCCCCCCAAATTGCATACAAATCTAAACAAAGTCAACAACAGATTGTAGCTATTTAAGAAATAAATCCTAGAATGTTTCACCAATTTGCTTCCTACAAGTTAGTCACCTATTATATTTTCTCTTGATGAGATGTTCCACGGAAAGCATATTAAAATTGTTGAATACATTCCTCTGATTTAAAATTTATTTATTATAGCTGCTAAATACCGAATATATTCTGTAAAAGTACTCTACAGGTTCAGTGGAAAAAAATGAAAATTCAGAATTAGAGATCTATGCTGGCAGTTGTCTATTAAGTAATTAGTGCAGTTGTTTCCCCTTTATTTAAGACATTTATATTGCTGCCCAATGACTCTGAGTGGCTTACAAAATTAAAAATTCACATTACAATAAACTTTCTCCTTTGCCTACTATTTTCTGTATAATGATATATTTTCCATTTTTTGTGGTAGCATAATGTCTTTTCCAGTTTAGAGGCTCATGTAGAATTGAACTTTATTGCTTAACCATTTAACCTTTTATAGCTACTTCTGTATTATTATCCTAGGAAATTTTTATTACGATAATCTAAATGATTATCAAGATGATGTATTAATCCATCAATTTGCTTATTTCACAGATACTTTATTAGTAATGAATTTGATGGTAGACCAGGAGGAAGACATCTTTATAAGTAAGATGCTTTTTTTATTATGGTTCTGCTATACAGAGCATACAGAGCATATATCTTTATTTATTTTTCACATTTTTGAATTGCCTACCTCCAGTTTGCTCTAGTGCTTAAAATGCTAGCTTAGGGAGCAGGAGACTGTGAGTTTTAGTCCCACCTTATGCATGAAAGCTGGCTGGGTGACTTTTTTATTATTATTATTTATTATTATTTATTATTATTATTTATTGAATTTGTATCAGTCAGTCTCTTTCATAGTTATTGTTGGGGGGAAAATAGTAGGAAGAAGGAATATTAGGTTTGTTTGCTGCCTTGAGTTACTGTAGTTATAAACAATAATAAATGTGGGATAAAACATAAAAGTGAAATAAATAATACCCTAATGCAAGGATGATAATAATGATTTCAAAATTCAAAATTAAATTAAGTCATAAACTGATGGGCGAAACAAGTATCCTACTGGTAGAGTAAATTGGACACATTTGTAAATAAATTGAATTATTTAGATGAGAAAAACTGATGACAGTGCATTTATGGAATGATGAATCCATGGAATGAAATTGATTGACAATATTTAGCATTAAAACACTGGATCCCTTGCTTTACTGCAGGTAAAGTAGACAATTGAAGAAAAAAGAAGAGAAATCTGAATTAAATAATTACATGAAGGCAAGCATGTAAGCGGCAAATATCCATCATAGTTCGCAAAAAAAACACCCTCAGAGTAGCAGAGGAAAAAATTGTGTATAAAGATGAATTGTCGAAAAACTGTTTAGAAATTGAAGTTGTAAATCATGCCATTACCAGCACATAAAACAAAACGAAGCATTGATGCACACAAATAGAAATTATTCTGGCCATCATAGGGATGCAAAGAAAAAAAAACAAACCCTGATGAATGCTCCTGTTGAAATCAAAAGTATTTGTAATGGTGTGCCTTTATGATGTGCAATAGAATACTGATTTCTTCTACCTTTCTCTTTCCCCCATTTTTACAGAGTGGACTTAAAAAATGGCTTTCAAAAAACATGTATCACTTGTGATTCAAAGGAGGAAGCATGTCAGTATTTCTCTGTATCCTTCAGCCCAGATGCAAGATACTATAAACTGAATTGTTACGGCAAGTATTACAGACCTCCCCCCCACCCCCAATCCTTACAGAAATGCAACTCAATCTTTAAGATCCTAATATTTACTTGATGCTTCTTCAATCCATGATTCGAAGAACTACTGTTGTTTGGATGGTCCTAAGCACAAACTTTTTCAAGTGCTTCAGGGGATACCTGGCTCACAGCCATTAAACCATTTGGCGTTTTTTGTAAATTGCATTTTTATTCCTGCTTTTCCTCTTAAGAAGTCAAGGCAGCTGAGGCTGTTAAAAATATTAGCCTCAGAGGAACAACTTTGTGATATAAATTGGGCTGAGAGAAAGGGATTGATCCAAAGTCACCCTTTGAGTTTCAAGATCAAGAGAAGGTTTGAAACTAGGTCTCCCTACTTCCAGTTATCACTGGAACCATCATGTGGACTAGAGGATGGGCTGCAATTATGTTCTTCTTATACATTGATGTAAAAGTCTCCACTGGTTTAAAAATGAAGAGTATCACAGTACATCATGAAACATAAAGTTATTTTTTAAAAGACCTACTAGAAAACTATTTTTCTTCCATTCCACTTTGGTTGCTTATCTGGCCACATTAACCAGAACAGCAGTAGTTGGTTTGACTGCTGTTGAATGACAATATAAAACTCTTGAACCTGATCATTTGCAATTTGGCAGAATTTATCCCTTTAAAAGAGGCCAGTATGCCTGAATATTTACCGCTAAAGAAGTAAAACAATATTGACCATCCCCATTATAGGACTATTGTTTGTGGAGAGAGGCAAGTAAGGACCAGCCCTTTGAGTTGTGTATGTGTTTGGGGGGGGGAAATAATATTGGAATGGGTTAGGCCAGGGGTCAGCAATCCGCGGCTCTGGAGCCGCATGTGGCTCTTTCATCCCTCTGCTGTGGCTCCCTGTCACCAGTCGGCTCCACAATTGATAGGGCTTTCGGTTAGGACAGGAAGAGGAAAAAGGATGCCACGCTAGGAGGAGACTCTATGGTGGAGGAACCGGACTTCCGGTCGGCTCCAGAATTGAATGGTCCAGTTAGGACCTTTGTGGCTCTTTGAGTGTTTAAGGTTGCCAGCCCCTGAGTTAGGCCAATATTGCTCCAGCACCCCCCACCTCCTATGCTCAATGTGGAAGATCCTTGGAGGGAAAGTTATACCGAGAATATGGCAGCTTCTTTGCCTCAGCCACAAGCAGCAGAGAGTAGCTGCAGAAGTTGCATTAGGAGTACACTCCTATTCCTGACACTTTAGTGGAGATAGCTTTCCACCCACCCACCCTTGTACTGGGAGACATGTTCCTCTCCTACCCACATTTGTTGCAATTTTTTTTTTAAATTTGATTTATATGCCGCCCTTCTCCGGAGACTCAGGGCGGCTTACAATGCGTTAAGCAATAGCCTTCATACTTTTGTATATTTATACAAAGTCAGCTTACTGCCCCCACAAACTGGGTCCTCAATTTACCTACCTTAGAAAGGATGGAAGGCTGAGTCAACCTTGAGCCTGGCGAGATTCGATCTTACTTTAATTGCAGACAGCTGGTGTTAAATTACAGTGCTCTGTCTGTTGAGCTATCCAGGCTCCTGGATTTGCTGCCCCTGTTGCTTCTCACCTTTTCCAAAGCAGCCATTGTCTTCTATCTGAACAGCTGCAGAGTGGAAGGAGGTCCTGACAACTGCTGACCTGTCCTTCTTTCTCCTCTTGATGCTGGGAGGACATTTAAAGGCAGCAAGGAGTCCTCTCCTTCTTTCTTGATGTGATGGCAGGGAGGATCCATAAGCAGCCAATCAAGATTGGCAAGTTGCTTGATCACTGGAAGTTTTTAAAAAATGATTTGAACAATCATTTGTCTGAAATGGTCCCCTACTTGAGCAGGAGGTTGGACTAGAAGACTTCTATCAACTACCCTGTACTTTGGACATCCATACAACAGATGTGAAGAAGAAAACTAATTTTTGGCTGGTCAGAACAGAAAGACAAAAAAAACCTACTCTCCAATTTCCAGTTAATTAGCTGATATGACGATTGGTATTAATTTGTTGAAGGAAAATCATTTTCGTTTACAGTGTTGTGTGTTGTAGAACAGAAAAAAAGATGTACTAGTGACTAGCTTATTCCAAAATAATAAAATTAGTATGACAATTGGTATTAATTGGTTCCACTGAATGTAGTTTTTATTTACAGTATTCATTTATTTTAAATATATTTATGGATTACATGTTGCATCTGATTAAATAATCTTTCCACTAAATCATTGAGCAAATCTACAAAGAAAGAAAATGCAGACTAAAATGCAAAACATAAGAACATCTCAGTCAAAACACATTGACAAAGAAACAGTAGCAATAACTTCAGTGAAAAGTTAGTTTAATTAATTGGATTTTTTAACACTCTGCGAATAACAGGTCCTGGCCTGCCCTACTTCACCTTGCAAAACAGCAATACAGGCAAAGGTATTTTATTTTAATTTTTTCCTCCTTTGGAACAATGTGAATGCATGTCTATTCTGGGATATTTATGATCTAGAGTTTGTAATATTTTGTCCATACATATCTTGCAGTAAGATCAGTTATACATAATTAGTTTTATTTCTGGTATGAATGCATGAGATTACACTTTGGTGATGTAATTCAGTGACCTCCCCCAGTTGGGTGCCGTACATATGATGGATTTCAGTTCCCATCACACCTGAAAGCAATTCAAATTGCTGTTTGGCTGTAAACAATGGGACTTCTAGCCTAACATGTCTGCAGGGCACCAATTTAAGAAAGCTTGATTTGATTTGTCTAATGCACACTATTTAGAAGTAGATCCCTGAGGTAGAATGAGATTCATTACTAAGAAGCTGTAACCATTTTGTTAAAGGGATCAATCTAATATGTCACTATAATTTATATAACTTGATGAGAAAAAAACGACAAGAGTGTGTGTGTGTGTGTGTGTGTGTGTGTGTGTGTGTGCGCGCGCGCGCGTGCATACTTGCAAGGAGATCAAATTTCCAATAATACCTGGCAAAAAGGTACAGACCTGGGACAAGAGACTGTGAATTTTTTTAAAAAAAAAAAATCCCTTCTGGGTGTAGCAATTTTGACAAGCTGAGATTGTTGCCAGCTGAGCTCATATTCTTTTTGAGCTGGTGCTACTTAGATTTTGAATGTTACGGCATTGTTGAGAAACACTCCAGTTGGTATGAAAAGAAATATATTTGTGGGAAAGAATTTGGATTGTTCTTTCTGTTGATTTAAATGTGTGTCTTTTGTTCTTCTTTTTCCTTCCCTGCTTGTAATTAATGTTTGAAATCGGAGGCATTTTTTTTTCATCAATCATCTCCTACGCACGTTTACTAGGAAGTAAGTCCCACTTCCAAATAGGAGGCACAATGGCTTAGCAGTTAAAGATGCTGAGCTCTCTAGCTGGAAAGTTGACAGCCTGGGTTCGAGACCTGAATGCCACACAGTGGGAGTAAGCTCCTATTACTTGCCCCAGCTCCTGATAACCTAACAATTTGAAAGCCTGCAAATGCAGGTAGATAAGTAGGTACACCACTTTGGTGGGAAGGTAATGGCAAATAGTCATGCTGGCCACATGACCATGGCTCCCTCAGTTAAAGAAACAGAGATGAGCACCACCCCCCAGGTAATTTTATTTTTAAAACCAGCTCTCCGTGTTGTTTTAATTCTTTGACTTATCAAATATATCTGTTTTAATCCTAGAAGTTAAGATCCTAGAAAATAACGATAATTTGAGAAATGTATTGAAAGAAATTCAGATGCCCAGCAAAAGACTGAGAAATATTACTCTGGATGGACAAAGTAAGTTTGCAAACAAAATGTAGTTTTGTAACAAAATGAAACAAATCATTTTTTTTAAAAAAAAACCTGAATAAAACAGTGTATTTGCATAGCTTTTTGAAATCATAATTTTGAATGACATGAATGTTTTGCAGCTCTTAATTATTATCAGCTGTGCCTTAGAAAAACAATTTCTCCTATGATTCATAACAGGAAAAGAACCATTAGGCTTAAAAATTTGTAATATGAGACTTTGTAGATGAAGATCAAGCAGCTTGCTCAGACAATATTATTGAAACCAGGGTTATCTTTTTCTTGATACCTCCATGAATTTCTGCTTTCAGTTGGAGGCTGTAAGCTATTTCAGGTGTGCTGATTCAGGATATATGATGTCTGCAGCCTGAGTGTGATTCTGATTATTGTCATGCTGATACCTATCAGTTTCAGTTTGCACTTTGGACTGGGAAGGTCAGTACTTCCAGCAACACACAAGAGTAATGATTACTCTGAAACATTTGTCTTAATTCAGAAGGGCAGAAAATGAGGCAGTTGAATGTTGTGCTTACAATGTTGCCTCATTCACACATCTCCAAATCTTCCTTCCTCCCTCCCTCCCTCCCTCTTATTTTTTTTACAAATAACTCAATATTGTGAATAGATCGAACACATTCTCCTGTTTCTATTTTCCCCACAATAACAAGAATCCTGTTATTGTGAGGTGAGTAAGGCGGAGAGAGAGTGACTGGCCCAGAGTCACCCAGTTGGCTTTCACGGCTAAGGTGGGACATTCTAGTCTCGTGCCTTAACCACTAAACCAATCCATCCTTCCTTCCCGAAATATTGTTATTCCCTCCTTTTTGCATCTACTTCCTTATCTACTCTCTTTTTGTATGCCTCCAACAGCTTGGCTTCCTCTCCCCCCCCCCCCCCCCCCCCCCCCATCTATCTCTTTCTACCGGAATTTGTCCTTGTCATCTCAAACACCATCTTTTTCCAGTCCCACCTGATTCTTCCCAGTCTATTCACTCTCTTAGAGTACACATACTGCTTTCCCAAATCCATGCCTTCAACTATAACATCTTGCCAGCCAGCCAGCCACCTTATCTATTGGAAGGGTGCAACTTCTTTGCAGTGTTGTTGTTGTTGTTTTTCTTTACTAAAGAGAATTCTGTTTTTAATTAATAGCTTCTGCTACTAATGAGAAAAAAAGGTTGCACCTTTCACCCCCACCATTCACTTTGGAATAATGAGAAAAAGCAACTTCCTTCTTTCCTTTGTTCAAAAAAGAGGCAGCATTTTTTTCACCAGCAGGAGAGGCTATGAACCAAAATAATAGTATCATAGCACCCTCTATTGATAAAGTATTTAAAAAACAGAAACACAAACATTCACTCCCCAAAATAAAATATAATTTAGTAATCATTCAAAATAGAAAATTAAAGAGAAAAATTAAAACATCAGTGTGTATGAAAGTATGAAACAAACAGCATTTGGTTCTGACCCTTTTCATGCTGTGTAAAGCACAGGGCAGCCTTCAAGCTGATGAAAGACCTCAAGTATTCTTTCTTTCTTTCTTTCTTTCTTTCTTTCTTTCTTTCTTTCTTTCTTTCTGTCTTTCTGTCTTTCTGTCTTTCTGTCTTTCTGTCTTTCTGTCTTTGTCTTTCTTCCTACCTTCCTTCCTCTTTCTTTCTTCCTTTCTTCCTTCCTTCCTTTTTTCTTCCTTCTTCTTTCTTTCTTTCTTTCTTTCTTTCTTTCTTTCTGTCTGCCTCCCTTCCTTCCTTCCTCCCTTCCTCTTTCTGTCTTTCTTTCTTTCTTTTTCTTTCTTTCTTTCTCTCTCTCTCTCTCTCCCTCCCTCCCTCTCTCTCTCTCTCTCTCTCTCTCTCTCTCTCTCTCTCTCTCTCTCTCTCTCTCTCTCTCTCTTTCTCTCTCTCTCTCTTTCTTTCTTTCTCTTCACCATGCCTTCCAGGTGATAATACAACACAAAACTGATTGTAAGAGAAATTGGCATTTGGAGAAAGCCTGCTTGAAATTGTTCTCACCTATTTTTGGCTAATTTTGCAATGTTTTATATGAATGGAAATACAGGTAGTATCAAGCATTCTTTTTAGTGGCTGAAGTTACAACAGCACTGAAAAAAATGACCTATGACTGTTTTGTACGCTTATGACCATTGCAACATCCCCATATTCATATGATCAAAATTTGGACCCTTGGCAACCTGGCGTGTATTTATGATGGTTGTAGTGTCCCAGGATCATGTGATCACCTTTTATGACTTTCTGACAAGCAAAGTAATTGGGGAAGCCAGATTCATTTAACAGCCATGTTATTAACTTAACAATTGCAGTGATTCACTTAACAACTGTGGCAAGAGTGGTGGTAAAATGGAACAAAGCTAATTTAACAGCTGTCTTGATTAGCAGAAATTTTGGGCTCAGTTGTGGTCATAAGTCAAGGACTACCTGTATGTAGTTTTCCATTTGCCTGATAGATGCAAGTCAGTAGCACCTGATCTAATTTTGCATTCTAGTCCCCTTATTCAGCTGCCACAACAGCTATGCTATTTGTGAACCTTGATTAATATGGAATAACTGTACTTTTCTGCAGCTAATTATTTCAGATGATTTCTATGGTAAATGAGTATTAACACTGAAAGTTATGGAGATCAAAGGCATTTCCTTGCATGGAAATGTGTACAGATTTCAACCTTCACATTCATTGTCCAGAAAAATTAATTATCTAATGTATTATCATAGAATCTGAGAGTTGGAAGAGTCCACCGATGCTTCTTGCACAGTGCAGGATTAAGTACAGCATCTCTGGCAGATGACCATACAATTCCATTAGAAGACCCTCGAGCAAAGGAGAACTAACCATGTCTTGTGACACTCCACCATCTGACCACTCCTACTGTCAGGAAGTTGTTTCATGATTTAGTCTGATTTAGTCTGATTCAGTTTTCTGTAGTTCTGTAACCCTTTGTTCTGATCCTGTCCTCTGGGACAAAAGAGAATAAATTCATTCCCACTATATATATTTAAATGGTAATTATATTTTTCCATCATCAACTTTTCTGTAAACATACCCAGATCCTTTCCTTGTTCCAATATAACTTGGTTTCCAGACTTGATCGCTTTTCTCTAAACTTACTCTAATTTGTTACGATCCTTTTTGAAATGGTGGTGCTCTGAATTGGATACACTATCATAAATATTGACCAAGGCAGAGTGGACTGGAACAATTACTTTCTATGAACTGGACTCTATGCTCTTGTTAATGCATCCCAATAGAGCATTTACTTTTTCATACTTGCATCATACTGTTAGCTTAGGTCAACAAGAATATCCAGATCATTTTTACAGTATACCAAACCAGCTCCAACCTTATACTTAATGGCTTACTTTTATATATATATCCAAATGCAGAACTTTATATTTCTTTACATTTTATTTCTATTCCATTATATACATACATATCACCTTCAAATGCGGCTGGAATCTTTTGAACCTTCTTCTTTTTAATCAAAGTTGCTGGTTCTGATGTAAGACTATACCAGAGGTTAATTTGACTATTAAATGTGGTTTTGAATGTTTTTTATGGTCATGTTTTCCCTGGATTTTTAGTTGATGTAATGTTCAAACTTTAAAGATTTCATAAAGCCTTTCCTTTTATTGTAATTAACATCATCACCAGTTATTGCAGCAATCAATTTTATCTAGCGAAAGTCTGCAGGTGGAAGACTTTTCTTATTACTGTAGTGCAAGCTTTGGATCCTGTGTAGGACTTTTCCAGTTCCTGTCCCTCTCCCTGCCTTTCCTATGTTCAAGCTAACTCTGCATATGTTCTTTATAACTATTAATGCATATTTCATGTTTTTGTTTGCTTTCCTATTTTTCTTCTCCTCTTCAGCATACTGGTATCAGATGATATTGCCTCCTAATTTCGATGAGTCAAAAAAGTATCCCTTGCTCGTTGATGTGTAAGTCAAACTGCCCTTTTACCTTTATTTATTTATGCTTAATTCATGTTACCAATGATATTTATATTTATGTATTGTCTACCTAATGCTTCGTGGATGCTGTACAAAGATTTAAATAGCAAGACAGGTTTAGCAAAACTAGTTTGTTCAGGCCTCAGTTCTGAATGCTGCAGATTGCTCCCCTGAGAAGCAGCTTGGCTGCAGACAGTTCAGGGAGATGCAAGCCATCGTTCAGTAGGCTGATGGCCCATTTCTTCCACCCAGAAGGCGTTGTTGCTAATAAATTACTGTAGAGGAAGAGGAGGAACTTATTGGCATCTGGTTTCATATTCTCTCAGAGGGCTGTGATGCAGTCATCAGACAAATACAAGCAATATCTTTGCACTAGTAAGATTAGAAGAAAAAGACTAGCCAGGATAACAACAAAAAGATTTCTAAGAAATTTCATTGACAAACATTTAAGAGTTTAACGTGCTTCAAGACTTATTGCCTTTATTAAAAGAGTTTGGTTTGGCTGTTGTTCTGCAAATTATCAAAGTGACAATTTATTTATGATATAGAAAAGCATCGTGGTTCTGAAATAGGGTTATCAGATATAAGTTATAAAAAGCCAAACCATTGTTATAGGGCAGTAAAGAGTTTTCTGAGTTTCACTGGTACCATCTAGTGGTTGTTCAGAAACTGCAGTGATCATTAAGAGTGCCCTGTTCTGAATAAGTCACAGTGATGATGTTAAGAGGCAAATCTAACTTTTACACCTATATGCCTCAGAAACAAATGCATAAACCTTAGTAATTGCACCATGCCACATATTTTGACAAACGCTCAAAAAGTATTGCCTTCATTGCCTTCAAATATTTCCAGCTGTTCCAACCAATGAGATACAGACAGTCCTCATTTAATGACCACAACTGAGTCTGGAATTTCCATTATCAGTTGTTGCAGTCATTAGGCAGGACTTGATTTTATGACTGTTTTTATGACAACCATAAAGTGAATCATCATTAAGCGAATCATGTGGTCATTAAGCAAATCCATTCTCCCAAATGGGCTTAAATCTTGACATGTATTGCTGAGCCTATTTAAATAAACCGGTATACTCTAGGTCAGGACTACTGTACAGTTTGCAGTTAAATAAAAACAATGGCCAAAGGATAGCTACTTTAGAAAAATGTGGATAAGACCATTGTACCATATACATACATCTTTACTGAACCCGACCCTGCAAATATAATATAGAAATAAACAAAGAAGGCACATTTCCTGGATCCTGAACATATGCTGTTGATGCTATTCCTCCCTCACACTCCTCTGCACATATTAAAGGATTTGCATTAATTATCTTCTTCCTGTAATCTGCAAATTATAGAAATTTGCTTTTTATAGTAAATAAAATGCAAATATTCTATATTTGGTGAAAATTGGTTGTGCAAGGAATGTAGCATACGATAGTTACAAGCATTTAGTTTCTCTTTGTCCTATTAATTCATATTTTAAACATAATATATAATAATCATTAGAATTATTAATTATTTCACTAATTAAAATTTCACTGAGAGATAATCAAAGGCTTATTAAAATTCTGAACAGCAAAAGTGGATCTTGGTACACTGTTTACATTTATTGAAGATTAGCATTTGGGTTTTAGGATAGTATGCCGGGGGACGTGTGAACACGACCATGATTCGTAGATTATCTGTTTTGAATTATGTACATTCTTCAGATGATATATAATTAGCCTTCAGATCTATTGCGAGAGGAAAAAACAGACCCTTCATTTTTGCACTTGATCACTTTATCAAAAAGTAGGGCAGTGAAAAACATTGAAAGAGGAGTTTGCCGTTTTTGTTAACAATAGTAAAGTAGGCATCCTCAAAGCATTAAAGTAGCTGCATCTTTTCAGAAGTGCAACTGCCTTGAAGGCTGACCACAGTGTTTGTACATGAACTGTATATGCAGGTTGGCATTAGTCCCAGAGTACACACAGTACCAAGGACAGGCTTTGAAATAACCATGCAAGCCTTCTGCAGGATGCAGCTGCTTTAATACATTGAAAAGGATACTATGCCTCCTCATTCTGAACAAGCTTTTCTGAACTGAGCCACATAGCTGCCATCTTGCACATGATCAACATCTGGCATCAACAAAGGGACTTCCATTTGGGGAGGTATAATTGGGCAACTAATTAAGAGTGTTTGCTCTTCATTTATTCCAGAAATGTTAATATCGTCAGATAAGACTATTCAATGAGGAAATGAGCAAGCGACTGTGTGGCCCATGGCTGTAAGTGCTGTAGGAGCCCCAGTAGCTCTAGACAAAAGCGGTACTCTCATGCAGCAGCACAAAAGCCACTAATTATGTTTGTTGGGGCTTTGATGCAAGACCTGATTGGTATTTGAATGTTCTGGATAAGGCAGTAATCTGTTAGCAAATGTCACAATGTCAAACAATATTTGGAAAATGAATAATTGAGGATCCATAATGCCTTCCATTATGGAAAAAAGCAAAAAGGTGTGAGACATCGAGACATTCCTGCAATGAAGCAAGAACAAATGCTTACAACTTAAGCTCGGTTTTGCTGTATTTGCACAAAGGCCCAGGGTGAGAGTTGGAGTGTAGAAAATATAGATTGAAACTATCTCTATGGGCAGTCGTTTCAGTAGGATTTAGTCATGAACATTTAATGTTATTTGAGATTTCTTCCAGGAGCTTCATGATTATCCTCAACTTCACAATAAATTAGATTAGGTTGGTCCAAAGTTACTCATTGTGTTTCATGAGAGAATGGGGATTGCTGACTTCTTGTTGGACATCTCTAAGTTCTGCAGCAACCATAAAGGAATGAAGTTTTAAAAAACATCTCATTATTTCAAAAGACAAAGATGGAAATAATTCAATGGAGAGAGTTAAATGGAGATTAAAATCCTACCATAGAGTTCATATACTGATTGTGCCAGAAAAAGATCATACGATTCCGTCTCGTTTCTTATCATTTTGTGCTTCAATTAAATTTCCTCTATTTAGAGTCTTCTTTGTAAATACCATTCTTACTAGAATATATTAATTTTAACCTAAATTGCTGTCTGTATTGCTTATTTTTAATTTCCAGCCATGTATGTATATAGCGAAATAAGCATTCAAAACAACTAAAGCCAGCCAAATAATAAGAAAATTAAAAATCCAGCATATCATCAGGATACATTTCATGGGCCTGAATCCCAGTTCTATTGTTACAGTGTTTGTGGCAAACTCAGATGAAGAGCAGGCTGCTGGATATTTTCTGTTCCAATCAAATTCCCTGCTTATATAAGAATTTGGAAAGTGCAGAACAAATAGAGCATGGCATGGATCAAGTCAACCAACTTACTTTCCACAGATATGCAGGACCTGGTAGTCAGAAAGCAGATGCTGTCTTCCGGATCAACTGGTCTACGTATCTGGCAAGCTCCGAAGGGATTATTGTGGCTAGCTTCGATGGTAGAGGAAGCGGTTTTCAAGGAGATAAAATTTTGCATGCAATATACCGAAGACTGGGAACCTATGAAGTTGAAGATCAGATCTCAGCAGCCAAGTATGTTTGTGCCTTGTTGCCTTAGTTAGGACGGTTAACATCTTAACTGGATTAACTGGAAATTGAATGTTTCTCCTTCTTGCAGAATTTTGTAGGCTTGGTTTTCTTTGTTTCTCATTTTTTCCATTTACTAACTTTTATCATCCCCTCCTTATATTAATATAAATTTTGGGTTTATTTTTTTAAAAAATCCAAATTTACAGTAATTTTTTTTAATCTAATACACAGTTTTTGCAAACGGTTGTCATATAAGATAGTTAATTACTGTATTTGCATGATATAAACATTTTGTGCAGGCCTTTCCTTAATGTTCCCAATTTTTTTGATTGATGAATTGGACTGTAACTTTCAGAGAAATGAATTTTGATGGGTAGTTGAGTTAAGATTCATATATTAGTTTGAAAATGAAAATTTGATTAACACAAATACACTAATTTCTCTTCTATTTCTAACCCAAGTAGCCTTTCTATTTCCTTTGTCCCTTATTGGTAATCTAATTATTTAAAAAAAGTGGAATAGAAAAAAACTTGTTTGCAAATAAGTATTGAATATTAATATTTATGTATTACATTTTAATACGCCTATTCTCCAAGGAGCAAGGCAGGTGGGGTAAAGGAAGTATTGCAAAGAAGAATAAGATAAGATTTTTTTGAATATGTGCACTTTTCTGTTATTAATTAGGCTATTTTCCGAAATGAGCTTTGTTGATAAGGACAAAATGGCTATTTGGGGCTGGGTAAGTATTACAGTATTAATAGTTTTGTTCAGATTTAAATATTCTGCTGCTAGTAAGAAAAGGTGTTTCACTTGAATACACATTGTGAGAAATTGCTGTTTGTGGAGACACAGGAGATGTTCTTTATAAGATACTCCTCTATATTTTAGTTGGGCCTTTTTCTAAGTAGAGAAATGTTTCCATTCAAAACCTGAATTATTGCTTCCATTTATCTCTCCCATCTTTATGCCATCTGATGGACTATTCAGACACATAGAAATTGGAACAGCTGGGTCATTGCCTTGATCCAGCAAGACTCTTTTTCTACATTCTCACATTCTTAACATAGTTATTGGCCACAATAACTATGTGGCTGGGTTCATACCTTGCATTAAGCCATGAGTTGCTTATTCAGAGTTTATTGAGTAAACCATAGTTAGATAGGTTCATACACTACATTAAGCCATAAAGCATAGTGTGCAAACTTTAATTGCTTGTTCACATAACATGATAAGCGAAAATCAAGCAAACTGCATTGTGTTTTACACTGAATCTATGAATCTAGTCTGTCACACTGTCCTCTTCTGTGTTTCTAGTGTAGGTTGGCTTCTATATAAGGTTGCAGGAAATTTATTATTTATTATTTTATTATTATTTATTTATTTGTCAAGCATATATAAGATAACAGGTAAAAATATAAACATAATTTGAATACATGAAAAGAGTAAGAGTAAAAAATAAAAAGGAATGTTAGGACAGGGACGGTAGGCACGCTGGTGCTCTTATGCATGCCCCTTACAGATCTCTTAGGAATGGGGTGAAGTCAACAGTAGACAGTTTAAGGTTAAAGTTTTGGGGGTTTGGGGAAGAAACCACAGTGTCAGGTAGTGCATTTCAGGCATTGACCACTCTGTTACTGAAGTCATATTTTCTGCAATCAAGATTGTAGCGGTTTACCTTGAGTTTGTATCTATTATTTGCTCATGTATTGCTGTGGTTGAAGCTGAAGTAATCATTGACAGGTAGGACATTGGGGCAGATAATTTTATGTACTATGCTTAGGTCAGACCGAAGTCAGCGTAGTTCTAAGTTGTCTATGCCCAAAATTTGAAGTCTGGTGGCATAAGGTATTTTATTGCGGGTAAAGGAATGGAGGACTCTTCTCGTAAAATATCTCTGGACTCTCTCAATTGTATTTATGCAGTGCGGGTTCCAGACAGATGAGCCGTATTTGAGAATTGGTCTAGCAAATGTTTTGTATGCTCTAGTTAGTAGTACAATATTACCAGAGAAGAAGCTACGCAAGATTAGGTTAACAACTCTTAATGCCTTTTTGGCAATGTTGTTACAATGGGCTCTGGCACTTAGATCTTTAGAAATGAGTACTCCAAGGTCCTTGACAGAGTGAGGGTCATCTACAAGGTTTGATTGTATTTTAAATCGATTGGGTCAACTATCCACCTAAAAGTCTATTCTCATTATATTTTTGTGATATCAAGGGAATATTTTATGATACAAGGGAATGTCTCCTTGCACAGATACTCAAGTTCATCCTTGGAGCAGGAGAGCTATGTTACTCTTGGCTAGCTTAAAAAGGAATTGAAAGGACTTTTTCCAGCTATAGTCTGGCTATAGATGATAGCTCTATTAGCCAATCTCAGTGCTGCAGCTATGCTTGGCAGAGATGTTCAACTGTTGGAATTAAACCAGCTATTCATGGTACTCAACCACCCATCCAATGAGATCAATAGACACATCTATATAGGCAGATCAGTTTCCAGGGAGGTCCTCTTAAAAAACAGACCACAAGAACAGGAGAACAGAACTTCACTGATTACCTCCTCCAGCTCAGAGCTCAAACTACTCAAATGCATTATTAATATGCTGAAGCCCATGCGGGACAATGATACTATATTTTTTCAGACCCATGTTTGCATACAAAAAAACATCTAACCTGAAGCAGATTCTCACATGCAACAAAACAACAATAACAGGATAATGATGGGAACCAGGTTCTGCAACAAATCCAGATGTCTAGCTTATCCCCACATTTATACCATTGTGGGCCCCGACAAGTACACATACACAATCAGAGATGCCTTCACATGCTGGTCCTCTAATGTGATATGCATCAGCATCTGCCCCTTTGGACTCTTATCTACATAGCACAAAGTTTACGCGTATACTGAAGAATTCATGGACACAAGTTTGACATCAGGAGACAAAATAAGGTCAAAATAATAGAGAGCACTTCAGCCTCCTAGGACACTCATTGCAGACCTTAAAATGATCATCTTGGGGGGGGAAAAGCACTCTTAAGTGAAAGATTGCTGAACTCACGTGCATCAAATGGTTTCAGGCTATCTCAAAAAATCTCAGCAAACACAGTGTTTCGTATTAACACATTAAAATTGATAATTGACCGAATTATTACTTGTAATCTGCCTTATGTAACCTGTATCTGCAATAACCAATCTAAATTCCCCTCTCCCAGCATCATCACAATTTAACTCCTACATCAGTTTTGTTGTTGTTAGTTGCAAAGTTGTGTCTGACCCATCACGACGCCATGGACAACGTTCCTCCAGACCTTCCTGTCCTCTACCATCCTCTGGAATCCATTTAAGCTCACACCTACTGCTTCAGTGACTCCATCCAGCCACCTCACTCTCTCTACATCAGTTAGTTAGTTAATTAATTAATTAAAAACATTTATATAGCCACCCCTCAAATAACCAACTCTGGGCAGCTAACTAAATCAAAGTTTTAGTTATGAAGAAGTGAATTGTTGCTAACAAAATGTTTGTCTTTTAGTAAAAGTTGTTAATTAGAACAGAAATGACCAGACTCCTTCTGATTCAGGTTACCCTGAGTCGCATGTCAAGTTGGCAGCTATATAAAATGAAGGAGAACATGTGACTACATCTCATTCTCCCTAACCCGACCTAGAGATGCCTCTTTTTGAAACTAAGCCTAATGGGGCTCCCTTTATACGCCTTTATACAAAGGTACTATACAGGTTTTACTAAGAGTTTTATTACCCAAAAACAAGCCTTGCCTCATTACTCGGCAAACTAAGATCTAAGCAAAGCTATCCTTTAACACACACACACACACACACACACACACACACACACACACACACACATTTGTGAGAAGAACGTTGTATCCCTCTTGGTCTATTTGAAATAATAATGTTTCTTTTCTCTCAGTCTTATGGAGGCTATGTAACTTCCATGGTCCTCGGAGCCGGAAGTGGTGTATTCAAGTGCGGAATAGCTGTGGCACCTGTCTCACGCTGGCAATATTATGGTATGTGTTTATTTATTCACAATAAAGTAGGAAGATCCTTTGTTAAGTACCACAGGAGTCATACTGGGAAATGGTATAAAGTATGAATAGTTGGGTACATAATTCTCCCACATGAAATTACCATTTGGTTTGCCTTCCTGAATTCATGTGAGGTATTGCACACTGTCCCTAGATTAATAATTTTTTTCCCCTACTGGAAACTTGGATTTGAAAGGAAGATAATCTGCTTAACCTTTAAATGGCACAAAATTACTTAATATTTGAAATTTTACTATAATGCAAATGTCTGCATTTGCATTCCTCAAAAGTGCCATGTGTTCCAAAGTGTGGAAGGATCATTTCTGAATGTCATAGAATTTGTTGGCATCACTATCAACTTCCTTTATATTACAATGAGCTCTAGAAAGAAGGGTCATAATTTTAATCATTTATTAGAATATTTACCAATTAAATGATACTGCTGATTGCCTCTTATGTATATTAAAGTATGTATCAAACACTTATTATTAGTTTGCTCAATGTTCTAAAAACTCCCAAAAGGGAATTTTGAACGTTAAAGCTGTATATTTCTGCCTCATATTGTAATTCTAATCATGAGTTGATTTGGGTAAACTTTGTGATGGCTTCTTGAGCTTCTGCTTTTCATTGGGGCTATGAGAAAACCTGATTTGGCTAAATTTGCTGGAAGTTAGAAAGGATGATATTTGTGTAATTAAGCCCCTCTTGTCATGTTTTCCTTTTGCATATCAGTGCTAACTTCTTCTGTCCTACCTTCAATGGTTAAATTTTACTGTTCGGTTTTTAAAAAATAATTATGTATTAGAATATGCATAATTATTCATAGATTTCCCTCATTGCAAATGAGTATACTATCTCCAGAAAAATCATAGTTTTGTTCTATATTTTGAAATGTTACAGAAATCTGTTTATCAAGAGGCAATACTCTATGACAGTGATGGTGAACCTTTTTGGCACCAAGTGCCGAAAAGGGAGCACTTCGTGTGCGCTCGCTAGGAAGAGGAGCTGCCCAGGGGCCATGCATGCGCTGGATAAGGTACTTCCGATTTCTGACACACGCATGCGGGCTGCCCAGCAAGTCTTCCGGTTACTGCCACGCATGCACCGATTTGTGCCAATCAGACCAGCTCTTCCGGTTTCCGGAACTGCCCCACGCACAAAGGCCTGCTGATCATCACGTGCGCATGCGCACCAGAAACCTGCAAGAGGAACGGGCGCCACCGCACATACCAGGCAAATGGCTCCACGTGCCACTTTGGGCATGTGTGCCATAGGTTCGCCATCACGGCTCTATGACATGCCTATATACCCTGTTTCCCCCAAAATAAGACATCCCAATAAGGCCAAGCGCTTATTTCAGGGTTCAAAAAAATATAAGACAGGATCTTATTTTCGGGGAGCAATCTCAGTAGGCAGCAATCTCTTTTAAATGATTTCCAACTGCAGAGTTTTGGAGTATTTATTTTTAAGTCATCTCTATCCCTCCTTTCATCAAAGAGCTCAAGGCAGCAAATATGGTCCCTCTTCCACTTTTCCTTTGCTGGAAGCCTGCAAAGTGGCTAGATATTTGAAATAGTGTCATGCTATCAGATGCCTCCTAATTTATCAAGACTTTCTCCATCTCCTTTGTGGGACATTTGTGTATTTTCTTGTTCTGGAGAAAGGAAAATTTCCTTCCTATTAGTTGGTGGACTTGCTTCTATTGATGGAAGGACAAAGTTGGATTCCACCTAGTGAGTAGTACAGGCTCTACCAATGTCCTATATGGCTGACTCAGAATTTAAACCTGGGTCTAGTCACACACAAAACTTATCTGGGGTTTCCCAAACTGTGAAGTATATGTTCCTTGGGGAGGTGCAGATGGAGTCCAGGAGAGGTATGAAAAACCCTTTGGTTAATAAATCCACATTTCCCAAAGTTTCATTTTATTGCTTCCATTGTTCAGTTGTGTTCATTTTGGTATTTGAATTTTTAGGGGAGATGTGTACATTAAGGTTACAGTAAAGGGAGGTAGAAGGGACGTGGTAGCTCAGTGGCTAAGACGCTGAGCTTGTCAATCAAAAGGTTGGCAGTTCAGCAGTTCAAATCCCTAGTGCTGCATAACAGGGTGAGCTCCCGTTACTTGTCCCAGCTTCTGCAGTTCGAACCTAGCAGTTCGAAATCATGTAAAAAATGCAAGTAAAAAATAGAGACCACCTTTAAGTGGGAAGGTAACAGCGTTCCGTGCACCTTTGGTGTTTAGTCATGCTGGCCACATGACCACAGAAACATCTTTGGACAGCGCTGGCTCTGGCTTTGAAACGGAGATGAGCATCGCCTCCTAGAATCTGGAAAGACTAGCATATATGTGTGAGGGGTGTTAAGGATATTGTTGTGTTACCAACCAGCAGAATAAGTGCACAGAGAAACGGTACTGAGAGCAACCTTAGTAAAACTTCCATTTTCTTTCCAGTTGACGAGAGAATAATATTACTTTGGCATAAGGTTGCTGAGAATAATTAATAATGCTGTTGCTATGGACAACTGCATACTGAATATTTAAAAATGTGATTATCTCCAGTGCCTATTATTAAGAAAACAGTAAATTTGGGGGGAAACGTAGCACAATAAAGCATTCACTATATTGATAAATAGATGCCAATGAACACCAGAGTCAAATAAGCAAGCATACCCTTTAGATATTGCATAATGTCTTCTTTATGTGCTCCACTCCATCCTAGATTCTATATATACTGAACGCTACATGGGTATGCCTGAAAAAAATGATAACCTGGATTTCTATGAGGTAAGAAAATGTTGTTCACTTTTTACTGTACAAAAATAAAACAGTGCAAGCTGAATCTCACTCAGCCTGACTTCCACTCACATACTCCTTTCTCCTCTGCACTTCTACCATAAACTTTGGATCACACTCACACACACCAAGTCCTACAGAACATGTGGGAACATGAGAAGCAAGCTATGATAGCAGTTCCCCCCCACTTCCTATCCTTCTTATAGAGAAGTGGTTATATGGTAATTTATTTAGGACATCAGAAGCAATAGTTGTTCTAGGTGAAGAATATTCTAACAGTTTCTGTTGAGTGTTGCTAATATATTCCAGATGTTTCCTAAATTATTTACAATGTTTTGCTATACTGTAGAGGTTAGGTGACTGCATTTGTTTGGAATATGGATTCCATCTGTTCTTTATCAGAATATAAATATTTATAAATAACTTTTACTAAACTGTTTCTTTTATTAGGGAAATGAATTTGGTATGCTATTTGATATACCTTTGTGTAGAGATTTGGGTTCTGTAGACATGCCGTCTAACATCTCTGGGTTGCAATAATATAGGCAACAATTAGATAGCAGCAAATTGTACTTTGCAGTTTTTAGTGTAATCTGAATACTATTTGCAACCCAGAGATTATAACCCTATTTAACATTGCATCAGTTGGCACTTTTATCATGAGAATGTGGTTGCATAGATCTGACCAGACACTTATGAAAACATCTTTTCCTTCCCTCTTTCTTAATCTGTGGCATTTCTTCACTAAAACCGATTTAGGCATTGAATTTGTTTTTTGACTTTTGGAATTTGCACTGCAAGTGAAATGGTGGTAGTGAGGTATTAGCCTGAGATAATTTAAGGTGACATTGCTCTGCTAACATTGCTCTTAAACAAGCACATCTACCATTATATCTGCTATTGCAGCGTCTTTACATGCCAATGCATATCTGTAAATTTTGTGCTCAAGTATGTTGTATGCAGGTTTCTGTTTCTTCAGTATCACGTTTATGATGCCTTTGCTCCAAAAAGAACTTTATAGTAAATTATGATTCTATCTAAGCATACTGTTTCTATTTTTCCATTACATCATAATAAAAATTCATGCACTCTGACACATCCACAGTGTTTGAACACCTGTTGAAGTGTGTAGAAACTAAGTAGAAAGGAACATATTGAGGGTGTACATTTGATAAGGAGATCTAAAATGGGTGGAAGATATCTTGTTTTGAAATAGAAATAGACATGGAATTGAATTGAAATAACACACTGAGCACATTGTCACAAAACCCACCGTGGGCAAAGGGAGAAAAAAATTGCTAAGTTATCCTATCTCTACTCCAGTTGCTACTTGATGAAGTAGCAGCCATGTAACAAATGCTGCTATTGGGCATCTGCTGTTCAGGTTTAATGAGGGAACAGGGAAGAGTGAATTATGGAGAAAAAGCCTAAACGCCATAATCATAAAATGAGAGTTTGACAACCAGATAGTTTTGTTTTTATGCTTAAAAACCTAAAATGAGCAGCCATACAAATTTTTAAAATAAATAAATCTGGATTTCTGAAATTTGAGAACCAGTTTGGTGTAGTGGTTATGGCCCTGAACTAGAAACTCATGAGTTCTATTCCCACCTTTAGCACAAAGCCAACTGGAGACCTTGGGCTAATGACTTTTTTTAAATATTTTATTTATACACTTTTGTTTTTTTGTATACATAAAAACTCAATATTCACATTGACAGTATGTTGTCTGGGTACAATTGATTTTGAGTAATGATAACAAAAATTTTCACATTGCTATTTATAACAATTATCATCAGAACATATTAATAATAATTTTTACTTATCCTTAATTATTCACCTTACATTATTTAATTAAACATTCTTTTCAATTTTAAGTTTCTAACTTCTGCTTCTATTTTCTAGCCATTGATAGAATGTCTCCCATGTTAAAAAAATATTCTGTTTCCTTCTTATCCTTAATTTTCATTGTTAATCTATCCATCTCAGCACATTCTAATATTTTTTTTATTACACTTTCCACAGTGGGAATATCTTCATTTTTCCAATTTTGTGCAAATACAATTCTTGCTGCTGTTAAAACATGTAAAATTAAATATGTATTTCCTTTATTGTATTTTTCTGGCAATATACCCAACAAAACAATTCTGGTTTTAAATCTATTCGTTGTTTTGTCATTTCTCCTAGCCATATTCGTATTTTTATCCAATATTTTTTAGCCTTTGGACACGTCCACCACATATGGTAATAAGAGCCCAGTAACTGATTACATTTCCAACATTTGGTGGACATATTTTTAAACATTTTTGCCATTCTCGCTGGTGGCAAAGAGCCTTGGTGGCACAGCAGACTAAAGTGCTGTTAAATAGCACCAGCTGCCTGCAATTATTGAAAATTCACATCTCACCAGGCTCAAGGTTGACTCAACCTTCCATCCTTTCGAGGTAGGTAAAATGAGGACCTGGTTTGTGGGGGCAATAAGCTGACTTTGTATAAAAAAGAACACCGCTTTGGGGGGAGACAATAAGCTGACTTTGTATAAAAAAGAACACCGCTTTGGGGGGGGGGCGTGAAAGCCCTACTAAGCAGGTATATACAAAAGTATGAAGGTTATTGCTTAACGCATTGTAAGCCACCCTGAGTCTCCGGAGAAGGGTGGCATATAAATTGAACCAATCAATCAATCAATCAATAAAATGCCACCTATAAAACATTTTGTATAAATTTTCTTTATAAACTGTTGACATCGTCAATTTATAATTTCTAGTGGCTTTCTATTAGCCCTAGGATGGAGGTCTTGGCAAGCCACTCTAAAAACAAAACCTTGCCAAGAAAAGTGCATAGGCTTGAGGTCACCTGGAGTAAAAAACTGACTCAAAGATACACCCTACTAACAAACCCCAATCCTTAAAAACCCAAGATGGGCAACTGTACAAATCTATTAAATAAATTAACCTGGAGTTCTGCAGATTCATCTATTCAGGTCCCAATTTCCAATACTGCTGAAACCTAGAAGAGGGCAGCCCTGTTCATTCACTCCAGGTTACCTCACAAAATAGTTAAGATAGAATGGGATCATCTCAGATGGCCTGGATCTTGTTTGTGGGTAGGTCCAAATGAGTTAGTCGGTTTTGCCCTTCAGATCTACACATCCTAGATAGGAAATATCTAGGAAACTGCCATTATAATGTCATTATGCAGGGAGCATGGTGGCCTAGCAGTTAAGAAGCTGGACTTGTCAACTGGAAGGTTGGCCTTTTGAGACCCAAGTACAGCATGATAGGGGGAGCTCCCATTCCTGCCCCAGCTTCTGCCCAACTAGCAGTTCAAAGGCATGGAACTGGGAGCCCCAAAGGTGCTTTTTTCAAGAGGCAACTGGACTTTCTTCTTTTTTCTTTGAAGACATTTTGCTTCTCATCCAAGAAGCTTCTTCAGCTCTGATTGGATGGTTGGGAATGGAAGGATTTATACTCCTTGCAGACAGTTGGTCATTTGCATTCTTTTAGAGAATCATTGAGGCCACTTGGGGGTTTATCTGTGTCCTCAGGGTCACCTGAGTAGTGCAAAAAGGTGTGGAGCCTTCTTGATTGCAGGATGTTTTCTGCCCCATGTCCCTTCACTGTTGAAGACAGGCGCAGACTGTTGGGGATGAGTCTGTGCTGTCTGCATCTCAAACTGAAGTGCAAATGGTTCCTGTAGTTTGCAATTTTTCTGGAAATCCATTCATACTCCTACACGATTTGAAGGAATTCACCCAAAGTACACAGCTAAAAGTCTATGGAGATTCTCAATCATCCAGGTCATGGTTGTCTCAAGGGTGCTTTTTCAGGAGGCAACTCAACTTTCTTGTCCAAAACAACAACAACAAGAGAGTCCAGTTGCCTCCTGAAAAAGCACGTTTGAGACAACCATGACCTGGATGATTGAGAATCTCCATAGGCTTTTAGCTGTCTAAAGGTCAACTGAGAATCTCCATGGACATGGAACTAGGAGTAGATAAATAGGTACTATTTTGGTGGGAAGGCAACAATGTTCTGTGCACCTCATGCAGGCCATATGACCATGGAAATGTCTTCAGACAACGCTGTCTCCCTCAGCTATGAAATGGAGATGAGCTCCACCCTTTAGAGGCAGATACCACTGGACAGGGGAAAGCTTTAATTTTTTAAAAATGTCGCTATAGAATTCTACAATCTGACTACTCTTGTCTACACCTTTCTGGCTACCACCCCTCAGAGATAGTACTACAAGTACTACAAGCTTAAAAAAAGGCAAAGAAAAGGACATTCAAAACAATTGATGGGGTGCAACTAGCGATGAAATGTATATCGTGGTGTAAAACGTGCAACTTGAAGGTCCTCATTTACTGTAGTCGCCTATGGCTGTCTCTAAAAAGCAAAACAAAAAGCTTGGTGTGAAGATGAGAAAGAAAAAAACATGATGGGTGAAGTGTTGAAAGTCATGCATAATGTAAAAAAAAAAAATTGAACAGTCTTTCCTCCCCCCGCCTCCCCTTAGCAGGAGGAGAATCATGGCATGAAAGAACATGTGGGAAAATTTGGGACTAGCAAAAGAAAGAACTTGTTTACACATTCATAATTAATTGTTGGAACTTCCTGCCCTCAGTGGTGCTGTTCCCTGTTGTTTTTTTGAAATGGCTTTCAAACTTTTGAGCACTACTTGTTTTAAAAGCTACCTCTTGAATCATAGATAGGCTACTTTTAAATAGGGATCAAATGTAGGCAGCAGCTATTAACTCCATGTCCTCTTTGTGACTTTCCTTCAAGCAGTTGAATCAAAGGTCTTTGTGAGGTACATTTGGCCTGATCCTGTCCAGGAAGAGTTCTTCCATTGTTTTTATCAAGTTATGAAAGAAATTGTTACAGTCTCCGGGGGTGGGGTGGGGGAACGACTCTGGAGTCACAGTCTGGCCATTTGGTGACTTACTGCCCTTCTTTCAGCTCTATGAGAGATTTAAACTTTAAAAGTTGTCTGGGTTTTCAGTAAAACTTTCTAATTTAAGTGCAACTATGGTTATGAAATCTTTATTCTACCCTACCCATCCGTGGTTGCTATATTTGGGGAAGAAGGTTGCTTGCTGAATAACTTTGGGTTCTAATAAGTCACTCTGTAGAGTAGCAAATCCATAAAGCCCTTATGGAATTGGAAGTCTCTTAACTTTCTACAGATTGAAATGTTAGTGCTCTGGGTGCACTGTGTCACTCTGCAGCTTCACAGCACAGATGGCTCCAGAGGACTGTGTAATCTTTCTTTTTGCCAGGAGTCGACTTCTCTTGGCACGGCATTCATTGCTGGCAGTGTCCACGTTGAAACTGCCAGTACCCAAAAGCTAAAGGTTTCCAGTGTGTTACTCAGAGGATTAAATTGGAGAATTTGAAAGTTAGGGAGAGATGGAGATACGGAAGAGAGACTTATTGTGAATCCCCTGAGGGAAGAAATGTTTAATTCAGTTCATGTTATAAGTAAAAAGGAATGAAAATCTTTTTGGTTTAAGATATTATTTGGAGTAGATTTCTCCCTTTCAGTGGCCCAAGTTTTCTTCTTATCGTGGAACAATGAATGGCCCTGTTTTCACCCCTTCCTGTCTACAAAAAACATTAAAAAACCCACCTCAGAATATCCTCACTTTCAGTGATCCTGGTATTTCTTTCTCCTTCCTTCCTTCCTTCCTTCCTTCCTTCCTTCCTTCCTTCCTTCCTCCCTCCCTCCCTCCCTCCCTCCCTCCCTCCCTCCTTCCTTCCTTCCTTCCTTCCTTCCTTCCTCCCTTCCTTCCTTCCTTCCTTCCTCCTTTCCTTCCTTCCTTCTACCAAAATTCCTCCTAAAGGCAGTCAGCTCAGTATAGATTCTACAGAATCAACTGTAACATTCATTATTTCATTCTTATGGTGCAAAAACCTTTCTAGTATATAGACAGAGGCTCCTTTACAGAATTCTGTCTTTTTTCTCCAAGTCGAGGAGCACATTCCTTATGTTGCTATTAAATGGATGGTCATGTACTTGATTGCCATTCCAAAAATTCCTACTTAGTTTCTCGAGGAAATAAAACCATGCTGGCTGGAATTCACAGTCCCAATCTTTGTGAGTATTAAGGCTGCAGGCAGGCTGTCCTGGAGCAGGGGTGAAATGCTCCTGGATCGGACCGGATCGCCCGATCTGGTAGCGATTTTTCCCTGTGGTTCAGCGATCCGGTAGCAATTGCCTCCCGGGTGTCATTACTTCCATTACCAAAGTAATGTTTTTTTACCTTCTGCACATGCACAGAAAGTTTGAAGCGTGGCACATGCACTTCCAAACCGGTAAGGAAGGCAAGTAGATTTCACCCCTGTCCTGGAGCCTATGCATTTCATAGTGGTATGTAGTACTGATCCACCATTTAAGAATGCTGCTTTTGTGAAACCCAGTTTAAATCAGAACCTACAGTGTCTGTCTTCACATGGCAAGTGATTTCTTTTCAATGGTTGATCATACCAATTGGGGCATCAGCATCACACGTCACCAGCAACTATTAATCTTTGCGGATGTAACACACTGGTGTCTAATTTACCCAAGCACATACTCCAGTTCAGGGAGTTCCCCAGTAGCTGAACATGTGAACATTCAAAGGGATTCATTGTGACCAGAGATTGTGAGATGGCATTGGTGTTGAAATCAGTCTGCCTATCTCATGGGACTGAGGCCTCGCCTTTAAATATCCTCACTTGATATGGCGGTCATTAGGTGATGAAGGTGAGTGAAGCAGCCCCAGGTCAGAGCCTTTGTCCTGTTCAATTTTGCAGAACGCTTCCCAAGTTGTACTGTGGTATTCAGCACTGGAACAAATGTTGTAAAATAGAACAAGGTGGAGAGCTGGATGCAGTAAACCCAATAAGAATAATGCCACGTGTATTGTGGACAACTTGCTCCACAAGTGCCTCTGGATGGCAAACTAGAAGAGATTTTAAGACAGATAGATGAGCCCTAAAACTGAACAGTTCCCCATAGGGAGATCAAGAGAAGGCCTGAAAGAAACCAGACTGACATGTGCAAAGGGAGGGAGGGGAGGGCTGAATTGATGACTTGGGGGGTGGGTGGGAATGAAGGGTGATGTAGATAGTAACTGTCATGTGCTGCCAGAAGACCATGCACTGGAGGGGGGGGAGACTGTTAAACTTGTGAAAGAGGTTGTTTTGCAGATCTCTCTGAATTTGATATGCTGTTGGCAAGTATTCGAAGCAGTCATAGATTTGGCAATCTTCTCCTAGCAGATTTGAAATGTTCATTCCTCAAGAACTGCTGCATCATTAGGTTATGCAAAACAGGGTACAATTTTGTAAATATGCCATCTTGTACTGGTATGACATTTATTCTATTATCCAAGAAATATGCCAAAGGGAGAGAGACCTTCAGATTCCAGCCAAATATTAACTTGTTTATTGAGTGCTGGTAAAATGTTGACTGCTGTTTGATCTTTTCACAAAGCGAGCACTCCTTGCTATGGCCTTAGTGTTAAAGAGGAGCAGAGGGCATTTTTACCGCTGGATTGACATGAAAAGACACAGGTTGCCTTGGCTGAAAAAGCTCCCTGAAGCCTATTTCTTGGCCTTATGGGTGAGAGCCCTGAGTCAGATTCTCCCTTGTAAAGAGTCGTTTGATAAGAATTAGGCAAATATGGCTTAATAAAGAGCAGTTGAGGATGGCGATTCCATTTTTGGCTGGTATTAATTCTTGGCAATAAGTTATATTCAAAACTTATTTTCCCTCCCCCCTCCCCATTGTTCACAGTCAACAAATTGAACAATTGAAGGGTGAAAAAAATAAGGTCAGTTTTCCAGGAGAACGAAGAGCTATCAAAATATAGCACAGCTTATCTCTTTCTTGATTGTCACTGGACAAAGAGGGGCACCAGAGAACCACAGGGAAATGCAGTGTTCAACTTTCTGCAGTGTCATACTTTAGTTTTACACATTTACTCACTGCATGTGGGAAGTTGAGTTGCCTTCCTTCTGAAAAGCGGCAAGTTGCGTTTTACCTTGATGGCACTAATCACGAAAGGGGAACAACAGGCATGGAGTTATTTCTGTTTATTCCCCTAAGCTAGAAGCCTGTGCTGTCAACACAAAGTTGGCAAGTGGGATGTGAGCTTTCACAAACACATGCATGCACAGCTTTGCAGGGTTGAACGCAATGGCTGCCACCGATCCGTGGGCACAGTATATATGTGCGTGATAAATTTTTAAATTTACAGAACATTTTTATACAGATTGCTTGAACAGGTATTAAGACCCTGGATGATTAGTAGCATACATATCAGAGAGCTCTTTTTACCAATGAGTATCAGTGGGGAAGTAATTTCTCTTTGGTTCATGTGATGTGTTACTCCCGCTTATTTGGATTCATATTTTGCAATTTATCTTCAGAGCATGAGTGGCAGTAATTTTCCTGCAATCCTTTAGTTATCCAAAAGTTTTCAGTACTTGTCCAGCCATTTAGATAAATGAAGAAGTTATATTTTTCTAGTAAGACACGGATGCAGTAATTAGAACATCAGATTTGCAAGTTAAAAAAGCTTATTTCTATAAACTTCTCTAAGTGAACCCACAACCATCCCATTTCTGTTCTCAGAAAGTAAAATAATAAGATCCAGAAGTTTTTCCATCAGAGTTCTGCCTTTGGATATTGGTGACAATAGTTGAACCTTTCATTTTAAATTGCTGGTGCAGAACTTTGGATCTTGGCGAACGGTCCTCAGCAGCCTTTTAGAGGGAACAATTGCCTTCTGAAGTCAACTTAAGGGCATCTTCATGACAGGCGCAGAGAGGTTTTCACATTTATGAATGCTGTATGAATAGCATGGTCATACAGATGCAGCCTTTATTTTCCTTTTGATTTAAAATAGCAGTTTGTTGTATTAATGTGTACTTGAGTCACTCAGACTGAGGATTATATCGTTTATTTATGTTTACATTTTAGAGCTCTACAGTTATGGCCAGAGCAGAAAAATTCAAAATGGTTGACTATCTCCTGATCCATGGAACAGCAGACGGTAAGCAGAGTTAGACCTCACTAGTCATACATCTACTAATAATAAAACAAAACCAGAAAAGGCAACAGCCTTGAGGACTTGCTTGTTCATGTCCATAAAGCTCTATGACCGTGATGGCAAACCTATGGCATGCATGCCAGAGGTGGCATGCAGCATCCTCTCTATGGGCACAAGAGCTGTCACCCCAGTTCAGCTTCACTGCACGGGCAACTTCCACTGGCCAGCTGGTCTTTGGGTCTCTGCTGTGCATGTGCAGGGGGCAGGGCGTGGGGGGGGCATGTGCATGCGCGGGGCCACACATGCATTGCATCTAACCACTTTGGGCATTGGTCCAGAAAAGGTTAGCCATCACTGCTCTATGATGAGTTCTCCCTTCTTTCTTTCCATCTAAGTAATAGTCTGCTTTCATTGTGACCATTTGTCTGTTCTTACTTCCTAGATAACGTTCATTTTCAGCAAGCAGCCCAGATTTCAAAAGCTCTGGTTGACGCACAGGTGGATTTCCAAGCAATGGTATGTGAAGGGATTCGTCAGAAGCTTAGCATACATGTTGGTTTACATTTTCAGTAAAGAAATGAATATAGATAGTCCTCAACTCACAACTTTAATGGAGCCTGCCCATTATAAGTCATGATAAGTTGTAAAGCAGGTGATCCCATGATGACCTGATTTTATTATCTTTTTTTGAAGTGGTCATTAAGTGAATCACCATGATCATTAAGCCAACATTGCAGTCATTAAGTGAGCCCACTTGATGTTATGCGGCATTTTTGCTGAAAACCAGGAATAAATGCCAGTTTTTTGGCAAAAACATCATAAATTACAGTCACATAATCGCAAGACAAATGACCATAAATGTGGGCCAGTTCTCAAGCACCCAAAATGCAGTCATGTGAAACTTTGGAACCTGGTTATAACTCCCTATGAGGTGTGTGTGTGTGTGGGAGGGTGTCCATCTGATTTTGAATGGTCACTAAGCAACTGGCCATAAATCAAGGATTATCTGTATAAGAGGAGGAGGCTAGGTTCGTAAAAGGGGATATACCAGTGGTGGAATTCAAATTTTTTTACTACCGGTTCTGTGGGTGTGGCTTGGGCGTGGTGTGGCTTAGTGGGCATGGCAGGGGAAGGATACTGCAAAATCCCCATTCCCTCTTCACTCCTGGGGGAAGGATATTGCAAAATCTCCATTCCCACCCCACTCTGGGGCCAGCCAAAGGTGATATTTGCCGGTTCTCCGAACTACTCAAAATTTCCACTACCAATTCTCCAGAACCTGTCAGAACCTGCTGAATTTCACTCCTGGGATATACACATCGCCAAAATCAGTTTTGCAGATATGACATTGTAAGAAATAGATGCATGTGCAGTTCCTTTAAAGTGAAGAGTTGGCTTCATTTGCTCCAGTTATGTGCAGCAGCACCAGCATCAATAATACATTTTTGAGCATTTGGGAAGGGAGAAGATAGGAAAGGGTCCCGTCCCCCCACTTTTTAACCACTGATTTAGTTTTCCTGCTACTGAGAGGTACTAAGGTAAGAGTGGAGGACAATATACGATGAGTACATTCACTAAATGGAAACTTACCCATCCTCAGAATGGGTTCAATAATGGGCATGGCCAAGGCATAGAACACTCATTTCTCAGAAAGTAAGTTAGTCCCTCAGGATGTTTGTAACTAACTCAGTAGATTTTGGGATGATGGGGGAGGAGATGTACTCTTCTAAATAACTACAGCCCTAGAAACTGTAGCTACTTAATTTATTTTTCTTTACAATGCTCTTTCAAGAGAAACCAGGCAGAACAGGGACCTTGTGGAGCATTGTGGAATGAAGGGCATATTGGTGCTTGTGGGGGCTGCATGGTCTGCCAGCACACAAAGGGCTTGCTGATGAGAGCAACTAAACTGTTGCTATGGTTACGCAAACCCCATCTTCTCCCAAATGTTCTTACCTATCATTGAAAGTTGCAGATGTCAGGCGTCAAAGAAGGATACGTAGTGATTCTTCTAAGAAGATTTCTTTATCGAGCCATGCCTATAGGCAAAATCTTGCCAAACTAAAGCAGTCTGCTATCTATGCAAGCCTATGCTAAGAAAACTATTACAGAGAGGGTGTCTTCACCTTCTTTCTCTCACCCAAAATATCTGAGATGAGTTATCTCTATTCCTCTGAAATGCATCCCTCCTTCCTTGGAATCCAACCCACCACATTCAATCACACAAGAGATGAACAGACCCATAGAAGTGGGTGAGGGATGGATATTTGGCCAGGCCTTCAATTAGATTCTGGTATAGTTGTGCTAATACTATCTACACCAGCGGTCACCAACTGGTGGTCCATAGACCACTGGTGGTCCATGAAAAAATTTTGGTGGCCCGCAGAAAAATTATTTGCATTTTTTATATTGCACTTAATACTCTTTTTTAAAAAATTCATATTAGTGGTCCGCGGGATTTAAAATTATGAATTTAGTGGTCCCTGAGGTCCAAAAGGTTGGTGAACCCTGATCTACACCATAGTAGTATTATCTGTATTATAACTGTAAGAGTGCTCTCAGATATTGTTCCAATCCTAACTGGAGTTAAACGCTAACCCAAAGTCCACAGCATTTATTTATTTATTATTTATTTATTAATTTTATTTCTATACTGCCCTTCTCCCGAAGGACTCAGGGCGGTGTACAGCCTAATTAAAAACACAAAGACAGGCAAAATTTAAAAATAATTAAAATTATTAAATAATAGGCCAAAGTATATAACCCCAAATTTTAAATCCCATTTAAAACCAATTAAAATCTTTACATTGATAGCCCAGCCTGGCGGAACAACATGGTTTTGTTGCTCTGTGCTTCTCACTTTTCTACAAAGAATGTGTATAATCTCCCAATTTTCTTTCTGGTCTAATCTAGAGTGAGCAGATCTGGGCTACAAAAATATGTAGCAAAGAAACACAGGAAATCTTTAGTAATTGGCTGCCTTTTGGAGGTGGTCTTAGCTCAGATCTGCTCCCCCCGCCATCCCATCAGGTAATACAAACATGCTAGACCAGAGTACTTGAAAAAAAGGTGTAGTGTAGCACATCCTTTTTTTGGATGGGAAGGAACCTATTCTTGCCTCAAGGAGCCTCTTTGTATAGCACTGCCTCTGGCATAAATAGTACATGGACCTGTTGAAGAGGGCAGCAGCCTCGCCCACTTCTAGTTTCCCTCATCCTAATAGGACACTTCTAAAATTAGGCTCAGTTCCCCAGCTCAAAATAGTGGTGATTAGTTGTAGCTTCCTTTTGCTCTGGATGCTAAGCTTAGGGCAGGAATTACATTTTGAAGATTCATATGGCGATGGTAAAGGGAAAACAGAAGGGTCTGTGTCAGTGGTGAAATGTAAAATTTGTTACTACCGGTTCTGTAGGCGTGGCTTGGCGGGGGGTGGATGGGTAATGTGACTGGGTGGGCATGGCCAACTTTTTTTTTTTTTTTACTTTTAAAAGCATTTTTTCTACAACCTCTTCAGCCGGAGAGGTTGTAGAAAAAATGCTTTTAAAAGGCTCTGACAATCCCAGCTGAGCCGCGTGATCATCATAGGCTTTTTTTTTTTTACTTTTAAAAGCATTTGTAGAAAAAAATGCTTTTAAAAGTAAAAAAAAGTCTCTGATGATCGCGCGGCTCAGCTGGGCATGGGGGGAGGCAGGGATTTCTGCTACCGGTTCTCTGAACCACCCACCACCATCGCTACCAGATTGTGTGATCCAGTCTGAACCGGGAGCATTTCACCCCTGGTCTGTGTTCATAACTTATATAAGGCAAGAATGGATTTCCAGCACTGAGAAGTTTTCAATCAGTTCTCAGGCAGCAGTTTTATGATATGTAGTATCTGGAAGCAAAGCCCCTCTAAACCCCCTTCCCTTTCAGAAGGAGACAGTCAGAACACAGTATTTCCCTTCCATCTTTTCCTACCCCACCCTCAAGTATTATCGTGTCTTCTGACCTTTTTAGTATGCATAAATATTAGATGTTGACCAAGGGTCACCATTATCATGATTATCATATGATGACCACTTAACTTCAGTGGAACTTTTAATCTGTGAAATTTACAAAATGTGAAAACAATCCATAGTTGAAGGAATCCTGTTAATTTTTACTGCAAATTAAAATTGGGATTTACCATTTTTAGCCCACAAACAAACAAAATCAACTTTCTTCAAATGTTTTCTCTACATTCTGGTTTCAGTGGCATAAAAGTGCTGTTTTTTTTTATCCAACATGCATAAATGGATGTATGTTTTATCATCTCAAGTAAGAGATTGTGTTATTTACTCTGATACAAAGCAAAGGGAATTCTGAATTCTTGTAGCGTTCCAGTTTTGTGACAGGGGCCACTTATAATCGATATTTTTGTTTTTCTTTTTTCAGTGGTATACAGATAAAGATCATGGAATTGGAGGACATGCCCACAGCCATATTTACCATCACATGAGTCATTTTATCAAACAGTGTTTTAAATTGCCATAACATTGGGAGTGCCTTATCTATGCAAAGCTGGGTAACTTCTGAAGTTTTAAGTGCACTTTTCTAGTAAATTAATTGTCTCATATTTCATTGGATGACACAGTCAATTTAATTTGTGCGGACACTTGAATGAAGAAAACGTAATTTTTCTTTCTTTCTGCAATTACCTGCAGGGATGCACTGAGCACAAACCAAAGAACTACAAAGCTCTATCGTTCTTGTAGGAGCTGCTCCATTCTTTTCTTTTATTTCCCTCAAGAACTATTTTGCATAATAGTGTTTTAAAAATGCAAGTTTCCTTGCAGTAAGCAACCATTGCCTTGGGTGCCGAAATATGCCTTAATCTTTTCTATATGGAACTGCTGTTCTTTTGAAACAAGGCTTAATCCAGGTTCATCAGCTGTTCATTACAAGCCAGGAAAAAAAATATACTTGAATTCTCTGCTTGAGTTCTCTCCGTATTAATTTTAGGTGAAAATTTATTGTTTCAATAAGTATCAGTTTTTCTTTACCTAAACTTGTGTGTCAGCTCTCTATAAATATGTGGATTTCTACCAAAATAAACAGTAGCTGATACAGGGAACCTGTGATGGGAGAGCTTTGCAATCAAGCTTCTTGCTTAAACAGAGAGGGAAAAATCACCGTGCCCTAGAAGCTTCTAACTTCTTTAAAGTCAAGATGGCCATTTTATAGGAATATGCCGCCAAATAGGAGGAAAGGAGAGAGAGGAACATTAAAGTGGTTTTTTTCTCTTGAACATTTGGGGGGGGGGAATTCCAGGAGACACTCTAGAACCAGCAAGTCAGACTACTTCCAGAACTGTTGCAAATGATAATAACCTAACAATGAAAATACCAGCTACTTGAATTGTTCCCATTGGGCAGTTAGGAGACAAGGGCTGGGGCCACCTCACCAAGGGCTTCCATGAATCTGTTCCAGTGAATGATGCCAGGCTTCCACCTTGAGAATGGCAGGACACTTGGGGAAAAAGCAACAGGTGTTACATCTGGGTAATAAAAGGGATTTTATTACAGCTGTTGGAGCCAGCAAGCAGCCAATTCTCTCCCTTCTGCTTTCTATATGCTTGCTATACCAGATGATCTCACGTTTCCCATCTCCAACATGTATCCAGTACAGTGGAAATTGTTTTTCCTGTTTTGACTAGCCCACACATAGGCAGCATTTCCAGTGATACTCCTTGCAGTGGGTTCCAGATTGGGTGAGAGTGATTGTGAATATCTAATCTGCCTGAAATGCACATTCATAAACAATCGCTAGAAGACACCCATGGTTTTCACAGAATTGAGAATGAGGAGTGAGATTAGATGCCACAGGGTGAGAAATTAGCACAGGAATTGGAACCAGATTGCCGACAACTGAGCCAGTAGATATTTAGTCTCTGTATTAATCATACCTCATTTGGATTAATATCACATTTAAGACCGTGGTACATGTTTGGTTCTCTGTATGATATAATTATATGTACCCATCATACATAGGAATCATGAAGACAGCAATAAAAGTCTAATTCCTCTGTTATGGTGAGTAATATAATTTTTGAGAATGGGATGCAAAACATGGTTTGAGAACTTTTCTATGCATGAAATTCATGTTGGATGAATGTAATTTGTTAGCACAATCCTCTAAAAGTTCACTATGGTTAAAAAGGAATCTGTGGAGATTGTTAAAATAGATTGCCTTGCAAATGTTGTATTTTAACTGTAATGCAATAAAATCATTTTCTACTACCAAAGACTAAAACGTGTGATTAGGCCCTTATTTGTTAGCCTCAGCCACAAATGTTGCAACAATTTTGAGTACAATCCAATGTTGGTCCTAAACTTTGGGAAATTCTCTGGCCCACATTTTTTACATTTTCATAACAGGCATCAAGTCATAGTGTTTCAATTTAATTGTTCATGATTTTATGTTATTTTAATTTGCTTTTAATTATGGTTTTATTAATTGTGCATTCCTCCCTTTCTGAGAGTTGAAGTTCACTTGGAGGGCATCCAGGTTGGGAAAAGCGGAGTTAATAGGATTTGAGTCTCTTTAATGAGTGGAAAAATTAATTTAGTGAATATTAGCAGCTTTTCATAATTGCGACAGTTCCTATTAGTATCATGTAACAAAGTTTGTTGAGTATTTTATATTCAGTAAGTCAATGTCAAATCTTACTTTTTCTGGCATGGTGAGTTGTCAGTGACATTAGGTGTGAATTCAAAATAGACAAGGGAAGGGAGAGGAGAGCCGTGTGGAGAACAAAAATCATTTTGTGATACATGTCATAAAGATTTTAAATTCAGCAGGGAAAGAAAATGTATTCTGATTTCTTTAAAGTGAAAGTTGTGCAGGAAGCTTGTTAAATAAAGCAGATATAAAGTGTCATAATCCACATGTTTCTGCACCAGGAAGCAGTCCTATGTTGTTACTTTTCAAATGCCTCCTGCTAGCTCTACTTAAAATCTACAGTTGCCTGAATTTTAAAGTAAAAACAGACATTCATGAAGTCCAGCAAATACATATGTAATTTGCTCTTACATAAATGGAATTGTAAACTTGCAGTGAAAAAAAAAAGATTGGATTTAGTTCTACCAAGAATAACACCATCTAATACATATGTAAGGAATTAGTCCCAATGGGTTCACATTGGCTTTTCTCAAGGGTCTGTATCTATGGATCTGCAGTTCTACATACTTGTAATTTTGTAGAACAAGAGGGACAATCTGCATCCCAAGAGCTACATATGTCCCTTAAAGCCTGCTCTGATCATGATTGGTGAACCCTGGAAGCCTAGTTTCTTGCCATTTTGTGTGGGGAACAAATAGGATCTCAAAGACACTTAACACCCCCATTTCTCTTAATGCTTGATTTAGACTTGTCTGCAACTGCATGTAGGCATCGACATACCTATGCTGAGAAGGGGTTGATGGATAAGCATAGGTTGCAGATCAGTGGTGAAATTCTACCGGTTCACACCACTTCGGGCGAATCGGTAGAGATACAAACTACTGGTTCGGGCGAACCGGTAGTAAAAAAATGCTACTGGTTCCCCCTTGCTGTTCTACTTACCTTTCCAAGCCGTCTTTTGGCATGTACTATGTATACACATGCACTCAGCACGTTTGGTGTGCATGTACACGTGTGTGTTGGGTGCGCATGCATGCACAGCACATTTTTGGTGCATGGTGCATATGTGTGCACACTTTTGGTGTGCACTGTGCATGCGTGGTCAGTGAACCGGTGGCAAGCCAGTTCAGATTTCACCACTGTTGCAGATGGTTGCAAACAGGCTGCTGTGCATACCTCCCAAATCTGAACTATGTATTGTGTGGAGACGCAAGTCCTGCATGCTGATTGGTTGATTCAACTTCCTCTTGGGAGGCAGGTGGAAGGCAAGGCACATTCAAACAACATTAACATTTATAGAAGTGTTAATGCAACAGCCATGCAACCATCTCCGAATGATAAGTATATACATGGGGTAACGGAGACGTCTAAACCAAACTTTACTCTGTCCGCACCCTTCCTGTTAAGAGTTATTCATCCCTAATTTAGATATAATATACATGGATCTTAAAATGTTCTTTAAAAAATCCTAGAGTGGGTTGCAAACAGAATCGAAAATATGCTACGGTGTAATTTCTTAATGGTTCAATTGTGTAGAATTCATCAATCTAGTGATGATTAATGTATTCTGTAGCAAATAAACTCTCTAACTTGAACTCAACTTCCGGTGGCTTCATAGATATATTTATGTAGCTTTCTTGGCAACAAGATGTAAGTGGTTTGCCATTGTCTCCTCAATTTTTTAAAAATTTCTTGGTCCCAATTTCTCCCATCCCAATGACTCATGTAGTCTAATCTTGATTAGCTTTTTGGAGATTAGCTAAAGTCTTATAGATGCTGTTAAAGCATCATATAGTGATTTAGGCATGAAGTAGTACAATGAATCTCTTAGAATTAAAATTCATTAAAATAATGAATTTTAATATTTGGATCCCGATGCAGAGAACTGTAGTATCTAAAGTTTGCATGTTTGCTATAAGAGAGGCCTGAGACCAGGACTAGCTAGCACCAACTCACTGCTGCAATGGTCATAAGGGAGAGTGCTGATTAGCTGTGCATGTTGCATAAAATCTTATCTGTGTTTGTAGAAAAGATTAATGACAATACACTTTGTATCATAAGCAATAAACATAGACAAGTTAAATATAAACAGGAAGAACAGTTAGGATAAATATTTATTTCTGGATAACATTTCTTGAGTCATGAAAAAACAATACTCTATTCACATGTACACTTAAAACTTTTTAATAAATTACATCCAAGAAATTAAGCAGTTTGACCTGGAAATGGGAAATCAAAAGTAAATATAGTATTGCCAGTTGCATTTTACTCTCTTACTATGATTTGAAAATGTTGGGATTGATACTTACACAAAAACAGGATATCTATTTTAAAAAAGAGCCCTCCAAAATACTGAACAGCAATACTGCAGAATAATTCAGTCCATGAATTTTTAGTGTCCAGAAAGCTGAGTAGATAGTTCTGCACATTAGCATTTTTTTTAAAAAAAATACCAGCAGTTTCTCTTCATGGACCACTCTATATTGCATGGCTATTAAGAGACTCACTTGGAATGTTACAAGGGATCATCCAGTTCACAATGACAAAGCATTTTAATCTTATCAGAGTCATACTTTTATCTAAATTTATCCATTCATTTTAGTCAATGTGTTGTTGTTTTTTCTTTGAATTTATCATTTGCATAACATGAATTTGAGGAATTTAGACAACACTGAGAGCCTGCTAATACCGGGCATCAAAAATAACTTCAGAAGCAATGCTTTTCATTATGTAAATCTAATTTTGCCTACTTTTGGCACAAAAGCAGCTGGTGTGATACTGTGTTCAAAGCACAAGGCATATGGAATTGGGTAGCCTAGACTCTTACTCTGCTATCACTGAAGAAAGAGTAGCCTGTGCAGATGGATGAGGCCCATTTCTCAAAGCAGCCATTCCCAAGCTCCTGCAGTTGAGCGGATGCTGTGAATCTGACACACACATGGCTCTTAAGGCTACAACTTTCTTGCAAAAGGCAAGAATACATTTTCTTCTAGCTGATGTTAGAAGAGAACATGTCTATGGCAAGGTCTTGGCTCCTTAATCTTGGTTTTCCATCCGCAACATGGAATTAACACCACATATTTCCTACTTGAACACGCAGAAAAAATCTGAAGCTGGTTGTTGCTTTTGATTACAACCATAGCAGATGTTCTACAGCAAAGGTGGGGAGCTATGGCCCCTTTATGATTTGTGGACTTCAACTCCCAGAATTTCTGAGCATGGCCGGTTCAGGAATTCTGGGAGTTGAAGTCCACAAGTCATAAAGGGGCCATAGTTCCCCACCTCTGTTCTACAGGAAAGACAAGAATCTAAATCGCTGCTGCTTGGACCCACTAGGTGGATCTAATGGAGTGGGAGATTGTACAAAAGGAGAAAGCCTTCTATACACAAACTGTATGCGAAAAGGTTAAGCCATTTCCAAATTGTAAAAAGAACTATGCCTTTTTTTTTCTGTCCTGGAAAATCCCTATTCTTTGGTCCTCTGTTCCTGTCAATATGTATTGTATATGCTTTGAAGTTGATGATCCTTTGGAGAGAAACAGGCACAAATGCTTCATCTAAAGATTTCCATTTGTTTCTTGCACAGACTTAATTTCATGTATGGCACCCACTCAAACATTTCAGTTGAGAAATCAGTTCAGCAACTGCAATCTTTCCAGGTCCCTGACTAGCAAACAAGAATCAGGGCTGTTCTTATCATTGATTCTGCCTCCTTATTCTCTTCTAGCAATGCAAGCTCTGCTGCTCGTGGCTGTTACCATACCTGGCAGCAGAGCTCAGCTGAGGATTCTTCTCATATTAGAGGCAACTTGGAACTTGAAAAAGCCTATATGTTGAAATCCCATAGATATATTTTCCTAATTCTTGAAATCACTGGTGAGCTTGTAAAATCTGATTAATTGTTTGTTAATGTCCTCCACCCCAAAAAGCTAAAAACATATTTAAAAAATTTAAAATGTTTGATATTGTCCTTTTATTTTACTCACAATGCATTCATTCTCACAGGTGCTTGGGGCATTTTTTTCCTCTCTCATCTGCCTTCACACAATGTGACCATTCTCTTCGACAGATTGGCCAATCAGCTAGACTGAAAACCCCCAGTCTTGTAGCCTCCTTCACGAATATGCAGCCACAGGTTGTTTATGTAAATTCCAAATGAGCAACCAATGGGTTTGGCTATCGGGAGAATCATTACAGTGAGAGTGCCCTAAGGAAATTGTGCCCAGGGACCCTACTAAAACTAGGACTCCGTATTTGGCATGATGGTATTTGACCGCAGCTGAAAATGGCCAAGAATGGGGAGCTGTCCAGCACATGCAACCTGCTTGAGGGATGGATCCTCTTTGAAGTTATTTTCTGGGATGAAAATATGTAGTTTGGCTATCGTAAAATTCAAGACAATAATAATATTATATGGCTTCTACAGAAAGAGTGTGGATTCCAAATACATGAAACTGTTAAGAAAGACTGAACATACATTTGTGCAGAACGGAGACCTGATCAGTAACAGCCATGTCCATAAATGTCAACACTTTTTTTCATATTGGGATTCTGACTTCAAACTTAATTAGCAATGGGAAATAAATGAAATTACAATCAAATCACACCTTGGTCCCATTGGTATATAAAAAAAGTGCATGCTTGAACAATTTGCCTGAAATCAATAAGTCTCAAAAATTTAACTGTGGATGGATTGTGCCTGGAAGCATGCACTTGAGGGAAAATGAGAAGCAATTGCCCTACTGATTACCCTGGATCATTTTTACTGATCATTTCTGTGAAGGATTATAATCCAGAAAGTTAGGAAAAGAAATAAGTATTATTTATCTCCACAATGCAGCTGTTGGACTTACCACTGCAACATTTAGTACAGTACAGTATAAGATACAATAGTAACAGCTTGCATTCACAACAAATATTGTACGGATAGTGCACATCGATGGATGTGGCTTTTTTTCCAAACAAGATGAGAGAATGTTAACTATATTCTATATATCTTTATATATTATATTGTTTTATTTTTCCAGTTATATATAAATTTAAATATTAAATATCCAGTATTAAATCAAGGAAATTGCACAAATATAGGTCTCATCCTGTAAATCACACACACATACATACAATCGTACACCCACGCATACAAGCCATGATTTTAAACTTGGGTGTGTGTGTGTGTAACTTCCTTAGAATGTTATGAGTTTGGAGGATTAAAGCACTCATTATTGAAAAATAGCTCTAAAAATGAATTTTTCTTTGTTACTTTTAGATTTCTGAAACTGTTGGCCCCAAACTATACAATTCTTCAGTTGTAGAAATATGGATTCAATAATTGAATCCTTTATTCATCTGAATAAAGATTATTTCCAGTTGGTTTTTTGTTGTTGTTTGTTTTCTTCTGGTATGGAAAAGCTATGAAAATAAGTCACATAGGCAAAGTAGGAAAATATGCCCAACTCTACAGAGAGAGGTTGGAATGGAAACACTGGTTCACATATCCCAAGGGTTTAAACCTTGGAACCCTAAAAAGGTTTCATTGGCTAACCCCGTTTTCTGCACTGCTTCGGTCGGAACCGAAGAGCAGACAATGAACTGAAGCACATACTGCACGACTTACATTATACCAGTGCTACTGTGAGATGATGCACAAGATGTACAAGGGGGCAATCAAACCTGGAACATTAATGATTGCGGCACTCCTGCATTTCTCTTGTTGTTGTTTTTTTTTAAACAAACACACTGAAGAGCAAGTCACAGACAAGTCTCACGATCCACACCTTTCCCTGAGTCAGCTTTCTTCTCTCGTCGGCCTTCAGTGCTAGTTGGGGAAAAAGAGAGAAAGAAATAAGTTGCACAATTGTATTCCCACAACGCATCATTTTGGGGACTGAGTATATGAAGCGGCTCTCTTCCCCTCCCCCCCCCACCAAGCCGGCCCCCATGCTATCAGCCTATGCTCTCATGCTACACTGTTCAGTCTGGGACACAAGAACAGAAATGGGACTGCTCTTTGTGGATTATGATTACAAAGAAAACTGTCAACATCACAGATAAATAAGGAGGAAGCAACAGAGATATTTTTTAAAAAAAACTGACATACAAATATGCATGCACAAAGACAAAAAAAAAGATACAGTACATTGAATGAGGGTCAAACAGCAATGAAAATGTCTCTTGCAAATAACAACTGACAAGGTATTTTAATTGCAGAAACAAGAGAACATCATCCAATTTATCTGCCTTATTTTTATTATTATTATTGTTTATTGTCATGACTTGTTTGACAGAAAGATGGGATAAAAAGTGTCAATCAGTCAATATGTACATGTGCAATAATGCTTTTTATCTTTCAGTAATGTTGTTTCAATGCAACATCAAGGGAAAAAAGTCATACTGCTGGGAGGGGGGGAAATAAGGAAAAATAGATGTGCAATATTTACAACATAATAGGAAGCTTTACTTGAGAGCTTATTCATTCTGTATTTGCACAATAAATTTTATAATTCAAACCTACTGTTAGGATATTGAATTTAATAGCTGGAACAGTAAAGTGTACAATAGGCCAGAACACATAGTTGTAGTTGATTAGTTAGAGAGTGTTGACTCATGCATGAGGCAATCTGCGCTATGATTGGTTGCTGTCAGTATAAGGGTGAGTTTCACTTTTCCCCCGCCTTTTTTCTTTTGTGTATTCTGTGTACTGTTTTAGATTTACCTCATGACATGCCCACGATCCTGACTATCTTGGAAGATGAAATTTTGGTTCCCATTTCCTCTCATACCTTCTCAAACAGATTTTTTCCAAAAAATTTCCCAGATACATTTATTTCCCTGTTGTTTTGTCATGCCCTCTTATTAACTTTCCTTTTGTTTCGAGGAATGATTACAGTATTTTCCCAATAAACTGCAAAACCTTATCAACCATATTTTAACATTTTCTCCAATTAGATCACCCACTTCTGCAACTTTACCAGTTTTCAACATTCTCACCACATAGAAGGCTACCTTTTCTTTACTTTCTACTTGGTATTTCTTCTGTCTTAGAATTCGTTTCAATTGCACTCTTCAGCATATTGTTATCATTCACATACAAATCTCTAAAACACTCATTCCACCACTGCTTCATTTCTGTGCAATCACAAATTATTTTATCATTTTTAATTCCATTCATTCTGCAGCATGTCCTTTTCATTGCAGTTTCCAAACAGTTTTCTATTTGCATCAAAGTTGAACTTCCTTTGTTTTTTTGTTTTTTTTACTTTTCACCATCACTTGCTTTCTTTGATACTGTTTTTCTCTAATAGGCGTTGTCTAATATTTTTCACTTATCCTTAGTTTCGGAAGTAATTGTTCTCTTATGTTCACTTTTTCTTATCCATAGCAACTTCTACTTCATTCCCCCTTAATACTGTTTTTCATGCTACTCATTCCAGTCACTTCAATAACACTCAATAACATAATTTTGTTCACTTTGTTCCAAGTATCTTCCATATCCTTTTCCTTACATCCACATTCCATTCATTTTGTTGTGATATTGATCTATCTAATATTTTTTCCACACAGGATTTGTACTTTCTTTTTCTAAAATTATTCTACTTTCATTCACTCTTCTGTGAATTTCTTTCATTTCTCCCTTTGTGTCTATGTCCAGTCTTGGTCCAATCAATGGTTCGTCCCATCTTTAAAATATTTCATCATCATTTTATTCTTCACAAATTATCTCAACATTTCATCATAACCTATCAAATAAATTAGCTGTTTATATCTACTTTCATCCTTTTGCATGAATTCATGAATAGACTAAAACTTAAACCACATATTCAAAAACAGATCTTTTTCTACACAGATTCTTGAAAAATAGTCATCATTTTTATTCTATTTGTATTCAAATGGTGCAATTATTTTTTCTGCATTACCTTGCCTTGTCTCCAACCATCCATGTGGTTTATGTCACTTAACAGAATAATTCTGCTCCCCTTCATCACATCTGTTGCATAATTTCCACCAAATCAGAACTCAAGTCAGTTAATTACCATAATTTCCTGGCACGTAATATGCACTTACATAATCCTAAACAACTTCACAGCAACCAAATGACACTAATCCATGCTTACTGATATAAAATTTATCCCTTTCATTCATAATTAAACTACAGCTTCATTTTTGTGCATGTATTCATCAACTCCATTCTCCTACGTTAGACTATATTTATTTATTTATTTATTTATTTATTTATTTATGTTCCACTTTATTCCTATTTTCCATTCTTTCTCTTCATATCTATTATTTTTATTTCATTACATTCAGTCATGAATTTCATTACATTCATTACATTCATTCATGTCATTTGCTATTACATTGTATGTAGCTGTTTTCCATTTGCTAGGGTTAGCATTACAAGGGCCGCTAAATATTGGCTTCTACTGCCTATCATAGTTTTGATCATATGAAGCTTTCACATGATGCATTTTCATAAGATGAGACTCTATGGATTGTTACCAGCCTTAGCTGTACTTGTGCCACAAATATTGCTCCCTGCTAATAGTAAGGGCAGTAATGTAGAATTCTGGCACATTTTGGTCAGTATATTACTGGCACAACCAAGGCCCAGTTTCACCTCTAGGAACTAGATATTGCAATCAAACATACTGATCCCACATTCTAACAACCAGGCCCTTTCAGAATCTAGAGCTCCTTGAAAAGACTTGCTGTTCTGTTATACTTTTGTTATTCTTTGTTATTCTTTCTAACTTTACAATTTCCTGTCAGCACAGGCTCTTCTCTTGTTGCTGAAGCTTACAGAATAACAGAGGTCTCCTAGTCCAACCTCCTGCTGAAGCAGGAGACCCTACCCGTGATGGCGAACCTATGGCACGCATGCCACGGAGCCATATCTTCGGGCACGCGAGCCGTTGCCCTAGCTCAGCTCCGGTGCACATATGCGGCTGGCCAGCTGATTTTTTGGCTAGCCCCGCCCACACCTCCCCTCCCAGGAGTCTCCATGCGGCCCATTTTGGATGCCAGGTAAGTACAGGTCTCACGCGGAGGCTCTGGGAGGTCATGCGTGGGAAGCGCAGGGGGGGTCGCACATGCATGCAGGGGGCGGGGCATGGGAGGGCATTGAATTATGGGTGTGGGCACCTGCACACACAAACCCCCCCACGCTCTCTCACTCTTTTGGCAAAAAGGTTAGCCATCACTGCCCTGTACCATTTCAGACAAATGGTTGCCCAATCTCTTCTTAATAAAATCCAGCGTTGAAGCATTCACAACTTCTGGAGGCAAGTTGTTCCACTGATTAATTGTTCTGTCAGGAAATTTCTCCTAAGCTATTAAAAATGCACCTTTCAGGGAGACATTTGGGAGCTAATTATTGTTTAGTCAAGTGCCAAGCTTCCCAAGGAAACTTTAAAATGTTACCCTAACTGATACATTCAGAAGCCAGGAAAATGGCAGGATGGAACAGTAGTTTGAATTTTACCTCCCACTTTGGCAAAGTATGGTGGTGGCATTCTCCATCAAGGATCAAAATGGCACAAAAGTTAGTTGGGTGTGATTTTATCTTTCATCCAAGGTAGACTTGGACCACAGCCACTCGCCCAGAGTCAGGATGGGCATCTGTTGGGGATTGGAGGCTATTTTTCAGCCTATTTTCCAGAGAGGTGCAACAGGCCATGTTGACATGAAAGCATTGGGTGGGAGATGAATATTTTTTGGAGTTTATTTTATGTTTATGAATGGGGATGGTGAAGGGAGGAAATGAAAGCAGTACGGCTCCCAGAGACGCCTGCTTCTCTTCCCATCCTTAATTTTGGGGAGAAAAAGAAACATGACTGCTCAAATACATTCTTCCCTTCATGGGAAAAAAAAAACAACAACACCAGTGACCATGCTGACTGCAGGACGAGGCTGATCCTGGTTTGAAATTATGCTGTTGCAGCATCTCACCCAATGGAATGTATGAATTAATCTCCACCATGGACAGATCGTCTTGTTTATGCTGCTGAGGGAGAGGGAGACCATGGCAAAAGCAGCATGCTATTTTGGGGTGACAAAATTTTTTATTTATTTATTTATTTGTCAAACATATATAAGATAACAAGTAAAAGTATAAACTTAATTTGAATACATGAAAAGAGTAAGAGTAAAAAGGAATATTAGGACAGGGACGGTAGGCATGCTGGTGCACTTATGCACGCCCCTTACAGACCTCTTAGGAATGACGTGAGGTCAACGGTGGAGTTTAAGGTTAAAGTTTTGGGGGTTTGGGGAAGAAGTATACCAAGATTCCAACTGACATCTTTCATTCCTGTTACTTTATTAAAGTGAAGGATTGTGGCTAAAACCAGTATCTCTTCCAAGTTTCATGTGTCAGTGTTATGCATGATATTTGGTAAAATGAAGCTGGATGCATCCACACAGTTTTCCAAATGTGCTTTTCGTCTCCTTTTGAAATGCATTTTGTCTCCCCAAAATGTATATGCAGTATGTTTGTGAAAATATCAAAAGATACCACACAGTAACAATCAAGACAAAGGTTTGGGAAAGGATCTTACCTTTGGGAAATCAGCTTCTAGAGTTTAGGAAGGGGAGCTTATGGTAGGAATGTGATAATGGAACAATCAAGTAGAAAATCATGTTAATTCAGAAGGAATAGTAACTGAGGGAACAGTAGTTAAACAAGACTTCACTTACCTCAACACTCTACACAGAGATTATCACACAAATAAACCCGCCTTTTACGCAGAGGCCTAGCAGCCTTGGAAGATGGAAAAAGTGAGAGAGGGCTCCTTATGCCCATACCCTCTATGCTCTGACTACTCAGAAGTAAGCTACTTCAAGTCATCTTCTTATGGGAAGGGCCCTTTTCAATTGTTACTTATATGCATGTTACATTTTCATTTATGATATTTTATTCAGATTGGAAAGTCCACCTGCTTTAGCTCTTTTCTTTCTGCCATTCGGGGGTAGCAATTCTATTAGGTTCTCACTCTGGAGCACAGTCTACTTTAAAGAAATAGTGCCATTACTTGCAGTGTTGGGATCCTGCTGGTTTAACAACCGGTTCAGTGATTGCGCGCTTTGCACACGCGTGTGCACAGTTTTACAAAAACGTACCTTCCGTGTTACTGCTGGGGAGTAACACAACTGAGGCGCGGCAATCCGCTCTGCTGCACGAGTCAGCTGAGAAGATATAGGTCAGTAAAGCGCAGGGGCGGGCAGGCAGGCCCACCTGATCATTGGAGCGAACCAGTTCGCTCCCAGCTGATCATCGGAGCTACCAGTTTGCCTGAACCTGTCTGAACCGGTAGAATCCCACCCCTGATTACTTCTCTCCCTCCACTCCCTTCCCTCCTGCTGTCCTCTGTGTTGTATCTATTAGATTATAAACCTGAAGGCAGAAATAATGCCTGCTGCTCTTCCCAATCAGATTACACCAGAAAATAGATCAATTCTGGTTGATATGAGAAAGTTTATATCGTCCAGAATCTCTGTAGCACCCAGTAATTCAGATCAGTTTTAAAAGAGGTGATGACAGGAGGGACTGAGCAGACCCATCATAAGGAATCCTTTAGCATTATTAGCACACATCTCTTGTGCTAGTTTTAAGAGTCTATAAAGGTTGCACAATGCCTGCTGCTGTACTATAATTATATTGAGAGAAACAAGCTCTTTTCTTGAGACAAGAGCAACAGGAAAGAAGAAGGGACAGAATGGAGAATGCATCTGAGAAGTGTGCTAAGCCTTCTGTTGTGTAGTTTTACAAAGAAAGGGGGGTACAGATGATATACAGATTATATCCCACCTCTAGTATAATAATTTCCCATATGGAGGACTCTGTATGTATGAGGCATGAAAATCTGTGTCTGTGTCAGGGGATTAGATTGATCCCCAGGGTGATTCTAGATAGCTAGCCCGATTCTCTTGAAGATTTACGCTAGTCCAAAAAGACTAGCAGGATCCATATGGTTGGCACACAAGCTGTGCTGTCCAGAGATTTCTGTGCCAGGGATTCTACATGTGTTCTTCAATATGATTGCTTCTGAGAAGATCCCTGTCTCAATCCAGTGAGCTCCAGTGCAAATAACCACTTGGACTCAAGAGAGGAGAATGGGGTGGAAATATTTCCCTGAGCTTCTTCTAGTTTATTCCTCTAGTATTCTGGAGGAAAGCAAGGTTAGCCAGTATGATCCCTGAATAGAAGCACTTTTTCAAGGGGGCAAAGATGCATTACAATATTTTGTTCTAGGCTCCATTTCTACATCTTAGAAAATTCTCTTGGAGTTCTCCTAGTTTTGGGTAAGAAAGGAACATTTAGCACTTAGCACTTAGACTTATATACCGCTTCATAATGCTTTACAACCTTCTCTAAGTGGTTTACAGATCAGCCTATTGCCCCCAACAATTTGGGTCCTCATTTTACCGACCTCGGAAGGATGGAAGGCTGAGTCAACCTTGAGCCTGGTGAGATTCAATCTGCCAAACTGCTGGCAGCCGGTGATCAGCAGAAGTAGCCTGCAGTACTGAACTCTAACCACTGCACCACCGCGGCTCTTATTTCCCAAGTTATATACCCCAAGGCCTGTAAAACAACTGTGGGCAGTTATTGATGTCAAGATGTTGCCAGACTAGAGTTTGCAGGATCCCTTGTCACTGGCCACCTTGACTAAGGTTGCTTGAAGGTTGTTGGTCAGCAATGTCTGAAAGGTCAAAAGGTCACCTCTGCTATTATAGAAGCTGTATGTTGATGCAATAGCTTAGTTTGTACATATCTAGGGTGCACTTTTATAGACTCTTCCTTCAGATTGACACTACATTGTGCATACTTTGGGGATTCCCCTCCCAAAATCAATTGAATGCATCCATAATCACATTATGTAAATCTAAGTAATAAATGTATGGTGCCTTTACTTTGCTAAGCAAAGCAAATATTTGATCCTCGGCTAACATGAATTATGAAATAAAGGGTATAGTGAAACCTGTTCAGCTCAGTATACTGATTCAGTCAACCAACCCCCCTTTAAAAATTGTATAAAATAAAAATATTTTAAAAACCTTTTAGCAGGAAAGCTGGACTCCTTGTCCTTGGCATTTTCTGATGGTATCAGCATTGTCTTCCATACAGCTGTTTTTGACATCTCATCAGAAATATTTATTACAGATGGGTCATCTCTAAAATAAAATTGGCACGCTCAGAGTCACAATCAAACTATGAATGTTACCATTTAGTGCAGCCAGAGGGGAAGTGCGTCAGTCTGTTTTAAGGTATTCGTTCAAATTACCTGCTAGAACTGTGTGCAACTTTCAGTGAGCAATTTATTTCAAAGGAGATTCAATCAAAGCACTCTTCAAGGTAAAACGTTCGATCAAATGAATTGAATTATTTGCCCTCCAATCAGTTTGGAGTGAATCAGTTACAAACTGAGGATGTAATGGATTTCCTGGCTGAGTTAAGAAAGTGGCAACAGCATTCAATGATTACTTTTCACCCTATTGGTGCCACCTTCATTCAAACACCTGTTTTCCTGGACCCTGTACCATTTTCCTGGTTACCATGTGGGTTCAGGAAAAGGTGGTTACTTTCAGGAGTCACCAACAGTGATGTTTGCATACATCACCTCCGAATTTCCTTTCCCACTTCAGATTAGAGTGACTGTATACCATTGGGAAGAGCTACCCCCTCAGTGACAAAGGATCTACTTTTCACACGGCAAAAGCCCCAGCTTGATCCCTGGCACCTCCAGGGGCTTCTGGCTCAGAGTCACCAGCCAGAAGCCCCTGGAGCAATAATGACTATGAGCAATAATGAAGTAGAAAGAGCCCAGCTCTGGAATTAAGGCAGCTTCCTTATTGGGCTGGAAATGATCCAGCTTTACCATATATAGACCAATAGGCACTTTTAAAGGTTTAACTCCAAATAAGAGCCAAACCAGAAATAAGTTGGGAGATGTATAATTAATCTCTACTTTTTAATTTTGTACCAAGGCTATCATCATCTTAATCAAAGAAGATGCAAAGGTTTTCTTCTAGCATAGAATGAAGGCAGTGGGGTTTTTTTTTCCCAATTGAAATCACTGAATTTGGTTTGAATCCTGCTGGATAAAAAAGGGGAAATATTTTTTATAGCTTTAATGGTGGTTTAACTGGAAAAAGGGGATGGGGGAAATAATTAAATACACTCATCCTCAATCCAGTTATGAAACAATGGCATTGCATCTCTTTTGGTTCTGAAGCATCAAGAGAAGCCAAGATTCATTTCCTCACCAACAGGGAACACAATTAGTTCTGAGTAGTTTACCTGCAGTGTCCCTCAAGTGGCAACTGGACTGTTCCTTCCTCTTCCATTGCTAACATACTTTGTTCCTCCTAAGACCAAAAAAATGGAGAGGTTGACCAACAAATTATTGCGGCAATATTGCAATTTTCAGATCCAATCCCTTCCCCTTAAAAAGAGCATAATTTCTTCACTTCTTTTCCATCCAAATGCTTTTTTAAAAAAATTGTTCTGAGAAAATCAAATGTCGTTTCAGTGATTTTTCTCATTCATAAATCCTCTTAGAAATTGTAAGTGCCAGAAGTTCGGCATTTGCTCTCCCCTGCCAATTTTGCTGTACAAATCAGGATTAGAAAGTGAGAAATGAAAATAAAAATTATGAAATTAGATAGAGATAGATAGAGATAGATTGATAGACAGACATAGATAGATGATAGACAGCCAGATGATATAGAGAGATGCAGAGATAGATATAGTTAGAAGATACTGTAGACAGTCCATTTGCAGTACTTCTCTCGTTTTGTGGGTAATTTCTATTCATTTCAATAGAAATAACACAATTGCATTTTGGGAACATTCTATATCTTCTTTCATTTCATGATATTCTTCTCCTCCTTCAAGCAGTCCAGCTCAGCCAAACAGTACTGATTCCCTTGCCCTGATTTTGTCCATTGGCAGGAAGCTTAAACCAATTATGGAATCTTTGGTGCTTGGTCGTTTTCTTGCAGACATTTCATTATCAATTTAAGTAACATCATCAGTCTGCAAGCAAGAAAGCAACCAAGCTCAGAGAGCACCAAGGATCCTAAGTTCAACCCTGAGCTACAAATATTCTCTTAAACCTTATTAAGGTTAAGGAATATTAACAAATATTCTCTTAAGCCTTATTGGAGACCTGGGGTTTGAAATTCAGTCATCTGGCATTAATCTTATAATCTTAAGTGAAAAGCGGGCAACAAATAACCCTAACAGCAACTGCACTCAAATAAAATTTGATGTCTCTGCTAGATTGTTTCCATTCAAAAATCAACTATTTTTAAATTATTTTTAGGCTTTTTAAAACTCAGTCTGCTGGACAAGTAGGCAGTAGAGGTATTATTAGCGCAAAGGTCACACTTGATAAAAGAAATACATAGTAAAACTTTCGGTTTGTCAACTGCTATTATTCTCCATGGTTTAGAAATACTACTTCTATAAATGCAGCCTAAAATTGCATTTGCCTTTAAAAAAATAAGTTTATTTATAAACATAACCGTGTTTCCCTGAAAATAAGACCTTATATTTTTTTGAACCCCGAGATAAGCGCTTGGGCTTATTTTTGGGGAGGTCTTATTATTTTGGGGTGTGTGGAGCAAGATGGGGCTCCTCTTTTGTCTTACCTAATTTCCAGCTCTGCGTTTAAATATTTTCAGGGAGGGCTTATTTTCAGGGGGAGGCTTATTTTCAGGGGGAGGCTTATTTTAGCGCATGCACTCAAAAGCCCGATTGGGCTTATTATCAGGGATGTCTTATTTTCGGGGAAACAGAGTAGAACTGTGTGGTAAGGCAATAACAGAAAGCGGCATTTAAATGTGATCAAGGTATAAAAATGCCCATACAGATTCATAACAACAAATCTATTCTAAGCACCTTTTGTACGTAATGATGACATATATATTGTGTGGCCAGAGGAAGAATTTATTTGGGGGGGGGGGTGGAACAAATGCATTTAAATGACTGCATCAACATCAACAATACCAGTTAGTTAGTTTCCCACTTACTTCAATGGGAGTTAAATAAAACTAACCGCCAATTCATTATGAATTGGAACCGTTGAGATAAAAGGGTTTCCTTCTATTGGATGTATGTCTGCATCAAATTTAATTTCAATTAGGAATATCAGATTAATCCATAACATAGTAAGTGGCTGAGAATAAATATTGTTTTCCACCTTGATGTTTAATGGTTACTATTGATGGAAATTTACTGTTATATTGAAGATCAAGCCACAAAATGAAAAATCTTGATCCAGTCAAATCAGACTTTTAAAAACATCTTGTCAACTTCATTTCTATCTGTATGGGGAACAGATTTCTATTTTTAAAGCCAGCATAATGGTGCCTTTCCAATTAAATTCCAGAGGCTCCATGTCAAAAATTGTTACTTCTAGTTAATTTTGTCATTTCTAAGCTTCACAGCTTCCCAGGATTTTGACAGCTGAGCAGGTTTAATAATAGCCTCAAATATTTAGTAATGCCATAACATGTAAAAATAGGGGCTCAGAAAATATAGCAATTGAAAAGAAAAAACACACTTATTCCTGTTTTCCTTTCTGCCACCATTCATATTTCTAAAAAGAAAGTGCAACATACAAATCAGACCAAAACAAATGCATCCCTGGACAATCCAAAGAAATATCTTGTCTACATTTGACACTTCCCATTGTAGGAGACAGAACATATCACTTCAGCTGGGCTTGGGTGCATGATTCAATTATTTATCCACAGAAAAGTTGGCTAAAAGAAATCTGAAAGCAGGAAAATCGCTACCTATTGATACATGTTTATATTAGGTCTACCACTTCTGAGCTGCAGAAATCTGGATAAGCAGTAGATGGCAGCAAAGAGTTAGAATAATCAAGAAGCCATAGGGATTTTTGCAGCCAACATCTGGTCATTCTAACTCATGCTGACTTTCCTATTTCTTATGCCCAAACCTGCACTATTTCAGAGAATTACTGAGCATAGACAGATCACTGACATCTTAATGATTCCTAGGAATAACTTAACTTTGGGTGGATAGTAATTATTTCATTTAACACTTCATATTTAAATCAGCGCTTTGGCTACTCCATATGGAAATACACTTCCTATTTGCATGAAAAATGTACCAAGAGGCCCTATCAACCAAGCCAAAAACTTATGTTAAAAAATGACATACAAATCCCTTCTTAGTGAATTGGCCGCCTTTATCTGCAGAGCCACCGGTTAGATTTGCTGCTTCAAAATAGAATTTTAGTAAGCTTAGTTAATAATATTGGAGAAGGAACAAAGAGAGAAAGTCAAAGAAAAGACACCGTAAGCATACCTCTTTTTCAGCATCTTCAAGTTTTTTTTTCTTGCTCTCTGGCATCAAATCATCCAGCCAGCTTAACTCACGTTTGGTGAAAAAGAAGTCCATGAGTTTTCTGACAAACACCAATGCCAAGACCTAATCCAAATATTTATACTATGGTAAGATTATTGACAGGCACAGATGACATATTTCTTCTTAGAAGGAAAAAGTCAAAGTCTACAGTTCTAAAATTATTTTTGCAAAATTCCCTCAAGCAACACTAATAATTACTGCTATATGCATGTAAGTAATTTATCTGAGTTATAGGATGAAGTAGGTATGATCTGTAAGAGAAATGTTATCTTTTCACTATGATTTTTTTTTAGTAATAATCACATCCATACTCAAAGCGACTACTGTCCCTTAAAGACAACACTGAATCTTATACGAATTCAGAAATAATGGATTCATACCATCATCGGAAATACAATGGCAGCTTTTGAAACTTTAATAACCCATAGTAACACAAGACAGCTCAGCTGGATTACTGTGAAGAGATGGACTTTTCGAAGGGGAACATGTCTTAGGTAGATGAAGTCTGGCTGGTGTTTGGCAGGCATCCAGAATAACTTGATTCTGTCAAAAAGCTAACAAAGAACAGACTAACTGTTTATATTTAGGAAAAGACATTACTTTAGAGATAGTCAAATGAAATGTTTAGGGTTAGACAACTACTATAACAAAGGCTTGTCCATTGTCTACCTCTGCTTATGAATTTGCATGCCTATGGTTCACAATTTCTGAATTAATATAATTCAGAAAAGTTTTTAGAATTGTCTGTATATGTGAGAAGTTCTTTAGCAGATCCAGAGTGAGATTGAAATAGTTCAGAAATAATCCACCTTGAGCCATGGTGATACAATGGTTAGAATGCAGTATTGCAGGCTAATTCTGCCCATTTCCAGCAGTTTGATTCTCACCAGGCTCAAGGTTGACTCAGCCTTCCATCCTTCCGAGGTTGATAAAATGAGGACCCAGATTGTTGGGGGCAATAGGCTGACTCTGTAAACGTCTCAGAGTGCTCTAAAGCACTAAGAAGCAGTATATAAGTTTAAGTGCTATTGCTTCTGCTTGTGATCTGCATCTAAATTCCATTCTTTCAATACACACATGAAATTTTAAATAACAAATAAAACATACATATATATAAAACAGCCATCCTCCAACCCTTTCCTCCCAGAGGCGGTCAAATTAAACTACCATCATTCTCCAGCTAGCATCACCTTTGACTCTTCACTGGGGATAATGGAAAGTTCAAATCTAACATATCCAAAGGGCTCTAAGTTGGGGAAACCTGTTTGAAATCCATGAATGCAGACAAACATAGCAAAATATTCAGCTTCAACCAAAAGAATACAAGAGCACACAATAGATACAAACTCATGGTAAACTGATCCAAACTAGACTGCAGAAAATACGACTTCAGTAACAGAGTGGTCAACGCCTGAAATGCACTACCTGACTCTGTGGTTTCTTCCCCAAATCCCAAAACTTTAACCTTAGACTGTCTACTGTAGACCTCACCCCATTCCTTAGAGGTCTGTAAGGGACGTGCATAAGCGCACCAGCATGCCTACTGTCTCTGTCCTAATGTTCCCTTTTATTCGTATCCATTTCATGCATTTACAATTATGTTTACACTTGTATCTTTCATAAAATACATGCTTGATGAAATAAATAAATAAATAATAAATAAATAAATAAAAAATAAAATAATTTGGCAGCAGCCATTCCAGCCATTTCTGGAACTCAGGGATGGAGCAGACAGATTTTTTTCTCACTGACGATTGAAAATTGACTGATTCACCTGAAAGAGAGGAAGTGGCCATTTTCAAACCTGTTCTCTCCCCCTTCCTCATGTGCGGGCATGCACGTGCACACACACACAAACACACATTTATAGTAAAAATATATCATAATGATATGTATAATGGGATTTGTTGAAATCATACTGTAGTAAATCTATTTCTTTTACTGAAATTTCATTTTATACATTTGGTGGTATTCTTTGTTGTCAATATATAGATCTTGTTTTTTCTCTTACAAATAACTAGTCTTCATTTTAACTACCTACGAGGATTTTTTTCCCCTACAGATATGCAACTTCCATCGTGCCTTTCCCTTGACACCACTATATTAGCATTAATAACAAGCAAAAAAATTCTTGGCTTCTCTGAAAGAATCCAATAAACAGGGAATTTTGACAACCCAACATCTCATAGTGGATGTCGGATGAAAGATGCTATTTGTCAATACAGCTGAAATGTCCTTACTAGCTATTGTGTCTCTAAGTTTCCTAACCAGGAAACACACGGTGAAATGTGGTGGGAAAGGAAACAGGATCTTAGGCCCAGGAATATGTCAGATGCAAGCTATAATTCTGGCAGTCTAGAGTTATGACTCAGAGTTTTGCTATCAATGCTGAAGTTTAGCCACCTCTTTTTATGTAGGTTGTACTTTTTTCACATTTGTGTCCAATTTAATAATGCATAGCAAGCAATAATAACTTGGCTGTGTTGACCACAGCAAAAAAAGAGACGGGAACATAAAATATTTCACATCCTCCGCTTTACCTGAATTCCTTTGAGAGAAGAGGCACCCATGTAAAGAAATACACCGTAAAGTACTGGCATGGGAATAAACTGCAAAGAGTAGAAGGAAAATGTATATCGTTTCAGTAAATTGGTAGTGACAGGAGGCATGAAAAAATGAAGAACCTGGCAATTTATTTATTCATGTATTTTTCCATCAAGAACTCACACAAGAGCAGACTGAAGGTGACACTGTCCACCTTTATGGATGATGTTTCATTGCTGTAACATCAGCCTGCAAGGTTCATATGGGGAGCTATGCTCTATTGGGTTTTTTTGACTTAACTTAATGAGTGAACTCAGAAATTGTGGGTTACAATGTATGGCTTTAGTAGGTCACCATAATTTGTTCAATAAACCACGGTTAAAATATTATGGGAGCCCAGCCACTGGAGTTGAGCAGCAAATAAATGTAAATAAATACATACATAAATAAATACATAAAATGTTTTCCAAAATCTCTGACCGCCACCCTGCTTCAAATTCAGCTTTTTTCACAGAAAGAAAATTTTCTCTTGAAATTCTATCATGCCCAGCAAGGTTTTTCAACTCAAATATAATAATTTTTTTAAAATGAGCTGCTGGTCAGCTGTTAGCAGAGGGGAAAAAAGCTTACCTTAACAATCCTCTGAATTTGGCCATATCTTTTTTGTGAATTTATTAAATGAAATGCCAATTATTACATCATTATTGAAATGTTGAAGATTCTATATGGCACAGGGAACTTGAGTTAACCATTACTAGAATTATTCAAATTATTACTGAATGGGTATTATTCATATTGAATTAGATTATAAAGATATGATACCGGTAATATCTTTCTAGTCAAATATTTAGTCTATGAAGCTCAGGTCTATCTGGATGGACAGCAGTTCTCCAGGATCTCACCCAGCTACCTTTCTAATATTTTGCAACCTAAAATCCTTTGTTTAAAATAGAAATACCCAACATTTGTACCCATGGACTTCCAGGTCCAAAACATATGCTTTATTGTGAAATGGACAAAAAAGTGCATAAGAAAAGTATCATTTGTTTATAGGACCTAAGTGTTCCAAATTGATATCAGATATACATAACGTGCAATTCATTTTTAGTTTGGTTTTGTGAAGTGTATACTTACTTTAAGCACTCTGGTTAAAAAAACTGAGCAGCCCATAAGGACAAATATCATGAGCCCAGTGACCCTTTGCTCACGAATGCCAAGAAATTTGGGCTGCTCTCCTGGAGCTGAACATTCGGATTCCAACTTTAAGCTATTCACGTGAGAGATGGACAGAACAGTGGCAGCCACAAACCAAGGCAGGCCCATGATCGAACACACGCCAAGCATGAGGGCCACCATCAGCAAATCCAAGTGATAGCCACAGCCTTTCTGTTAAAACAGAGGTGACAACAGACAAAGCTAGAAGGATAGGAGCCAACATCTATTTAGAATATGAACCAATAGTTGCACTTAATAAATGTTTACATGCCAGTAAGTGAAAAGTACATGAAATTGTATTAAGGTTTCTCCTGTTTTTTCTCTTATAGTGTATCAACTTTTCTCAATCTAATATCTTTTGTCCTAGATAGGATTCCGAGAGCTGTAGTCCAATACATCTAGAAGGCACCGGATGGGAAATATTCACAGTCATACACAAGAACAGATGTATCTTCAGTTTCTTCTATACATTCTTTGTCCAGGTGAGAAACCACAGCCCAATGCTTGATAGATTGTCCTATTTCAAGGGTGTTATTTTATTCCCATTTCTCCTAATCTAATAACCTTAGATTAAAACTTTCAACACTCTAGACCAGGGATGTCAAACTGTCGGTCTGTGGGCCAGATGAGTCACAAGCAAGCCACACCCACCCCAGCTCCACGAATGGGAAAAACTTCATGAAACATCACATGATGGCAACGTGATGGCGTGAGTTTGACACCCGTGCTCTAGATGCTAGCCAAGTTAGAGTATGGATGACAGAAATTGTAACCCAAATGATCCAGGAGACATTAATTTTGATGAGATTGTTTTACAGGATCACTGTTATTTATTTCTTCATATTCTGGTCTACAATGCAATTCAAAACAACCTCAGAGTCCACTAAGTACGTTGGAAGCAGTTTTAAATTACATCTTCATATCGGATGTATAGAATTATTGCATAAACGGTCCACCAGACAATATTTATGGAATAGCATCTATGCTGAAGCAGGTTTGCCTATTCATGCTAACAAAACAAAAAAAAAAAAAACACAGTTTGTGACATGCATTAACCCCCTTTTGCATCAAGAAATATATTCCCCTCTCTACCGACAATCTGTAGTGAAAGATACAAATGCCTATTTTTAAATGCTGTCAGATAGATACCGTATTTTTCGGACTATAAGATGCTCCAGACTATAAGATGCACATTAGCTTTAGAGGAGGAAAACAAGAAAAAAAATCTGCCTCTGCCTCTGCTGACCCTTCACTGTGTCCCATTCACCACAGCTGCTACCTATTCCCCGCCGCAGCGGCCTGTTCACTGCCACGGCCCATTTACCTCCACCTGTTTGCTGGCAATTGCCGCAAACGGGCCACGGCAGCGATAGGCAGCGGCGGCAATCCCTGTCATCTAGAACAGCTGATCGGTGCCACACCAACCCTCTTCCCCCCCCCCACCGCAATATTCACTCTATAAGACGCACAGACATTTCCACCCACTTTTGGGGGGGATGCGTCCTATAGTCTGAAAAATATGGTAATTTGCATTTAAAAATATGCAGAGAGCCTGGAATCATAAAGTAAAAGGTTAAAATAACTTCGGTGGAGTTACTTTCTTACCTTTAGCTTATGTTCTTTCCTGTTTATAATAACAGCTGTAATTTGTTGGTCCATAAATATCAGAATGGTACAAAGAAGAGCCGGAATTAAAGCAGCTAGGACTGTCCACCAAGGATTGGGACCCAAGGGTGAGACAATCCAGCCACGGTCATCCCTAGTAGGCTAAAAGAATTCAAGCACATTTCAGACAGTTGAAACGTATTAAATCAGAACATCATTTGCCCTCTAAGAAAGGGCAAAATATACTATGTGTTATAAAATCAAAATGTTTTACATTAGGTTCAGACCATTATAATAGCACTGGTGATGGTTCCGAATTTTAAAATAATAATCCTTGCAAATTTCAAATGTCCACAGTGCTTGTTCTTAAAGTAAGTGTTAAGGAACATATTTTTAAAAATCTATACAGGACTCCACAGTTAATACTGCAAGATCTTTAGGGATTTAACATGGATATTGGAGCGGGGCAAGGAAGTTCTTACTAAGCTTAATTAAGCAAAGCAATCTGTATTTCATTTACCCTTTGAGTTTATTCTTAAATTCCTCCATTAAAAATGTACTATACAAACTTCATATCCCTGATATTTCGATGAACCCTAGCATGAAATAGCTATAAGATGCATTGGTTGAAACCAATGCCACGTTTTTGTGAGGTCTAGCATAACTTGATAAGGAATTACCTTAAAAACATTTGGAACTTGAAGTTTTGGTGATGGGATCCCAAGGAAATAGTCAACTATCACCATAGATAGGATGGTGAGAAAGACAGCAAAGTCACTTATCACAGACCGTACCTGTAAATATTAAGCCAATCATCACTGAGAATGCAAAGAGTTTTCATAGATGAGCAGGAAGAAAAAGCAATTACTAGGAGGGCTGTTGAAGATTTCAACAACCTTAGAGAGTAAGTGGTTCAAACCAGGGGTCACCAACCTTTTGGACCTCAGGGACCACTAAATTCATAATTTTAAATCCTAATATAATATGACCACTAATATGAATTTTTTAAAAAGATAAATAGTATTTAGTGAAAAATAAAAATGCAAATAATTTTTCTGCAGACCTCCAAAATTTTCTCACGGACCACCAGTTGGTGACTACTGCTTCAAACTACCTGTGAAGCACCTTTGTTGTTCTTTAAAGTCTTCTTTGTGAACCTAAAAAATGTACAATTGCTTTCATAATTACTCAACACAAACCTCTCTCTCTCCCTCTCCCTCTCCCTCTCTCTCTTTCTCTCTCCCTCTCTCACACACACTTTATCTGTCTGGAGGGCAGCAGTTTGGAAAGGCTGGCTAAATACCCTTTGAAATACTTGAAGATTGAATTGTGAGAAAGCAGCAGTGGTAGATTTGGTATAAGGCTGGCTACAAAGCAATCCATAACTCTACAGGCTATCAGAAAGTTAGCACCAAACCACAGGATGCACAAGAGCCTGTAGTACAGTGGACTAAGCACTGTTATTAACAACTGCTGCTTGCAATTACTGCAAGTTCGAATCTCACCAGGCTCAAGGTTGACTCAGCCTTCCATCCTTTCTAAAGTAGGTGAAATGAGGACCCAGATTGTGGGGGCAATAAGCTGACTTTGTATAAATATACAAAAGTATGAAGGCTATTGCTTAACGCATTGTAAGCCGCCCTGAGTCTCCGGAGAAGGGCAGCATATAAATTAAAGCAAAAAAAAAAAGTGTTTGAGTTTTGGCTTCAGGAACAAATTTGCCTAAAGCTGCCTTGTTGTATTAAGATATGTTATCCCTAAGGAGGACCTGACACTTAGAGCATACTACATACAGATAGCCCTTGACTTAGGATGGACTCTCCAGGCATAGTTCCAAAGTTCTGATGACCGCTGCCCTCTGCAGTTATGTAACTGCATTTTGGGTACTCGGCAACCGACTTGCGTTTCAAGCCATTTGCAACATCCCATGTGCACACAACCACGTTTTACATTTTTGCTGAAAACTGACATTTACTTCTAGTTTTCAGCAAAACCTGGTCATAGCGAATAACTGATTTGTTTAATGACCACAGCATTGGATCAACAACCAACCTGCCTTCCATTGAGGAATTGTATACTGCAAGAGTCAAAAATTCTATTCTATTCTATTCTATTCTATTCTATTCTATTCTATTCTATTCTATTCTGGTAAAACTGGGTTATTTGCATGACGGTGGGGCATTGCAAAGTCGAAGACTATCTGTACATTTAAATTTTAAAATTCCTGATTTATTTATTCTGCTGAAAGTTAATTCCTGCCCAATTTTGGAACAAGAAGAAAAATTGAAACATACTTTTTCTCCTCTCCATTGCTATTCTCAGATATCAATGCCTCAAAGGTATTAAACTTCTTTAAAATGCTGTCCCGCACTGCAGAACCAAGATGAGTTAGGGGTAACCATGTCTGGCATCATGTGCTTGCGATATTTCTTTCATGATTTGATTTTTTTAAAAATTACCTTGGTTGGGAAGTATCGGCTAGTCTTGAACTGCTTCAGTGTGGACGACAGTATGACTGTAGAAAAGAATAAGATGACTGACCAGAAGAGGACATCTGGAACGTAAGGCTCATGATGGCCACAGGCTTGTCCAACAAACATCCCTTTCCAGTTCTTGCATTCCTAGAGGAGAAAGTAAAGGCACTGTTTCTGTTTGCTAACTGAAGGCATGCTATAAAGCAGAGGTGAGGAACTATGGCCCCTTTATGACTTGTGGACTTCAACTTCCAGAATTCCTGAGATCAGCATAGTTGGCTCAGGAATTCTGGGAGTTGAAGTCCACAAGACATAAAAGGGGCATAGTTCCCCACCCCTCTTATAAAGAAACCAAAGACAGAACTTTACACTCCATGATCATTAATACTCTTTCTTGCATTGAAGGCTATTGTAGACATTTTTTAAAACCCCATCCATAGTTTACATTGTATATTTAAATATCTTGCGCATGTTTGAAAAAAAATATGGATATTATGTACAGAAACTCTAATCTGGGAGTCTAGAATTGGATCTTGTATTGATAGTGCAATTGGTAGCATACTAAATTCGGCTGCTAAAGAAGTTTGAAAAAGTATTATGCCTTTTTATCCCTGCTGTCTGGAAATACTGGAGGAAGATTAAAATGTACATAATCATCAGCGCACTGATAATGCCACCTAGCAGTGGTGAAATCCATTTTTTTTTACTACTGGTTCTGTGGGTGTGGCTTGGTAGGCGTGGCAGGGGAAGGATACTGCAAAATCTCCATTCCCACCCCACTCCAGGGGAAAGATATTGCAAAATCTCCATTCCCACCCCACTCTGGAGCCAGCCAGAGGTGGTATTTGCTGGTTCGTCAAACTACTCAAAATTTCTGCTACCGGTTCTCTGAACTGCTCAAAATTCCCACTACCGGTTCTCCAGAACCTGTCAGAATCTGCTGGATTTCACCCCTGCTACGTAGTTTGGTAAAGAAACGTCTGCAAGAAAAACACTAAACTCATAGAGCGGCAAGGACCCCACAGATTAAATAGCATCATTTTCCCTTGCTAATTCTGACTTGCAAGCACTGAAAGGGGTTGCTTTTCACCCTTCACAGTACTGAGCCAAGAATAAAAAGTGATTTCAATGGCAGCATGCTAGATGCTACGTGTTCCGTTCAAATTTGCTGGTGCTTTCTTAGTACTTCTGAACCAGCAGCTTGGACTAGCTTGGGCACTTGCTTCCTGGAATCCTAAAGCTGAGTTTAACAGCCAGAAATTAGAGGCATAATTATATCTTTCCTTATTAGCTTTCCCTTTGTTTCTCCCTTCTTTGGCCCTTATATTCTGGCTCAATTAAAACATACACAAAACCAGTCAAAACTTTAAATCAGCTTCAGACAGTCATTTCAAAACAACTAGTTGACTCAAAACCATAATGGATTAACTGTGGTTTAATTTAACTGGGAGACAGTGAGGATCAAAGGGATGTCCAGGCCTGGTTAATATCATGTTTCATACCACCTATTGATTATAGTTACATGAGAAATGTTACTGGAAGGTTATGAGGTCTATTCTAATCTGGCACTTCATCATATTTTGTTAGCAATCATTATTTTACATTTTTGATAGCAATAAGTGTTTTTCCGGTGGGACCGGTCTATCAGGGCAACCTGGTCTACCAAATATGGGACGGAGCAGTGGTGGGATTCAAATAATTTAACAACCGGTTCTCTGCCCTAATGATTTCTTCCAACAACCAGTTCACCAAACTGCTCAGAAAGTTAACAATCGGTTCTCCCGAAGTGGTGCGAACTGGCTGAATCCCACCACTGGGACGGAGCATACTGCTTCTACTTTTGCCTTTCAGCCCCATTCCAGGAGCCTTTGCAGGCAGTCGCTTCCGTGACAAACTATTTTCTGTTAAATTTAAATTTACCGACAAAGAAATAAAGGTAGCAATGTTTTTTGTTCTTTTTGTTTTGTTTTAATTTAACACAGTGATGGCGAACCTTTTATTCACAGAGTGCCGAACAGGTCCGTGCTTCGCACACTTTGTGCCATCCGTGCTAATGCGCGGCTCCTTCCCCATGCGTTGTGCACACAACCGCACCATCAGCACAAGCACACAGCTTTTGCGCACACCCCACTATGCGCTGCACACGCAAACACACCATTGCACATGCGCACAGCTTTCGCATGTGCGCCCCACCATGCGCTGTGCGCACACTCACACCATCTCCGCGTGCGTGTGGTTTTTGCACGTGCAATGCACGCGTGCAAACACTGTCTGCGCATGTGCATGCTGTGCACCAGTACTCTCGCGCACATGCACAAATATGGACACATGTGCAGGGGAACTCTGAAGACCAGCTGGGTCCCCTGAATTGCACACATGCGCATTGGAGGCCCAAGCACCAGCTGGGGCGCACACATGCACAGCTGCAGGTGAGTTGGGCGATAGCTCGCGTGCCCAGAAAAATGACTCTGCATGCCACTTCCGGCATGCGTGCCATAGGTTCGCCATCACGGATTTAACATGTTACTAATGTAGGTCTTAGAAGAAATTATCTAAGTTTTAACAACCAACTTAAGACAGGAAAAGCTGGATGACGAGCATACTTAAAAAGCTCAAAACCATTATCTCTGGATCAGTGTCAAGTAACTGGTTTGTAAAGCACAACTTCTGTGATGGAAAACATCAGATTAATATACAAACGTTTAAATAATTTCTAGTGGTTTTACATTAGAGATACTTTCCTTTGCCACCAGGGGACGATAGACTCCACACAACTGCATTATATAAAATTTGACACAGTCCAGACAAATATTTGAATGCTCATTCTGAATGGCGCACGTTCCACATGCTATCCCAAGCTTTCCATGGCGCTTTTCTATGTGCAGAAACACTTTGTGCAGATATATACAGAATCTTCCTTAAAATGTATTTCCATATCAAACCCTGCAGCACATAGTATGCTCATTTGTTCAATGCAAACGTTTAAAAGACCGTTTAAATGAGATCTGTCAGCAATCTGCACTATACAGTAGTCTGTATGGCTGAACTGACAGATTATTGGGAATTTGCCTAGACTATGTTTTCCGTTCTTAAACACGGAAGAGAGTGGAGGAGAGAACATTTTGAAAGTGGAGAGTTTTTTTGCAAATGGACTCATGGATGTCAATGCCTTAGGATTCCTTGCCATATGTTCTAAAGCAGGAGTGTCCAATCTTTTAGCTTGCCTTGGCTACACTGAGTGAAGAGGAATTGTCTTGGGCCGCATATAATATATATAAATCACATAATAATGTTAAAAGTTTTCCATGTTGTGGACCCTCAGTGCTAGCTATCCAGGGCTACCTGTGACCTGTGGGTTGGACATGCCTATTGTAAAGTAACCTAAGGAGCCATCTAGCCAGAAAAACTGGTTTTCAAGGAGTATTTGTCTTTACAAAACTGAATCGGGGTTAGTACTTATCAATGCATCATAAACCTAGCCGTAGCTATTGTCAGCTTTACTATTGCTCCTTTTTGTCATCTCCTCCTAAATAGCTAACAAGAAGACTCCGTCACTTTCCCAATTACTAGTTTGCCATGAAGCCGGAGTAATGGTTTTTAAAAAGCTATTGGGTTATTCACAAATAAATAAGGTCTAGATTATTTGACAAAGTATATCTTTATATAGTACCCAGGAAACAATTAAAATGATACCACTTCTGATTGTTTAAATATAATGAAAGAAAACAGAGAAGAAGGAAATGTATGACTCAAAACCTTCCTTCAGGTTCACAGACGCTAAACAAATGTGATGCGGTAGTATTTGCATAACCCAGCCTGCAGTTTTAAAAAACTACAGCACTGAGAACACCAGATTTGTATTTTAAAAAGTTTTTTTAAAAAAAAAAAATTGTCCCTTTGTTTCCCTTTGTTTTAGCTTGTCCTGCAAGCTTGGCATTTTTCAATCACAAAAGAGCATTTTAACCTTGGATTCAGGCTAAATGATTGTATTCATATAAAAATATGTTTTGAAACTAATAATCCCAGGGTTGCATGTATGTATCCCCTTAAAAGATTCTTTTTGTGTCATCCAGAGTTGCTTAGTCCTTCCTAGCCCAAAAATTTCAGGGGGGGGGGAAGCAGGGGTGAAATCCAGCAAGTTCTAACAGGTTCTGGAGAACCAGTAGTGGAAATTTTGAGCAGTTCGGAGAACCGGCAAATACCACCTCTGGCCGGCCCCAAAGTGGGGTGGGAATGAAGATATCCTTCCCCCAGGAGAGGGGTGGGCATGGGGATTTTGCAATATCCTACCCCCAGGAGTGGGGTGGGCATGGGGATTTTGCAGTATCTTTCCCCTGGAGTGGAGTGGGAATGGAGATTTTGCAGTATCCTTCCCCTGCCACACCCACCAAGCCATACCACACCCACCAAGCCATGCCCACAGAACCGGTAGTAAAAAAAATTGGATTTCACCACTGGGGAAAAGCAACCCAGGTCATCCATACAGGTTTAAGACAAGATCCTCCAATTGCTGCCCTTAACAATGTCCTCATCCCACATATTCAGTGTGGCTCTTTGCAATCAAAAGGGTATCCAATAACAACATAATATGATACACACAGTTTCATAAAATGCCCTAAAGCACAAATATTTTTGCTGCAACCATGCAGTCTTTATAATATTCTTGTGAGGCTTCACATACGACTCACACTATTCTTGGATTAAGCTCAAGATGGTTCCTATATGATACACAAATTAGGTTGTATCACAATTCTGCACTAGTGGAATCTGAACAGTTGAAATTTCTTAGAAATATTTTCCAATATTTGGAAGTTCTGCGCTGACAAGCCAGTGTTATCAGGATGGTGACATAAATATAATAATAAATAAATAACAATAACAGTACACCTTTACACTGGGTTCATTATCAAGATAATTCTTCTTTAGCATGATCTGCACTCATATTATAGGCAAGTTTGTCAAAAGACAGATCATTTATTAACAATGAGCTTTGATTATGTTAAGCTAGGATTAAATCAGAGAATTATGCACATCGGAAGGCAATCAGACCAGTCTTGTCTTCCAAGACATGCATTTTTAGGAAGCCAAGTCATTCAGATGTTAGAAAGATCCTTAACTCAATTTTAGTAGAAGTTAATGATGATCATAGTTCATCATCAGAGATGCATTGGAAAGAATATTTAAGAAAATTCTGTACATAGCCTGTTTTTGTCCCTGTGAAGTGATATCACTTATGCTGGGGCTCCTTTCATTTTATTTTTTTGCTTTTCTAAGGATATTCACATACATTTTACAACTCCCCTCTTAGTAAAATTCTCAGGCCACTAAGATTAATGTTATCCTTACTATTTACTGTCTAGCCAGAATGACAAGCAGTGTTTTGTCTGGCTTCTCTTTGTTTATTTATTTCAAAAATAAAACATAACAAGCATTTCAAAAGCTATATCCAAAAACAAAAATTAACCACAAATGAAAAGCCAAGATGAAACTCAGAATAAGTGCATTCTCAGAAGAATACAGTCAGTTACCTGGGACCCAAAGTATGGTGGGATGGAACAGCTTGAATTGAACATTGCAACAAGGTGGGGCCTCCATAACTGCCTTGGAGCAGATTAGTCCAAAAGGTAGGGGCTACTATATAGAAAGGGATGTGGTGGCTCAGTGGCTAAGATGCTGAGCTTGTCAATCAAAAGGTCGACGGTTCAGTGGTTCGAATCCCTAGTGCCGCGTAACGGGGTGAGCTCCCGTTATTTGTCCCAGCTTCTGCCAACCTAGCAGTTTGAAAGCACGTAAAAAATGCAAGTAGAAAAATAGGGACCAGCTTTGGTGGGAAGGTAACAGTGTTCCATGCGCCTTTGGTGTTTAGTCATATTGGTCACATGACCATGGAGACGTCTTCGGACAGCACTGGCTCTTCGGCTTTGAAACGGAGATGAGCATCGCCCCCTAGAGTCAGGAACGACTAGCACATCTGTGTGAGGGGAACCTTTACCTTTACCTTTATTATACAGAAAGCAGGGTCAGTTTATTTTCTGCTTTCTTCCCTTCTTGCTTGCTTTTTCTTTTTTTTATTCTTGTGCTATCAGTCTTAGCAGGTTTCCTGGTTATCGACCATAATATAAAAAAAAAAAACCCATCATATTGATTCACATTCAACATGCTGGTAAAAAAGAGTTTGTGTTTATGACTTCTCTGCTACCTTATGGCCTACTGAAAATGCTATATGGATAACAAGGGATTTTTCTAAATGGAATGAAATGTGGAGCCAAGGGCAGATCTCAAAAGGAACTCCTCTCCCCTTCCCCCCGTTTCATAAATTTGATGGAAGTTCTTTACTGAGATCGGAATCTGTTTTTTTTTTTTCAGGGAGTCCAGTGAAATACACAAAGCCACATTTCTTAGAGTAGTTCCCTATCATCTGTCCTCAGAACTGTTTGTATATCTGGTGCCTTCTCCTCCTTCTCTTCAGAGTGAACATGTTTAAAAGAATAGTCAAGGCACATCTCATGTTCCAGGATTTGATATGTTAACTAGTTTTTAGCATAAATCGTAATTCATGTTTTGAGACCTTTTTATGCCCTTTATGTTTTATTTTTTTGCTAATCATCTTGGATACTCAGTTGAATAGCAAGGAGAGATCTATATTGAACGAATGAATAAAGTTTCAATACTGTAAATAGTTTGCAGACTGGGGAGATCAGCCTGCCATTAGCCTCCGTATATTGCCCAGGTATATTCCATAGGTACACCTTGATTGAATTCACAATATGATTTGGTGGCATACTTACAGTCACAGTAAGATTTGTCCAAGGTATCGCAAATGAGGACATGTTCTTTGACTGCCAATATTGTAAGGTTGTATTGCTTGGGTTATCTGGTTCCACGCAGCTGCATCTGAAAAATAAATTGATGGTTGATGTTATCTCAATTAGAAATGAATAATTTAATTCACCATCATTTTGTAAATTGTCTGGGGCAATCACATATAAATTAAAGTTGGTTAAACAGCCCTGAATGATACCAGGCATAATTTTCCAGTCCCAGCAATGCAGCAATAGAATTGAATTGCTCCTGTATTGACTTTTCTTAAATGTTACATAAGGTGCTTGTTTTCATAGTATATTCCAAAAGCAACCTTGTGATTCATTTGTAAAAATCCTCTAGAAGATGCAATCTCTGCCTCATCCCATTTGTTTTTATTATTTATCTTTTATTTATCCTCATTATTATCTTTCCTACTGCCAGGGCCGGATTTAGATGAAAAGAGGCCCTAGGCTATTCCACTTATGAGGCCCTTTCACCTATAGCGAAAGTGTAATTTTAATTTTGCTAACAATTTGAATGTAGGCCCCTCTTGATCTTGAGGCCCCCTCTTGATCTTGAGGCCCTAGGCTGAAGCCTAGTTAGCCTATAGGAAAATCCGGCCCTGCCTACTGCCCCGCTCTTATTGGTATTATGATGATGAGGAGGAGGATCATTATTCTGTTGCACTGCATGTACACTGAGAGCTTCTGCACCGGAGACAGATTTCTTGTGTGTCCAATCACACTTGGCCAAATAAAGTATTCAATTCAATTCAATTTTCAGCCATTGCTCCACTTTGAAGGAAAATGATGAATCTACAAAACTTTTGTTTCTATTAGGTTCTCAGAAGAACAAAATTTTATTCTGTTCAGAAATACACTTCGCTAAGTATAAATTGAGAAGGACTGCAGCATTGAAAAGATTCTCTGAAAAACAGGAGAGAATATATAACTCTGTGGATCATTTTTGTTAAAACTACGGTCCACATTCACATGTTTTAAAATGTGCACCAATACATATCCCTTCTTCATTCACTAATAGTTCTCTGCATTGCGATTATGTTGGAATTCTAGCTTTGTATCACAGAAATTCTTGATATCATTACAATAATTCCAATCATTCAATTTGAATTATTCTCAAGAAAAGGGTGCAAAGAAATAATAGATGAAAAATGTTCTGTTCCTGTATCTTTTTATCAATTTCCCATAGTAAAATTAATTGGATGTTGGATTTCGTAATAATTTACTTTGCTTCCATTACAGCAGACTGGAAGTTTTGCAATATCTATTTACCAGCCCTAGAACGTGAATCCTCCCCTGTTAAGCCATAATTTGTTTTAGATAAAATAGAACATTAATCCCCCCCAGTCCTATGTTGTTCCTTTTGGCTTTCAGCAGATTATCTGAAGCAGAGAAACCTTTCTCTCAGAATATTAATCCTTATTTTATTTTTTAATACCAACTGGGGATTGAACCTGGGCATAAAAAGCCTCTGTTCTGTTATTAATGGGGTTGCTAATATCAATCTTCTTGATTGTCATCTGAGGATTTGTGGTGAAACTAAATGAAAAGGTTAGGGATAAACAGGAAAAAGGGATTATAAAATAAGGGACTCGGCTGGAAAACAAAAAAGATCATACTGTGGGGTCATTCTGTCTGCAACTTCAAGCCGCATCGAAGTTTTTTATCATGTTTCAGGAACAAAACAGAGATTTTACTTTTGCCATTTAATTTGGACTGATATATACCGGTAAGTGTACTGTGGAAACAAAATACAGTTGCCTTTTGAAAAAGCACCTTTGGGACTGTAGAAAATAAAAAATAATAATTTGCCCCCTACTATGGGAAACAAATAGTAGCGCAAAAGAGATTTGGACCAGTTTTATCAAAAAGTCTGGACACGCAAGAATAATCCACCTTGTCATACGGCAATATACTTTTCCTGTTTCCCAGCTGCTGTTAAAGCTACATGTCAAAAATGAATTATGAAGCCAAATGAAAGAACTACAGAAGATGCCATGTAGGTATCCAAGCGTTAAAAAAGCAACTCCAAAGCAATTGTGGGTCCAAGAAGGAAGTTTATTCTATACATTGTTTTAAAAAAAAAGAGTAAAATGAAGAGACAAATGCTTCTCAGAAAGCAACCATCTAAAGCAGACAATGAGCTTTTCTATCCCAAACTTTGACATAGAATATAAATGAGTAGGTAGGTAGGTAGGTAGGTAGGTAGGTGATAGATAGATAGATAGATAGATAGATAGATAGATAGATAGATAGATAGACAGACAGACAGACAGACAGACAGACAGACAGACAGACAGACAGACAGGAGGGGGGGAGAGAGATACACATATTGAAATGTTATCTTCAAATCTAGAAAGATTTTTTGGGGGCAGTTGAAACTAAAAATAGGGGCAGTTGATTAAGAGAGGCGTCCATCTGTGCGGGTTTTCCAAATACTCTGCTCCCAACAGAAGAGCATATCTGTAACTCAGGATGGAACTATGGAGTCCTTGCTGCTCTTTAAGCTTGGCTGTTTGCTTGCAGATGTTTCATTACCAGATTAGGTAACATCATCAGTCTAAAAGCAACCAATCAACTTCACAGAGTATCAGGAATTCCATTTTATCTCCTCCTCTGTTAATCACCAGCATTCCACACCCGCTGAGCAACCTCAGGAATGCCCTGTGGTTCTGAATTCCCCCCCACACACACACACACACCGAAGAGTGTCGGTGCATATGTGTATTCATATGTGTGAACATACACATTGTCTGACAAAAGGACTAGCACTTGGAGACTGAATTCTCTATCAATGTACATGGGTTCATATTTAACTATATGTGTACCTATGTTAGCATATAGATGTGCCTCTGTTTATATGTTCGTGTGTGGGAATGATGTATTGTGTTCTTCTAAGACTGTTTTTTGTTGTTTTTCTGTTGCATTATTTGAGACAGAGTAAAAAGTTGAAATATGAGCTGCTGTCCATAAGATTTCAGTACCTCATTGCCGCAATATATGGGAGATGCTCACTGCTGGCCTCTCTCTCCTTCTCTTAAAAAAAATAGCTTTTATCAGTTCTGCAACAGAGACTTCATGGAGACTTTCTCTGCATCAATGTTTACAGACATGCTTGAAAAGGAACTACTATAGGAAGGAAGGAAGGAAGGAAGGAAGGAAGGAAGGAAGGAAGGAAGGAAGGAGGGAGGGAGGGAGGGAGGGAGGGAGGGAGGGAGGGAGGGAAGTAAGGAAGGAAACATTCTCTTCATTGTCATTTGTTACCACCTAACATCCCATAGTAAGGACACACAGTTGGTTAGATTGAGTGTAATTTATCTTAATTACAATCATTATGCAATGCTTCATGTCTCTTGATGACTGCAAAGTATAAGGTTGTTCAATGAGTGTATGAAGAGTTAGCAGAATCATGATGGATGGAGTCCAGATCCCTCCCACATCAGTGTGCCTGCTGACCATGTTTTTGAGATTGTGCATTTGGCTTCATTAGGGAAGCAGTCATATGCAGATATAGATGTGTGCTTATCAGACTCCCCTGTCCAATCAGGCACCATTGACCAACATTCCTCATCATAAAAGAACACATTCATATTCCCTTTTCACTCATGCTTAGTAAACATTAGATGCTTAGTCAAATGTGAGTATGTACCAGTCTCCTGAAGATGCAGTACCTAGTGCCTGAGAGACTGAATTCTCACAATGTAGCCTACACATAGAGGGCAGATGGTTGTGAGGCCAACTCACAAACACCTTTGCTAAGTCCCTTCATTCGTACTTAGGATTCAAAGATAGTTGGGGCTTACAGGTTTTAAATATAATATGACCTAACCCCAAAATTAAAGCAAGCAAGCAAACAAACAAACAAACAAGTAAGTAATAGCAGCATCCTTTAACTAAAAGAATCTAGCTCAGTTATTCATCAGTATGACATGAACTTGGCACCTTAAACAACTTTCACAGTGGGATATTATGCTCCCAATTCTTAAATGTATGCCATGGACAGATTGTCATATGCATACCGTCATGCCAAAGCTCTTTGAAATTATTCAGTATAATCTGTTAATAATCAAGGGACGTCTGGTAAAAATTGGTTTTTCTTTTTTGTTAGAAAACATCCATTCATCCCTTTTTGAAGTACAGAACAGAACTGCCAAAGTAAAGATAAAATTAGTGAATCAATTTTTGAATATTAGCTAGGGAAAATTATTTCTGATGAAGTAATGGCAGGTGGGGATGACTTTGGGACACAGGAAGAAGAGCTGCAGACTGGACAACTGGCACGCAAAGATGTCTCAGCCTGTAGAAGGGGGGATAATGTGGGAAATATTTCATAAAGGCCCCACCCTAGAAAAAGGAAAGAGGAGAAAGAGGAGAAATGCATTCAGTCTCGCAAGATTCTGTTAATGTAACCTTATAATAAGGTTGTGCTTGTTTTCTGAACTACCTCACATGGGTAACATATGAAAGAGATAAACATTCACATTTTATTGGGAACACATGTCTTCATTTGTTTCCACTTAGACCCTATCAGCACTTACAGGACCCAGAGCAAAAAAGGGGTGGGGCTTCTCAGCAAAATTGGATATCCAACAATTCAATGTGAATATAAGCAACCATTGCTGTTCTCAAGGATTCCATTCCGGTATAAAACTATTTAATTAATTAATTGTTTGTCAACAAGGATAAGGAAACAAGTATCAGTATAGACATAGACATAGACACATGAAAAAAATGGCAATAATAAATAGGCAAAACATAGCCATAAATACATAAAATGATTACATATAAATGGGGACAGTAGGACAGGGATGGTAGGCACTCTGGTGCACTTATGCACACCCTCTTAGGGACCTCTTAAGAAATGTGTAAGGTCCACGGTAGACAGTTTAAGGTAAAAGGTATGGGAGTTAGAGAAATTAATAGGATTAGGTAGAGTGTTACAGACATTTACTACTCTATTGCTGAAGTCATATTTTCTGCAATCAAGATTAGATTACATTTAGTTTGTATCTATTGATAGCCCTTGTGTTATTGTGGTTGAAGTTAAAGTAGTCATTAATAGGTAGGACATTAAGGTAGATAATCTTGTGTACTAAGCTTTTGTCAGAATGTAGACGGCGTAGTTCAAGGTTATCCAGGCCTAAAATTTCAAGCCTGGTGGTATAAGGAATTTTATTGCGAGCAGAGGAGTTGAGTACTTTTCTTATAAAATACCTCTGGACCCTCTCTAATGTATTAATGTCCGAAATACAGTGTGGATTCGAGACAGGTGAGCAGTATTCAAGGATAGGTCTGGCAAAGGTTTTGTATGCCCTAGTTAGAAGTATAGGGTTACCAGAGAGAAAACTTTGTAAAATAAGGTTGACAACTCTTACTGCCTTTTTAGCAATGTTGTTACAGTGAGCTCTGGGGCTTAGATCTTTTGAAATGAGTACTCCTAGGTCCTTGACAGAGTGTGGGTTAGATTGTTTCTGCCCAGCTTGTATTTGATGTTCTGATTTTTATTGCCAATGTGCAGGACTGAGCATTTGTTAGCAGAGATTTGGAGTTGTCAATTGTTTGACCATTCAGATACATAATCTAGGTCGTTTTTAGGGTAGTAGAATTGTCTGTGGTGTTAAATAGTTTACGATCACAAAGGTCGTTAATATAAAACAGAAAGAGTGTTGGTCCTAGAACGCTGCCTTGGGGAAACCATTGTTAACTGGTGTAGGGTTTGATATAGCGTTTCCAATTTTAACTACTTGATGCCTGTTTGATAGGAATGTAGCTATCCGCTTGTGCAAAGATTCAGAAATGTCATAAAAACTTAGTTTTAACAGAAGTTTGTCATGTACCACTGAATCAAAGGCTTTGCAGAAATCTATGTAGATTGCATCTATTGCTTTACCCTGGTCAAGTTGAGAGGTCCAAATGTTTTTGCATTTTGCACTATGGATCATGAAACTGTGAATAACAAAACTTCAGTTGCCCACAACCCTGCCAACCTTACTGCTGTTAGTTTTTAGACACTAAAAAAATGTGTGTGTGGTTACAAAAAGGCCACCTACCTTGTGGTAGACGGTTATAACACTGCAATCTAAAAAACCCTTAATAATAGTAAGAAAATGTGGCATATAAGTTCCACTTATAGGTTCATTTATGGATAAGTAAGTATCTACAATGGAATCCATTATGAGGTAAGTGTAAAGGTATCATTCAACATTCAAGGAAGGCCTATTTAAATCCCCTTTATAAAGTATCACACAGAGATACACACAGACACACACACAAGGCATTCTTATACTAAGGACAGATTTTACATAACTATTCATACAAGCCAAAGGACTATTACAGAGGGCTATAAACTCAGTATATACCCTTTAATCAATTTTCCCACAAGAACTTCTATATAAATATACCTATTTTCTATATATGTCCACTGAGAAATAAATTGTATTGACATTCATTGGATTGACTTTCAGTGAGTATTCAAGAGAATTGCAACCATATGGTTAGCTATTCAGCTTTGGAAAACATATGATGCCTTTATATTCTCCAACAGCCATCCATCAATAAAGTGATACGTTTGGCCAATGACAAAGTCCATAGATAGTGGAGTTGGAGGAAGTTGGAGGTTATTTGTAATGTGAAAGAGCTTTTAAATATGTATTGAGCTAAAGAACTGGAAAAAGACAAAATGAGCAGGTGTGTATATTTACTTTATAAATGATAACGGCTAGCAAAAAAAAAAATCACAGAGAATTTCATTTGCTATTTCTGACAAGTGGGATACTGATATAGATTTAGAAGCTGAAAAGGTCTTTCAGAATGTATTACTATACCAACTCATAAGCAGACTTATGCATCAGTTACAATTGTCATGAAGATACCTATGTTGATTTCTTTAGAAATATAATTAACCATTCTAGAAAGAATTTCAGTATAAGCACCTACATGAAAAACAAAGGAGTGCACAGCTTTCACAACACTGAGGCAAACTTCACTACAAAATTGTAGATAAGCATATTAGCAAACCAGCCACTGGATCCTGTCCATCATCTTGCTGCTTCCTCACTAATCCCATTGTCATTTGTTCATTTTTGCATCTTCTCTTTCACCAAAGTGGAATCGGTAATCTAGCGTCCAGTAGGTGCTTTGAATTTCAACTCCTATCAAGTTTATCCAGCACAGTCAATGTGAAGGAACTATGGGAGCTGTAGTTCAATAACTTTCTACCTTTGCTATGTTTTATGGGTCAGCTCCCTTCCGCCATTCATCCCAATTCAATGGGATTCTGACAATATGCACATTTTCATTCTCTACCAATTGCATCTGAATGCAAGTTGTTTTAAATGGTAGCACACTTGACTTTTTTTCCTCACAGATAATTACAATTACACCTTGATATGCCACCAACATTTATAAGATAAAATACAACATAGTGGGCTGCAGTTGTGAAATTCTAGTATAAAAGTAAAAAGCCAGTCTTTCCTTGGCATCAAATCCAAAGCAATCTTATAGTTAGAGAAACAGTAGCTGTTCCCAACAGTCCAAAGTCCAAATGACCTTGATAGAAATAAGTGAGCTCTGTTATCAAGATGACAAGGGGAAAACTATATATTAAGCCCACAAAATAGCTTTCTCAAATGGTTCAAAAGACACCTTGTTATAGAAGAGTATAAGAAAAGGAAGGGGATACAGCACAATCAGACTTGTAAGGTGATATTATTACAACCAATCTGAATAATAGTAGCTTTAGCCCTCCTAAGGAGTTGCTTTCTTAGCCTGGTCTACCTAGTTGGGCTGATAGAAACCATGACAAAGAAGGCCCCCTCGAGCATTCTCTCACGATGCCCCTTTCCTCACTAGGATGCTTAGGGTGCCCTGTCCTAAATATCTTGATGTATGCATTGGGGAAGGCCCTCTTTCAAGTATCAAGGGCCTCTGAAATATCACTTCTAAAATCTTAAAAACCCAATCATTAGCATACATATGGGCAACCAGGACAGATCCTATACGGCAGGGTTCCCAACCCCTGGCCCATGGAGCGGCACCTGTCTGAGGTATACCAGAAATGGGCTGCACAAACAAGCGGCGCTCCATCCATGGGATGCAGGCAGCGCATCTCTGGTTCACAGAAAAACATCTCTCCATGGAATCGGTCCCTGGTGCCCAAAAGGTTGGGGGCTGCTGCTATATGGTATCTAAAAATTATTCAGGCAATACTTCACAGTATTGTACACTAACTGTCAGTCCTGGAAGCCATCTTTTACTTTGGATCTTCAGGGCTGCCACATTTAGTGCTGTGGGAAACTGGGAGGGGGGATTGTATGGAGTTGGAGAGATATCTAGCCATAATAACATTCTTTTCTCTGAGAGTCAAGGACATCCTGCCCTGCACTTGGAGTGGTGTGACTGGAAGGCATCTCCAGTTGGGACGGTGCATTGATTGGACCATGTGATGGACATGTGGGTGCTAGGGCTAGGATTGGACTTGGACTTTCTTTTGGGTGGGGAAAACCTGGAAGCTTTCAGATTCAGGTTTTTCCAGATGTGCCAATATGGAACTTTGAGGATTTTCTTGCTTCAGAGTCTTCTTTCGTTGGGGGTGTTACTTGGAACCCTGACATTAACTGCAGCATCCAGATTATTTTCAGAGGAAACCCATGCAACCACATAGTTTAGCCACAAACTAGTCAGATTTTTAGCATTAGAACTAAGATAAAGACTGAGCTAGCATAAACTTAGTTATACCAAATGAGTTGGTTATTTCATTTAACTCAAAGAGAGCTAAGTATAATTAATTTTAGGGTTAGGTGAACATTTTATATGATTCAGAATGGTTTTGCTGAAGTGTTTATGTTGCAGAATATCTGAGTTGCTAAACATTTGTGGCTTATACTATTCCTATCAAGAGACGGTGCAGTAGCTCTTATCTGAAAAGGAGAACACAGACATTTCTCTAAAAAAAATAAAACCAGCCCCATCCTACCATATCTATTAGTTACTGCTTTAAAGCTAACATTCATGAAATACATTTTCTTTTTGGAAAACATCAGATTACCCTTTCTTTGAATTTGTAACAATTTCCTTTATTATATGAACAGAAGAAACAGTATAGAAACAGTATATAATGCAACTTCAAAATTGATAAGTATGATAATAACAAAATGGGAGATGAGTCCATATCACAGAAAGCCTTCTTCTATACCCCATTTATTTTAAAATCTAATTAAAATACTGACAAACAACAGGTATCAATGTGATCTTGGTGATCTTGACAAGTTCATCAACATGAGATTCATGAACAGGGAACCAAACCTGAACAAGAAATATCAAATTTCTCTTCCTACTGGGCATTTCCTTCCTGATTCTCACAGTAGAAACTCTCCCTTTGGCAAATAACATCAGTAAGGATTAATGGAGAAAATCTTACTTACGAGTATTGTGTTAGAAGTTCCAAGTTATTATGCATGTTGATCGGATATGTTTCTCTGAGATGATAGAGCTTTTCTAAGGCCTCATAAATGAAAATGATGCAGATAAGAGATGCAAAAGCTTCTTCCGTAAACCGAGTAATATAGCACACCAAAGAACTTGCATCAGTCGCAACGAGAATGATGCACAGAATTGCAGTCCATAAACCAATGCTCGCTCTCAAAGAAAGGTAAGACAGTCCGTAATCCCTATTAATAGATTTTTAAAATGGTGGTCAAATGAGAAGATATAGATTTAGGAATTCCATGTGGTCTCTAGACAATCAATTATTCTTCAATTCTTCAATTATTCTTCAAAACAGCTTTTTTGGAAAGCATAGCAAAGACTATAACTACTTATTGTCATTGGCCAATGTTAAGCCATAAAACATATTTCAGTAATAAGGCTGATTTTTCTGGTTTATAGCTGTGGTATTGCCTTGAAGGCAAATTCCTAGATTTGCTTGCAAATCTCAAAAAATAAAAAGGCTTCCATTCTGCTCTTGAAGAGTCCAGGATTTTATTACTGGATTTTATTCTCTTGTTCCTATATTTGGTTTTGTCTTAAATTTTGATAGGTGTTATACTGTTGACATATTCTGCAAATAGGAGGGGCACTACATATGTGAATCAACAAATACATAAATACAATGCTATGTTATGTTGTGATTCGAGGACTTGTACTTCACAGGTTCACCTCACCCAGGAGAAACACCTGAAATCCATTTTAAAGAACAATGATATCCAAATATACGAAGTAAAACAAATCCTTAATTAGAAACAATCCCAAATATACAAGAATTTGGGCATAAATTAACAATGTAGAAAATTACGGCCACTTTAAATTGGCCAGGGAATATAACATTTTAAGGCTAGCAATAGCACTTAGACTTATATATTGCTTCAAGTGCTTTACTGCCCTCTCTAAGTGGTTTACAGAGTCAGCATATCGCCCCCAACAATCTGGCTTCTCCTTTTACCGATCTCGAAAGGATGGAAAATTGAGTCAACCTTGAGCCAGCCAGGATTGAAGGAATTGAACTGTTGGCAATGTGAGCAGAGTTAGCCTGCAATCCTGCATTTTTAACCACTGCACCACCATGGCTCAAGAATGCTGCCATCTTGTTTTTTCTCTTGTCTGTCCGATCTGCAGTACTTTGGCTTGGAATTAACCACTCTTAATGCTATTTTGTAATTAGAAGCTCAACGACACTCAGGAATTTTTAAGATGGTACTTACAAATAGTTCCCATCATCCCTGATCACTCAAGCTATGGGCAAGGCTCATGGCTCTACTCCAGTGCTAATACCAATCAATAGTAGACTTTTAGAAATGAGGTTAAATATATCAAAAGAACCTAGCACAATTTTTTTGAGTCTTTCTAAGAGGCTCGTTCAAGGGAAAGCAGAAATGGTGAAACTCAAAAAGGAGGAACACGGAGCACTTACTTGCAAAATTTGAATAATATCTTTTCAAACACCAAAACTGGTCCTGTGCTACCCAATATGGTAAGAGGCTGCCCACCAAACAATGAGTAAGCTATTCCAGTCATCGATGCGCCAAACAGAGATTCTATTGCACTCTGTATATTTAAAAAAAAGTAGAATTGAAAAGTTAGAGCTGTGACTTGGGAACCGATACTTAGAAAATGCCACCCAGAACGTTTTATTTATTGGGATAGGGATAGGGACAAATAGATACAGTAAGGCTGAAAATCCAATTGCAACACATACTATACGACCGTCTGTTGCTTCTCCCAGCAAACCGCCAAATGTGATAACAGGAGACATACAAGCACAATAGAGAAATAGAAAAGATGCTAGACACTGCAAGCTGAATGCATCGGTGAAGTCACTCAACAAGAATGGCACTTTCCTCTTGATATCTAAAACCAAGCCCCCAAAGAGCCTAAAGAGAGTGAAAAAGAATAAATATTACTAAAATGTGATGGTGATTTTTATTTTGTTTTAAGCAGAAGCTTATAGTTGCATTAAAATTTAATGTGCTATTTGTATTCACTTTTAAAATGAGGTATGAAATAATCATGAAGTCACCAACTCACCATCTTCCCGTTTCTAGCCTGGTCAGAGGTGGGCGGCACATACTCTAACAACCGGTTCGCCCGGAACTGAAAATGTCTGATGCGCCTTCTGCGCATGCATGCGGCATCGAAAAACCGGCGATTATATAGAACGTGATAGCGCCAGGGTGAGTGGGCGGGCCCAGCAGCTGGTTGGAACTACCGGTTTGCCCGAACCGGTCCAAACCGGCGGCAGCCCACCACTGAGCCTGATGCTTTAACCACTACATCAAACTGGTTCTCTAACATCAGTATTAGGTATTGAAATATCCTTGATGGCAGGTTATTGCCACAGGTCACTGCCCCTGAGATATTAGAGAAAGCAGAACTGTGGCCACTTCATCTTGGCAGAAATCCTGACAAGAGGACTTCCAGTTCGTCTACAAACACAGCCAGATAGCATGGAGAGATCTTCAAAGTTGTTACTGGGCCCACAAGAGAATATAGTGAAGTGATGCTACAAGCAGGAAGTTCAGTGGCTGTGCTTGAGAGAAAGCCAAAATGGTCACCTAACCAGATTTTCAGCATTAACTGAGATGAACAATTTCCTATGAACTCCAAATCATTGGAATTTCTGTTATAACAATATTATATAATGCCTTAACTATCCCTATTCCTATGTATACTTCCTACCAGTAGTAAGCATCCACAGGATGACAGTTATGGTCTGAATTTTTCTTAACTTGTTAAAAAATGTATGCACATACTGAATTTCAGTATTTTAGCAATTGAACAAAGCTTGAACAATTATAACAAGTTTCTAAAGTGAAAAAGTCAGTATTTTTTTTTAAAAAAATTATACTGTTTTTTCCTTAACATAAGACAGCTACAGTATAATCTACCTAACAATATTTGAAACAATGCAAGGAAAATTATACATTTAATACAGAAAATTAACCTTCCTTCCTTCATTAAATGGAATGGGGCTCTCCATACAAAACAGCTGCACCTGCACTTTACAAAGAAATATAAAGCATAGAGACTGTCATGATTCCATTTATTGCATGGCTATTTTTAATATGTTAAATGATATGCATACCAATTTAGCAATTGTTTGCAAGACATAAATATATATGCAGGCGAACCCAATCCATTTTAATAGAGGAAGTACATTTACACAAGTATTTGTTTCAAATAAATGGGACAGCCTATTCATTTTAACCATCATTTATATGCACGCATCATAACACCTACTGAGCTTCAAGTGGGTACTAGATCATATTTTTAAAAAAGAGCCTTACATGTCTTTGTATCAGTGGTGAAATCCAGCAGGTTCTGACAGGTTCTGGAGAACCGGTAGCGGAAATTTTCAGTAGTTCGGAGAACCAGCAAATACCACCTCTGGCTGGCCCCAGAGTGGGGTGGGAATGGAGATTTTGCAATATCCTTCCCCCAGGAGTGGGGAGGGAATGGGGATTTTGCAGTATCCTTCCCCTGGAGTGGGGTGGGAATGGAGATTTTGCACTATCCTTCCCCTGCCACGCCCACCAAGCCACGCCCACCAAGCCCACCAGGCCACGCCCACAGAACCGGTAGTAAAAAAAATTGGATTTCACCTCTGCTTTGTATGTGTGTGTATGGATGGATATTTACATATGTACGGAATCAAATAAAAATACTATCTTACTACTAACTTTCCAGTACGTTGTAATTCTGGTCCCGAATGTCCTCCAAGTGGCTCTGGGTCTCCATGAGCAGCAGTTCCATTTGGTACACCTGGAATTTTACGTTTCTCCTAAATGAAAAAAAATGGATGTGACTGTTTTGAATTTGTTTTCCATTCCAGATTGTGGATTGAAAAGAAACTGTCAAGGTAAATTAGAAATATCAGGTCTAGCTTCTTTTAGTAGGCATCTTTCACAAATGAAAGTCACCAAAGTAACTTATTTAACAGGACTTCTAGCATCTGGAGATGCCAAGCACAATCTGAGAGAAGCGTCTGGAAAAGTGCTACAATAAGAGCTTTCTTATCAGTTAATAACATCCTGTGAGGCTTCAGCACTAGAGAGTAAAAACTAAAAGAAAAAGAAAAAAGGACTATATTCAGCCATCTTTCTCCTGTGGGTTTATGGGATGCTGTGTCCACCATATCTGTTCCATTGCTAAGACTGTTCAAGTACAATGAAGTCCAAGTCAAGGCAGAGAAAGAGCATATTCCTGCTGATTTACTATTACAGTACAAGGACATGTTACTGCCATATGTGTGCTACTGTCATACCTCTTTCTAGAATCTCTTTCTATGTCTACTTGGTAAAATTTATTTATAATAATTAAAAAAATACAATGATGAAAAAGCTCAGACTTTCACTGACTCATACAAGCTACAGAATGGAATGGAATGGAATGGAATGGAATGGAATGGAATGGAATGGAATAGAATGGAATGGAATGGAATAGAATAGAATAGAATAGAATAGAATAGAATAGAATAGAATAGAATCTTTATTGATTTAGTCAAGCCATGTTAATGGTAATATGTCTCTGAAAAATCATGGGAAAAACTGTTTGAGATGCCAATGATCTATAGGAGAGGTAAACATTGTAGAGCACTGATGATATCTTATGTAATTGTATGACAACTGGAAGAAATGAGGAATATAAATATAAACGATAAATAAATAAAAATAAATACCTGAGAAGGAACATTTTTGGGAGGTTCTATACGAATTGTTGGGTCCCATTCTCCTGGAGGGAGAACTGTCACTTGATCAAGAAACTCATCAATTCCAGCGACTAAGTCACTGCGATCCTTAGCTTTATATGCAACATCATGAAATACCTATGAAAGAAAAAAGGAACTCCATGAGATTTTATTTCTAAGGGGAAAACAATCCAAACACAGTTGTTTCTCAACAAATCATAAAAATTATTTTCCTGCTCATTTTCATTACTGTTCACTGTGATTCAAAATATTGAATTAAGAAACTGCTAGTTATTAATCTAAAGCATTTTAGAAGGACATGGTGATACAATAAATCTTCATACAAAGCACTTTAAAATAGGTAACTTTTCAATGGGTTTAATCAACACCTATGAAAGGTTAAGTACCTCATCTGTCATTAATGTTCCAATTGACCTGCCAATCTCATGATACTGTTGACCTTTTCCTAAGGGTCCCAGAAGAATAAATAAAAATCTATGAAAAATAAAACAGAAAAATATTCAGTTAATTTTACATAATTCTAGTATCTGAACAAGTACAAGTTAGAAGAAACTTAGTCTCTGTTTTAACTGCTATTGAATTTGCATTTTACAAGTTGGAAAAAAATTCTTTTAAACATTGATATACCATTTTTTAAAAAAAATTAAAACCCCAAGAATATGTTATTTTTTAAGAAAATTATAAACACTTTCCTTGGTGATGACATAATTGGAATTATTACATCCTCGCCTAGCAAGTTTTGGGCTCATGTATTTTTTAAAACTAAACAGAAGTATACAATAAAAATGGTTTCCTAATGTATTATTAAGCTGTAACTGTACCAAAATATCATATTACACAACACAAAATGAGAATCATTTCTGTTTGGGCAGGTATTTTATCATTTTTTAGAACAGTTAATGCTTGTTATGTTCTATTTAGGCCAGTGGTTCTCAACCTTTTTTTGGGCCATGCCCTACCTAAGCATCTCTAAAATCCTGATGCCCCACCCCCACCCCCCACATATAATTCTTACTATTCAAAAAGTGACTCCTACTCACTTGGAGGAAGCCTAAAAGGCCATTAACTTGGTTTAAACAAGATTCCAATTGCCCCCATTAATAATCAAATTGCCCCACATTGGGAACCACTGATTTAGGCTCATGAACTTCCCTCCCAGCTTTCTATAAACAGATTTCCTGTTAATCATCAATACAAAACCCATTTTTCTATCAAATTTAAATGGAAATTTTCATTCAAATTTTCATAGAATTTTCACATATGGATTTAAATTTTTAAAATTGTAAAAGGAAAAAGAGAAAGAGGATAGCCTATGAAATTTAGACCTTCTTCTGACTTTATTGCAGGGCATTAAATAACTGCAATGTTATATAAAGTTTGAGACAGCTTAACCTTCAAAGTAAAATTGTGCATACATCATACAGTACTCAGTGATGATGGTTGTCAATTACTTCTTTAGTTTAGTTTAGTTTAGTTTAGTTTATTAAATTTCTATACCGCTCTTCTCCCGAAGGACTCAGGGCGGTATACAGCCATATTAAAACAAACATATACCCCAAAAATTAAAAACAATTTAAAATCAATATATATATATATACAATTTGGCCCTTATGTTAAAAAACTACAAACACCCAATTTAAAATTCATTTGCTAAGCCAGCCCGGCCTGTTGGAACAAAAGAGTCTTAAGGGCACGGCGAAAGGTACGGAGGTCTGAGATCATGCAAATCTCCGGGGGCAGTTCATTCCAGAGGGCAGGTGCCCCCACAGAGAAGGCTCTCCCCCTGGATGTCACCAGTCGACATTGTTTGGCCGACGGCACCCTGAGGAGTCCCTCTCTGTGGGAGCATAATGGCCAGTGGGAAGCTATTGGTGGCAGAAGGCGATCTCATACATACCCAAGTCCTAAGCCATGGAGCGCTTTAAAGATGGTAACCAACACCTTGAATCGCACCTGGAAGACCACCGGGAGCCAGTGCAGCTCGCGCAGGAGAGGTGTTAAATGGGTGCGCCATGTCGTTCCCATAATCATCCGCGCAGCCGCATTCTGGACCAGTTGGAGCCTCCAAGTGCTCTTCAAGGGGAGCCCCATGTACAGAGCATTACAGTAGTCCAGATGGGACGTGACCAGGGCATGCGCAAGGCGGCCCGGTCCAGAAAGGGACGCAACTGGTGAATCAGGCGAACCTGATAAAACGCTTCCCTGGCCACAGCTGTCATATGGTCTTCTAAAGACAGCCGTGCATCCAGGAGAACACCCAAGTTGCGAGCCCTCTCTGAGGGAGCCAAGATCTCGCCCCCAATAGTCAGCGATGGAGCTAGCTGGCTATATCGGGACGCTGGAAGCCACAGCCACTCGGTCTTGGAAGGGTTGAGTCTGAGCTTGTTCCTCCCCATCCAGATCCGCACAGCCTCCAGGCACCGGGACATCACGTCAAGGGCATCATTGGGGTGGTCCGGGGTGGAAATGTACAGCTGAATATCATCAGCGTACTGATGGAACTTCACCCCAAAACCACGGACGATCTCACCCAGCGGCTTCACATAAATGTTGAACAGAAGGGGCAAGAGGACCAACCCTTGCGGCACCCCACAAACAAGGCGGCTCGAGGTTGACCTCTGTTCCCCTGCCAACACAAACTGCGTACGGTCAGAGAGGAAGGAGAACACCGCAACACAGTGCCCCCCACTCCTAACACCTCCAATCGGCGCAGCATGATACCATGGTCGATGGTATCAAAAGCTGCTGAGAGATCTAATAGGACCAGGACAGAGGAACAACCCCTGTCCCGAGCCCTCCAGAGATCATCAACCAATGCGACCAATGCCGTTTCCGTGCTGTACCCTGCCCTGAAGCCCAACTGGTACGGATCTAGATAGACAGCTTCATCCAGGTACTGGGGGAGTTGTCGCACCACCACACTCTCAACAACCTTTGCCACAAAGCGAAGGTTGAAGACTGGATGATAGTTCGCTAATACAGCCAGGTCCAGGGAAGGCTTCTTGAGGAGGGGCCTCACCTCTGCCTCTTTCAGGGAGGGAGGGAAGAAACCCTCACTCAGAGAAGCGTTAATAATGCCCTGGAGTGAGCCTGGTGTAACCGCCCGGGAGGCCAGTACCAACCAGGAGGGACACGGGTCCAATAAACATATGGCAGCACTAAGCTTACCCAGAATCCTGTCCACGTCCTCGGGATTCACAAGGTCAAACCCCTCCCAGATAACACTCTCAAGACCCACCTCTGTCACCCCATCTGAATCTACCCAGTCAGAGTCCAAGCCTTCCCGAATCTGAGTGACTTTGTCATGCAGGAATTGCACAAAATCCTCAGCCCTACCCTGCAAGATGGAGAAGGGAGCGGGTCACCCTAAACAGGGCTGCTGGGTGGTTCACTTCTTATCTCATGGATGGATGGAACACATTTTGGCTACAGCTGTTTGCTATCTAAATCAGGAGTTTTGTTAAACTAGTCAGAAATCTTGTAAGTCTAGCTAGCATCAATGATATTATCCAATTTGGGTGGTGAGGGGGTCTTCACAAATGGTGCTCTGTAGCAATATATAACCCTTAATATTATTCAGAGCAGTCTTCTTTATTCCCTGGCTGGCCCTTATTCTTTTTATCTGTGAGCTACAGGATTTAAACCAAGCTGCAATAATTACATTTCTTTCTTAGCAATGGTTATAAATTACCTTGATGGGATTGGAACTTCTGTCAAGCCTGAGAGCAACATAGCAGGAGACAATCTAACAAAAGCGACTACAGCACGATCCAAGAATTCAAGCTCACCAACCAAAATGTTTGAGGCTTCAGCTCCAGGAGGGATTTTTTTCATGAAATGCAGATCAACCTGATCATTAGAAAAAAAGGCATACAAGAAAAAGAAGGATGGGAGGGGGAATGAAAGAATCTAACAGATGTGAAGATTCCTAGCATTTAATTTCACTGACACATTGATACATCATGGATCATTAACCACAGGGTAAGTTAGCATAAACATGTATTAGTGCAGGTACAAACTCTGATAAATTAATTGAAGTTATCAATCAATAAAAACTTTAATTGTGGGTTTATAAGACTTGGCAGTTAATTGAACAATTAATGCTCATATTTGTGCTCTAAATATAATCTGCTATCTGCAAATGGTATCTTAGTCATATTGATACCTTATAAAAGGCTAATATTTCTAGTATTGTGCAAAGTCTATTTAGGGTTGCTGATTCTACAACTCTTGAAAAGGCAGCTTAAGAATTCCAATCCAAATAATCTTCAACCAATGAATTAATGAATTTGTTAAGCATGATTCATTCCAATAGGACCAAAGATCTGACCATTTTTTTTTTAAAAAAAAAATTGGAATCATTCATGCTTACTGACAAAAATAGTAGTCATTTTTACTCCCATTTAAAATTTTAAGTAAATCCATGAATGAAAATGAGATTGTGGTTTTGCTTTACAAAATTGACAATGGTTTTATTATTGCGGAAGAAAAATAGCACATTTTATTTGGAAGCAGTAGTGGGTTTCAATTTGGTTTGCTACCTGTTTGCTTGTGCACACGCATGTGATGCTTCTGCACATGCGCAGAAGCATCCGGGTGGGTGGGCGGAGCCTCCTGCTGCTGCTACCGGTTCACCCAATCCGGGGCGAACCGGTAGCAACCCGCCACTGTCTGGAAGGTGCTTCAATGTGGCAGTTCTGCCATGAAGTGAGCCAGGTGGCTCACACTAGAACCTCATGATTCATTTCCATGGGAATCAAGAAAAATATACTCAATCTCCCCATCTACTGCTCACAGGACCACAATTATTGTTCCATGACTATGATAACTGTGTCTATACCTCAACAGTGTTTCCTGCCCACTGTAAAATGCAACATGACTGGCAGCTGCTGCTATACATAAAGCATCCAGTGAAGTTTTCCTTTTACAGAATAAGGCATCAAAATAGTGTTTCCCAATCTAGACAATTTCCATGGATTTCCACTCCACAGAATTTTTAGCAATGACATGTGGCTGGGGAATTCTGGGAGTTCAAGTCCACACTTCAGGGAGTTGTCAAGGCTGGGAAACACTCCTGTTAGGACCCAATGGCTCAACACAGAGCTTGCTCTGGTGCTCCATTGTCACAAAACCAACACTGCTGTTAAAAGTTCAGCACATCATACTTGCATTGTTAAACTTCACTACTTTAAATTGTGTTTGCTGTTACTGTAACAAAATGTTCTTCATTACATTACCTACAATGCCTCCTTCAGAGGAAAAATATTTTCCTCAGTAGGATGCATAAATGTTGGGGGGGGGATTCCACAGGAGGCCTCCACTGCTTTATTGAGGCACTGTTACACTGTTAGTGTTAAGCATAATGGATCTCCCATTAGATTAAATCGGCCAAGGTACTTTCAAAGATAGTAAGCAACTAGTTGAAAGACTTCTAATCTTTCTCTCTCCAGAAACCATTATTTTGGAATCAAGGTTGTATTAGCTTTCTGAGAAAACAAGGATTTGTAAACAAAAGGAAAGAAAGAGCAGCATTATAGTAGAAGTTACCTACTAATTGCACTGAACTTCCTGTTGCCCCAAAATCCAATGTGAGAAAGCTTAGGAACATTATTTAATGCAAGAACAGTAACCAGAAAAGCAATTGCATTACTATGTGGGCTGGGGTTGAAAGGGGTTGTGTTAGCTTTTGGAGAAAGTAAGGAGGAATTCTATACAATGCAAAGAGAGTGCAGCCTTACAATAAAGCAATTTGTGATTAACTGCATTCAAATTCCTGCTGTGCCAAAGATTCACTAAATAATACCACTGAGGAAAAATAAAAAGAAAGGTTCAGCTAATGCTGGGAATCTCAATACAGGTATTGTGCTTAGGCAAATACAAAAATAAGGAATCAACAGGATTATAGCAAAAGCTCCCGCTCTCCTCCTGGCCCTTCTTTTCTGTAGGCATAGTTATGATACGGCCTGGGTACTAGCTTGATACAGTGGTTTTATTACGCTCCACAATCATGAACATTCGACAATGTTCTACAACCACAAGTTCTTTTTTTTTTTTTATCCTAAGCACATTAAGCACATTAAGTGCTTAAACTACAATTTCTTTCAAATCATTAGAAATTATTGTAACATATATGCAATTATACTATAATTATATAATTAATTATAATTATTATTAAACAAAAACACAAGCCCCAAATGACTGAGGATATTGCAGGTAACCGAATAAAACATTAAATGGGCTAAATCTCAGATCTCAGAAAATTGCCAAATCTGATGAGATTTTGGTGCTTTTGCTTCAAAATCTCACAAGATTTTACCATCCTTTCCCCCATATCACGCAAGATTTCAGGGTGAAACACCATCTGTGATCATGCACAATCTTTCCAACAAGCTTTTAGGGTCATCTTTGAAACTGACAATGCAAAGATCCACATGAAGAAATGGTTCCGACTTGCTACTCTATTCGTCAAATTATTGAAAAGCATTCTTTTTTTTCTCTCTGATTTGTGTCATTTACTTTATGTTAACAGTTAACTGTCTGGTGTTCACAAACATATTTTATTTGTGTTCTCCCCATAATACCTTTCTAAATGTTATGAAGAGTAATTCACAAAACAACATGTTCAAATTGATATCACAGCTTCATATTCTGAGAATTTCAAATTACTGCGTTTCTCTCCCATTTGCTTTCCCATTACCAATCTAAACACAAAAACAGTGACCAAATCCAATATAAACTGTTAAAGTGACCATTTTAATGTCTATCTCGCAGCCATCTGTCAGTAGCAGTGTGCAGTGTGTCTTCAATAGTGTTTACAAAGTTGTTTTCTTGCAAATGGCTCTGGCACATGGACAGAATTTAAGCGCCATGGCGTTGTCTGTGTTATGAAATCATTTTCAAAACTTTTAACATCTCCAAAAATTAAGCCCAGAGTTCTTTTTTTCGCTGCTTTGCCATCTTATTTACATATTTCTTGTGGAATAATAATTTAAATCTACATATTTATCCGGTACCGAGAAATTATCACTGATTGCTTGAAATGGAATAGTTCTTTTAAGGGAGGACTACTTCACAGATGGGAGAAAGCATATGCACATGCTTGGAAGGATTTGAGTTACTTTTGATGGCAGGATCGTAATTGAGCCCTCATACAATGCAGCAAAGAGGAAGCCCAAGCCAAGATTTTTTAGTGGGGTGCTTTTGTGCACAGATAAACTGCCCTTTCTCTTGTCCCCAATCTCATTTCCACTGATCATCAACATGGCTTAGGGCACCTACTCAAGCCAAATAAACCCAAAGGGCTGGGAATTTACAGAGCAAGTATTCTGCACAACTCCAACTCGGTTAATCAATTGTTGCCATCAACAATGAAACAGTAGAGGTCACTTAATGCACTCTGCAATGTCCCCTGGCAGTTTTTGATATTAAAAAAAATCAATTAATTTGCAACACATTGTTCACCGCATCTAGAAATAATTGGCCAGCAAGTGACCTCGATCTTGACAATCCATGAATTGGAGATATGATCATGTTGTCATGTAATCCTGCAGATCAGGCTAGAGGTTCATAATGACGAGAGAGAAACCTTGGGTCCATTAATTCTCAGGCTGTAAGGTGGCTTTTCAAGCACAAATGGAGGGGGGGTGAAGCATGAAAAAGCAGATAGAATGCCAAATAATGCTTCTTACAGTATCTTCCATTAGTTAAGCTTTGGCTGCTGCGAAAATTGTTCTGCCAATTGAAAGGGATAATATCACACGAGACACTGTTTTATGGAGATTTGCATTATTTTTTTCTGAATTCCAGAGGACTCTACTCGTGATTCATTCATTTAGCATGTTTACTTGCTTGTCGTTGGCAGCAATCTGTTTGTCTTTCATTCCTTCCTGGCCTCCAAAGATTTTGAGGCAACTCTAAGCATTGCTCCTCCTCTCTCCTAATATTTTCTTCATAAAAAGCAGCTTAAGTCAATTAGACTGAGAAAAAGAAACACTGATCCTGGTTTCTTATAGGTAAGGTTAAGTCCTAAGAAGATATATTGTGTTTTATTTAGCACTCTGTGTATACTAGGCCACTGTGGTTTTTCCCACAAAATGCCATGTGGAAACCTTAATTCTCTCTGAATTTAGTCTTCCCTGAACAACCAAACTTAGAGAGCACCAAGGATTCCATAATTTAACCCTGAGCTACATATGTTCCCTTCTATTAAAAATACCATCTCACAGCCAGGGATTGACAAATTTTTGGGGTCTTGAGCACCACTGTGTAATCTTACACAAGGCTCTATGAACTTTTTAAAAAGTATCAACCCAAATCTTATTATATCACGAAACCTTATAAGATGTACCACAATACTTTGACCTTCCCGTGCAATATCACAGAAAATAATCACTGAAATTGCTGAAATCTCATACCCACTCACTCTATGGCTAGCTCAAAAAAGCAGGGTTTAGAAAACCTACAGGAGCATACCCACTAACAAGCTTGAGTAAGCTGCCATACTACACAACTGAGGGGAGATCTGAATGTGGGTTTTCTTAATCTGATGCCCATTTCTTATGCATCACCAATCAACCTAAGACAACTATATTCAGAAAAGAGCCATTACTGTTTCCTATTTTGCAATATGAATCTGTACAGTTTATGGTACGTGTTTATGTTTACCTCAACTCCTGGTGATTTAATGGACACACACATGCAGTTTCCTTGACTACAATATGGAAGTTGTTCACCACCTCCTTCTTCTGGGATACCCACCACCATAGAGTTTTCTGATAGTAAAAGTAAAGGTTCCCCTTGCATAGATGTGCTAGTCGTTCCCGACTCTAGGGGGTGGTGTTCATCTCCATTTCAAAGTCAAAGAGCCAGGGCTATCCAAAGACGTCTCTGTGGTCATGTGGCTGGCATGACTAAATGCCAAAGGCGCACGGAACACTGTTACCTTCCCACCAAAGTTGGTCCCTATTTTTCTACTTGCATTTTTTATATGCTTTCGAACTGCTAGGTTGGCAGAAGCTGGGACAAGTAACAGGAACTCACCCCATTGTGGGGTGGGATTCAAACCGCTGAACTGCCGACCTTTCGATCGACAAGCTCAGTGTCTTAGCCACTGAGCCACCCAAATATCACCCAGGCCTGAACCTGCTTAGCTTCCAGGACCAGGCAAGGCTGAGGAAAAAAAGCTACAGTTTTGGGTACTTCTATTATGCTGACAGTACAGATGACTACAATGCCTCTCAGGGCACTTCCTATTTGGATCTGATTTTAGTGAGTTTATTCTACGCTATAGTTCTGTATCAACTTACCTGATAGTAAGCTTCATTGAATTCAATGGAAATTCCTATACAGAATTGTACTACTATGGTAATATTAAAAATAGTTTTTGCTGGGAAAATGATTCTGTTTTTCTGGATTTGCGTGTGTATGAAATAAATTTATACCTTCCATTTCTTTAAAAAAAATACTTTTTATATTTGAAGGTTATGAGGACAATCTTCAGATGAAATGAAGGGTGGCAGGGCTATTGATGTTTAAAATGTTCAATACATGCATCTAGAGCAGCTTTCCCCATCCTGGTACCCTCTGTAAAGGTTGGACTACATCCTATCTTCCTCAGGAAGAAGCATGTTCACTTCTGGGCGGAAGATGCATGGTCCAGGGAGAGCCAGAATGAGGAAGGCTGTTCTAGAACATCTGGAATTTCTGCCAACTGCACTGACAAAACACAGCATTGAACTGGTACTAACATTTAGCAAGAGATGCTGCTTGCAATCACCGTAGAAAGATAGCCAGAGTGAGTCCTCACCTCTCTCTCTCTTTCTTCCTGATGAAGGTGTCCTTTTTCATTTCTCTGTTTCATCCCAAATAGACTACTGTTATGCCCTTTTTGCTGGTCTCCTAGTCCCTGCACGCACAATTAACAGACTTCAGCTGGTTCAAAAGGCTGCTTCTCATATTCTGCCTGGCACCAGATGAGCAAGCACATAACTAGAACTGGCTCAGCCACACTGACTGGATGTCACATTCAACAACAAGTCAAGGCACTGTTGGCATCAATTCCCTTAGAAGAGAAACTCAGTTAAAGATAGCCTCTTTAATCCTCACCAAGCCCCACTTGGTTCAACTGAGGCCAATACCATGGCTAGAGGTTTGTCGAACCAAAGCCTAATACAACCATGATTTGGTGACACAACACCCCTTAGGCAATTTTTAACTACAGATTGGTTATATAATTTCCCCAATAAATCCATGTTTCCCCTTCAGTTCTTTTGGACAGCCAAGCTGCTTGTCACAATTTACAGCGAGCAATGAAGTATCGCAACTTGATCACAAAACCTCAGATTTTGTACATGATTAAAAATGGTTTTAATATTGCCAAAGGGTAAATGTCACAGAATATATTAGAACCAATATAAATCTGAACGTTAAGTCAGCAGAAGATTCTTTCTCAATTTTCTAATTTAACAGGAGGCTATCTCCACAAATACTCTGAAAATGAAACACAGAAACGATTGTTTGGCTGTAGCTAAATATATGGGATATATTTTACTGGAAACAGTCTAAGTATGTAAATTATGTGATAATCTGGGGGGTGGGGGACATCTTCTTGGCTGGTCTAATTGCGCCTTTAGAAAAGGCGACTTTAGGGGCAAAAACTTGGCAGAAATTAGAAAGGAAAAAGCACATGGAACTTATTGCCCTGTTATTGCCTTGCATTTTTCAATTAACACCTGAAAGAGAGAGGGTGCTTAGACAAACTAGCTCTTCCTATTTACTCTTGCAAATTGTGACATAACAGAACGTTTTGCTCTAACCTCAGTCAAATAATTATTTCTCTCTTTTGTCATAGCAGGGGCCCAGTACCTGCTGGATACTTAATCTTCATTAATATCTAACCTTCCTTTGCTGATGCCTAACCTAAGCAACTCTGGGATGGAAGGAGAAAGAGAGATTGCAAGACTATAAAACTTGGCCAATGAAAGCATCTCCTTTGTGATTCAAACTCCAGAGACCATCCTCACCATTTGGGCTCATCTGATTGGGGCAGATCCCCTTGTGCTGTGAGTATTAAATTGTGGGACAATTTAATAAACTTTCATCAAAGTGTGCTGCCATGCTGGCATCTCCCTTAATGTTATAGTTCTTTGGCTCTGTTCTTCAAATCCTGAATTAAGCATTGACATACAAATTAGTGGCAACATTTCTTTACCAGCAAGTCAGATTATGGTTCTCTTTCCTTAGCTTATAAATAAGTTTGTAAAAGGTAAAGGTAAAAGTTCCCCTTGCATATATGTGCTAGTTGTTCCCTACTCTAGGGGGCAGTGCTCATCTCCATTTCAAAGCCAAAGAGCCAGCAGTGTCCGAATATGTCTCCATGGTCATGTGGCCGGCATGATTAAATGCCAAAGGCTCATGGAATGCTGTTACCTTCCCACCAAAGGTGGTCCCTATTTTTCTACTCGCATTTTTTACATGCTTTCAAACTGCTAGGTTGGCAGAAGCTGGGACAAGTAATGGGAGTTCACCCTGTTACGTGGCACTAGGGATTTGAACTGCTGAACTGCCAACTTTTCGATCGACAACCTCAGCATTTTAGCCACTGAGCCACGGCATCCCTTATATATAATATATTATAATATATATATATTACACATTATATATTATAATATATTATATATTATATATATAATATATATAATAAGTTTTTAAATACTGATAAATAGCTCTTCTGAATTTCAAGCAAAATCTTTTCCAGCTTTCTTTAGGAATGGCTAAATTGAGTCAAGTCCTCATGTATGCAATGCAGGGGCTTTATGTTATGGATTGATAGTTTATTAATAGTCAACAGCTGTCAATGAACAAAATATTCAGGAAGTTCAATGTGTTAAAATTTACTATAGAGAAGAGTGTCCAACCTTGGCAACTTTAAGTCTTCTTCTTGTGCCATATCCGTCATTGGACGTTGGTGATCATGTTGGCAATCCTATTTTTGTCAACAGCCACATGAAAAAGTGCTGCTGAGTTTTGTCCAAACCAGTCCCTTAGGTTTTGAAGTCATGATGTTCTTCTTCTGCCTGGAGAACTTTAAGGCTTGTGGATTTTAATTCCCCAGCCAGCAAGGGTGGCTAAGGAATTCTGGGAGTTGAAGTCCACAGGTCTTAAAGTTACCAAGGTTGGACACCTCTGCTGTAGAGCTTTTATTAAGGGACTTCCAGGATTTTCTTGCCAAACAGAAATTAACTGGCTCCTTCACAGTTGAAATCACACAGAGCAATTTTTATACCTTAATATTGTAGTGACAATAAGGAAAAGATGAGTGAGTCAATCAATCAGAACTCAACTGCATTTAGCCTTAAATATATTGTTCCCATGTTTCATTTTCAGAGATGGGAAATGCTTGAGAATGCTATCACATCATTTCAAAGATCTTTTGGCTCAGATATTGAAACATAGCTTTCATCTCTTCTAAAGTTTAATGATGTCTTCACAGTGATATGGAATGAAATGAATCAATTTTTTTTTTTTTAAAAAAGGTTCATTTGTTTTAAATGGTAAAATGTATCCCCCTCCGTTTATTTACATAAAATGCATGTAGTATGAGACAACAGCCAGCTATAATTTATTACACTGAAATGAAACATGCTTTATTGCCAGAACGAAGCTGTACTCTTACCATTCAAAGATTCACGTTACAGTCTTACCTTACTAAAGTCAACAGTGCTGTTTTCTCGGCTGACATCATTTTTGGTTTCAATAGTTGGTGCAGACTGTGGGGAAACAATCTGACCTGCTGGAAAAAATTGTTATTACAGAATACTAACACTTTTCTGTATTGTTGTTATAAAACAATCAATTGAGATAAAAAGTAAATTCTCCCTTGAGTCAGCTTGAGTCCAATGAACCTCAGATAATGGGTTGCAGTTTGCTTGGTAACAGTAGATAAATAATAATTTTAAAATTATCAGTCTATAGTTCTGGATTTCCCAGTCTAGTCTCACATTCAAATAATAATCAGAGCAAATGCTACTTAGCTTTTTCAAATTAGTTGAAGATTTGCTAGGTGCTACTACCTGAAAGGGCCTTCTAATGAAGAGACATTTAAATGAAAGATTCACATACATCATACCTATGTACAAAACATTTCATGTTGCAAAGTACAGCCGATTACTACATATATAAGTAATACATTTTCTTGATCGTAACTTACTGAAAATAATGAGGGCCAACTGAATAAAAACGTTTAGTCTATTTGCAATATGCAGCACATTATAAAAGTTTGCTAAAGCCATTACTTTATTGATTTACTAAAGCTCATGACTCAACTTGTATTTAAATAGTGAATGTGAAATTGGTTGTTTAATGCCTCCTGGAAGAAAACAAGCAGAGGAAAGAGTATTAGATATGCATTGCTGCCTTGAGTTCTTTATAAAAATAATAAAGGCAGGATTAAAATAAAAAAATAAAATATAAAATAAAATAAAATAATTGAAATAGTCACCCTTCTTGGGTGACGATGTCATGGAACATTGAATACAAAAGCATGACATAAGGTAACAACTTTATCTCTCTACTCTGAGAGTTCAAATAAGGAAAGCTATTTCTTCATAGCTTATCCATATATCTTGCTTCCTGCAAATCCTGAAAACAGATCCATTATAGCTCAGGAAGCTAAGTGCCCTATATAGCTTGATAAAGTGCGCTATATAAAACTTAAGAATTCAATTCCTGGCAAAGGGGTAAAGGGAGGGATTGAATCACATACACTCTAATCCCAACTATAACACATGTACCTGATCAAGTAATGTGTAAAATATGAATCAAATGAAAGCTGACTATTGCTATTGCAATAAATACATTTTCCCAGAATCGCTGTTAGAAGGCATCTCTATATTGCAATAAGATGCATATTTCCTTACAAAATTGCATAGAGTTATTCATACCAGGAGTGTTTAGGATTGAAGCACTGAACTCTTCAGTCATCATTCTCCCAAGGAGTTTATGGGAACTATAGTTTGTGGGGCGGGGGGAAACATGTAGGAAGTTTGAATGCAGTGCACTCATTCAACTATGATCCCAGAAATATTGGGAGGGAAATCATTATTTTTTTTAAAAAAAAAAATCTACACAGGTTTTAGTGCTAAACTAAAGATATTCATTGTCCAAGTCCACTCTACATTTTCATTCAAACTTTTCCCAATTTTATTTTATTATACATGTATGTATGTGTATGTATGTATGTATAAATAAAATGACAGATAAAATATTTCTGACAGCACAATCCATTTCAAATTTATTCTTTTCAGATTAGAAAAATATTAAGACCATTTACAAAAGAAAATTATCCTGGCTAGAATGGAATAGCCATTTTAAAAAATCTGATATCTTTTTGCAAAAAGGCCATGAAGACCTTGAAAGTGATTGCCTAGATTAATCATGAAGATACATTATGCTAAAAAAAGACTGATGTGAAGAGTGAATATCTGAATTTGACCTAAGGTTCATGCAAGATAGATTTATAGTACACTACCTCTGGACCTTCAAGGAGTTTACAGAACCCAAAGGTTAGAGATGAAGGAGGACAAAGATGGGATGAGCCTGTTAGAGACAGATACAATAAAGATATAGCAAAATAAAGAACATGGAGATGATCATGCACAACAGCAGAGTTTAGATCAGAGATTGTCAAACTTTCTCTGACTGCGAAATCTGTTAGTTAGAAAAAAAACATATATTCAGGAAATCTTGATCAAGAGGCAAACCTCTAGTGATTAAAAAAAAAAACCTACCACATGCTAGTGAACTATGTTTTTTTCTTGTCCTTAATCTCTCAAAGAACCCTCCTACCAAGTTCACACAGAACAGCAGGGTTCCATGAAACGCAGTTTGAAAAACTCTGGTTTAGATCGTGCACTATTATTCATGAATAGGGAAACACCTCTGGTGAAGGAAAGATATGATATGAAGTGGGAATGGTTTAAGAATGATGCAATATTTATTCCAAAATAGTAATACATTAACATTTCTGTGAAAAGAAATAGTAAAAGTGAAAAGGATGAACAGAGGGGAACAAGAAAATAAGAAAAAGTGACCAGGCTGTGGAAATTTTGAAGCCAGGAACACCTAAATTTTAAGGAATATCAACTAGAACTGCTAAATAGCATAGAATTTTCCTCTAGCAGCATTCAAACAAGAATATTCCATGCATTGATTACACCTTTGTTGGAACTTACAGCAAAAGACCTACAAAATTCTGGTAGGGCAATCTAAATATGTCAGTGGCATATCGTAATCTCCTATAGCCTCCCAGAACCATGGAAACTGAAGGCAGGGCTGAAGATGACAATGTTACATTAAGACTTGTCATCTTAATCAAAAATGTCGTAATTTTGATGGCCTGTTATTCTTGTTCACTATTTTTCTATCCTCAATTCCATTATCAATAACAATAACCAATAACAAAGCCCGTAATGTAAAACCTACTCTACCCACGGGGAGGACATTATTTATATATAAGTAAAATAAATATGTAACTACAAAAGAAACTTTAAAGAAATACCTATTCCTACTGAAGTTGCAGAAAACAAACGATCACACGATCTTTTACATATAATAAATAAATAGGGATATTTTACAGATAAATCTGACACTTTATTGATAAATTTGATATTAAATTTAAAAGATTTGTTTATCTGATAAATAAATACGAAAATAAATAAAGTTTGGCTCCCTCAAGATACAGTCCATTCAGAAAAGAAAATCATACATGTTCTTAGTAATTACCCTGTTTCCCCCAAAATAAGACATCCCCTGATAATAAACCCAATTGGGCTTTTGAGCGCATGGCAATAAGGCCAAGCGCTTATTTCAAGGTTCAAAAAAAAATATAAGACAGGATCTTATTTTTGGGGAAACACAGTAGGATATCATGGAAAGGGTTATTAGGAACCTAGGGACCTGGTTTTATAAATGCAATTCTTTCATCTGCAGTAGAAAAGATAGCATTGGTTAATGCAAGTTACCCATTCCCCAAGTTGGCTTTTCCAGAGAAAATACTGTCAGCTCAGCTGCCTTGAGTTGCCATGGGTGAATAGATAAAGACTAAGGAATTTTGCTAAATATGGAATATATAATAGGCAACTATAGGTTACCCCATATAAATACCTCTCTAGAAAGAAAATATATTTATGAAATACTGTTTGATTTCTTTGGAGAGGGGTTCTCTCAAATATAGCTTTATTTGTGTAGTCCTGCCTTCATTACCTCACATAATCCCACTTCCCACAACTGATTTCATCAAATACAAAATGTGCTGCTATATCCATTCACACATAGTTTTGTATAAGGGAATTTCATCTTTGCCCTTGTTAAGTTTGCTTCTGCTACCTCCAGTACCATTATAAACAATCTGGGCTTTGATTGTCCAATTTAAATGAATTCAAGAAAATTTATGAGAGGTTTCTCCTTTACCTAGCATCTGGTCATAAAAGGCTCCATCTACTGACTTCATTAATATAAACCAGAGCCAGATGATGCACTGGGTGTAAACAATGCTCAAATTAAGCAGCAACGTAGTAATAATAAACAAGATGCAATGACAGATTTAATATCCCTAACACTTTTTACTTCAAAAAAGATTTATTACATGTGATGCTGTTTAAAAGGTGAATGTATTGCTAAGTGTTCAAAGTAAGAATTCCTTGAAAATATTCAAAGTGGATGTAGAAGACATACTTCTCATTTACATTGCATAGACCGTAACTCTACCCTAGCAAGATTAGAGTAATCTGTAATTTAATTTAGGAGGCTAATGCCTCCTAAAGCAGCATTTAACATCCAGCTGCCTGCAATTACTGCGAGTTCAATTCTCCCCAGGCTCAAGGTCGACTCAGCCTTCCATCCTTTCTAAGGTGGGTAAATTGAGGACCCAGTTTGTGGAGGCAATAAGCTGACTTCGTATAAATATACAAAAGTATGAAGGCTATTGCTTAACGCATTGTAAGCCGCCCTGAGTCTCCGGAGAAGGGCGGCATATAAATCAAATTAAAAATAATAATAATAAATAAATTTAATCTGTAATCCATCGATGTGATTACCCAGGGAATTATCAAATTTCTTGTGACTCAGTCAAAAATATTGCTTATTTAATGGCCAATGTTGTGAGATATTGGTCATTAAAGTCATGACAATAATCTGTTGACCTGTGTTACAATTTGCACTTGAATATAACAACTCAAATCCTTGTTGTTAATAGGTTGTTAACAGAACTCATTAAATGTTATCAGAATGTAATTGCATCAGTGTTAATTTACTAATATGCATCATTGTCACTGGAAAATGAGTCAAAATAAATTGGTACTGTTCAAATATATTGATCCAGAGTTTGTATCGTTCCTAAGGAGCAATCAATGAGCAAGTTAAGTATGGAATTGTATTCTAGCACAGGTGCAGGGCATCAATTTAGGGGGGAAATAAGGGGTGAAATCCAGCAGGTTCTAACAGATTCTGGAGAACCGGTAGCGGAAATTTTGAGCAGTTCGGAGAACCAGTAGCGGAAATTTTGAGTAGTTTGGAGAATCAGCAAATACCACCTCTGGCTAGCCCCAGAGTGGGGTGGGAATGGAGATTTTGCAATATCCTTCCCCCAGGAGGGGAGGGAATGGAGATTTTGCAGTATCCTTTCCCTGCCACGTCCACCAAGCCACGCCCACAGAACCGGTAGGGGAAAAAATTGGATTTCACCCCTGGGGGAAATGCTTAAGACATATATGGTACAGTTCTGAACCTGCTTACCTGAAATGAAATAGGCTCAAAGAAATCAGACTCGTTAAAGGTTTTATTTCAAGACAAAGGATGACTAATTTGCAAAATCTTTTTCGTAAGGGATTTTATAAAATGTATTGCTTAGGTCTCCTGAAATCAGGATAATTGGCTTGCTTTGTTCTGAAAATATCATTTTTCTCATCTTAATCTTAGCAACTCATAATTGTTTAGGAAATGGAATGACAACAGACACACTTACATAACCCCATAAAAATGATTGCTTTTTATTTCTTTTATAATTCTCTTTTCACTTTATCTCAAATTCTAAATTGATGGAAGTACCCTTAGGAATGTATAAATGTTATTTAAATCCATTCAGTAAAATCAACGAGGTATACAGCAACTGCTGAATATATCTTTCTGTAAAAACAACTAGTTAAATAAAGAAGCCAGTTAAGCTCCTGCACATCAGTACCAAAAACGTACGCTTTCCCTTCCTGATTGCCTGTAAATTGTTTCCTTTTGTGAGGTGTCCTACTCTATAATTTCAGATCCACTGTCAAAGATTTGCTACCATCCCTTATAACTCCAATCCCCACAGTTAGGGAAGGGAAACTGAGGAAATGCACGTGTTGGACAAGAAGACTGAAATGCCATTTAAAATCAAAATGTCGGCATATCCATTATATCAAAGCTACAGTAACTATTACTTAATTAACATGACACTTTACCATTTTTGTCCATGGAATGGGGCTCAGACTGTTTCTTGCCAATGTCAGCAAAGGACCTGACTATTGGGATCCTATTGCTTAATTTCTTTTGGTTCTGATGATGATGCTGTTTGAGTAACGCCTCATGGACTCTGTGGCGAACATCCTCACTGAGCTGTCCGGACCCTACTTGTTGATCAAGAATCATATCTGAAAAATAAAACAGCAATAGAATGATATTTTGAGTTTTGAGTCAATTTTGCAATAAGTAGCCACATTTCTAATGGATTCACAATTGAAGCATTTGGTCAAATCTGTTACTTATATACTTGTCACTGTGATGCAAATATCATTGCAAGTAATACCTAGTATTGATGGTTCAGATTTCCATGGAAGAGCTAAAGGGATTTTTAAAAATGTGTGAAAGGTATCCCCTGAAATCACCACTCAGGCTTGCTTGATCAATGACCTTCCAGAATTGAACTGAGAAGTTTGCAAAATGCCCCTACTTACATTTGTTTCATAGTGAACCTGCAAGAAGGTTTCCACAAGATGTCTGCCCAGACCTCTTTATCCTCATAATGCCAATTTTGGTACTGGTATTTGGTATTTTGTAACCATGATTATGAACACAAAAGATAAGCAGTATTGACAAACAGATAGACTGTCAGGCCTGGAAGCCATCTTTTTTGTTGGAACTTCAGGCCTGCCACATTTACTACTGTGGGAAACTGGGAGGGGGGATTGTATGGAGCCAGGGTGATATATAGTCATAATAACATTCCTTTCTCAGAAAGTCAAGGACATCTTGCCCTGCACCTGGACAGCTGGAACTGGGAGGCATCTCCAGTTGGGACGGTGCTTTGATTGGACCATGTGATGGACATGTGGGTGTTGGGCAGAGACTTGAACTTTCCTTTGGGTGGGGAAAACCTGGAAGCTTTCAGATTCGGGTTTTTCCAGATGTGCCAATATGACATCTCTAATAAAATGGAACTTTGAGGAAATTCAAGCCTCGGAGTTTTCGTTCATTGGGGGTGTTACTTGGAACCCTGACATTAATCCGAATCTGAAAGCTTCCAGGTTTTCCCCACCCAAAGGAAAGTTGAAAGCTGATATAGACCAAGTTTGCTATTCACTTCCATATTCAACTATTCAAATTTATATAAGCATAAATAAATTTATTTACAAGATATTGGCATTAAGATCCTAGAGAAAACCGTGAAGTGGGATTTAACCCTTTCCTCACACATCATTTTCATTCCACCTGCTAGCATTCCCACTGTGGTTTTCTTGTTGTACAAAAATTACAAGGAGTGGGCTTTTTAAAGAAAACAAAATAAGCAAGCAGGGTAAGGATTAATCACTATTCCACCCTCACTTCAAACTGGGTTTGCCTTTATTGCTTTGTAACTACCATATTTATTGGAGACAATTTTTTCAAACTGTATGATGAGATAGCATCTTTTAGGGGAAGCAGCTTTTGAGAAGCAGTTGCTTCTCAAAATTGCTTCCTTGGTTATGCAGATTATAAAACGGCCCAAACTCTAATCAGGGCAATAAAATGAATTTTGCTATGCAACCTCAATTCTGATTTAAACTTCACAGATGAAAATGGATTTTGAAAGGTTATGTAAAAGGCGTTAACCCCATCTTCTGTGTTTTGTCTGTTTTATTTTTCAGGGTGTGTTTTTTTCTGCGGGGAGGGGGGCTGTCAGCTTTGGAAGCCATATTAGGCCGGAAGCTTCCATGCTGCCACCTTCTCATGTGTGGGAAAGTAGGAGGGGGGATTTAGTAGAGGGGTTGTCTTTAGACATGATAGCATTCTTCCTGTCAGTCAAGGTCAGGCCGATCTTGCATCTGGAGAAGGAGTGGTCAGAGTGCTGTCTCAAGATGGGATAGATGGTGATTGGAGCATGTGATCGAATGAGGAGTGAGGGGATGGTTTGTGGGGGGGGTTGATTTACTGAGGGAAAACCCGGACCTCTCAGATTTGGGTTTTCCCAGATGTGCCAGTTTACCTATTCTAATAAATACAGTAGAACTTTGAAAAATGCTTGCTTCAGAGTTTTTACTTGGAGTTGGGGGCTTTTCTGGAATGCTAAACAATGAGAAGATATGACCATAAAGTCATCAAGAGTGCAGCATTTCTCCAATCAGTTTTAAAATGATAACCAGATATCCAAGGGTGGATGGGCAGTTAAAAATATGAAATATAAATAAATATGTCCAGATCAGCTTCTGGTATCTATATTTCTCCCTCACTTTCTAAGCATAAGCAAAATTCATTTCTATACAACAGACATTGGAGAATCAGTCACTGTAAAAGATAGGGATGCAGGTATTAAACTGAAGCAAAACGTACATTTATATATTTGATATAGATATATAATCTATATATTTGAGCGCACTATTATTAACTATATAAAATCAATAGTCTGGATAGATACAGCAGTTTCTTCAGTAGGAAAGTTAAAGAGGGAAATAAACAAAGGAGGAAGACGGAGAGAGAAATTTTATACTGTTAAGTTTTAGTTATTTTTAGAAAATGGTAACACTTTAAAAGGCAAGTTTCTTCATACAACCAATGAATCAACATTAATTAAACCACAAGGAGTTTGCATATTCATTAGAAGACACAATGTCACACAGCCTCCTGACATAGCCAGAGTGAGTCATCAACGGTTTTGTTGAAAATCCTTGGATGGCTCATGAGCCTTTCTCTGAGCCATTCCACTTTTCCAAGAAAACTCAGGCGTGAAACAAGAAGGGCACGCAGATGTCAAAAGCAGATGGGATTAGTCAAGTGTTTGATTATTTGAGAAAAAAGGCACAGGTACTCAGAATAAAAGGCACAATTCTTAATTATGTATGTCTACAGACCAAACCAGCTTGCCATGTAATGATGTGACAGTCATCCTTTTATGTCTTGTTCAAATAAAAGAGACCATGTGATTCGAAGAACACAAAGTTGTGCTATTATCAAGGCCATGCATTCTGCATGGATGTCTACCAAGAGAAATCTTATTTGTATATTCATTAACCCAAAAAAATCCAATTGCATGAAGTTTTGGCTCTCAGACAAGTACACATGTGCAGGATCTTTCAAAAGTGCAGGTGTTGACACAGAGGGAAGAAGTCTGCTTTCTGTTTAATCGCATTGACATCTTTCGTGGGATTAGCACATGGAGGAAGAATATAAGACTGCCTTCTCCCCCACATTCTTTGACCTGAGATGTCATGTAACAACACTTTTATCAACAACTGTCATCTTCATGCCCAACTTAAGAAAAGTCTAATCCAATAGTATAGTTTGTGTCTGTTTAAGAAAAGTCTATGCAGGATGGCATCATATAGTCCTACTTTCTATTTCATCCATAGCCAGCCAAATAGCTCCCTGAAATGTATTAGCAAAATAATATAAGTTTTCCCCAGCATTTACAGTAGTGGCCAAAATTGTGGAAACCTTTTGGGAAAAGTGTATTTTTGAGGTTTGATGCCTAATAACACCACTTTTTTTTTTTTTTTTTTTTTGGAGTTTCAAGATCATCATATTCCACTGCTGGAATGGCCTGGGAATAGCCCAGATCGTAACCCAATTGAAAATCTATGGAACCAACTAAAGAAACTTGTTAGTCAGAAGTGACCCAGCAATAAAAACCCAGTTAATAGAAGCAATCATTCAATCTTGGTTTCACATTATAACAGCTGCAGAACTAAAGACTTGGTTCACTCCATGGGAAAGCCGTAATTCATGCTAAAGGTTACCCAACTAAGTATTAACTGACATGATAATTTTTGTATATCTCATTTTTTCTATGATGATAATTTTTGAATTTCTCATTTTTTCTAAGTCTTTTCTTTTTTATACTGTAACTGCTATTCTAATAGCAAATCCTTCATAGAAGTTATTGCACTACATTCTTAATTAAATTATCTTTCCATTGATATATAATTTTATGGTACTACTCCAAAAAAAAGTGGTGTTAGCTAGTTTTAGAAAATACACTTTTCCCCAAACGTTTTCCACAATTTTGGCCACAACTGTAATGCCAAGTTTGTATACAGTCTCTTATTTTTTTTTTAAAAAAAAGCTTCTGAGGTGGGTAGGTAAGTAGGTAGGTAGACAGACAGACAGAATAATTGATTTTTAAAAACAGCCAAAATTTACATTAATATATTAATAAATATAAACCATCCTTGACCAGGATTGACGCCTACCAAAATAATAGTATATCCTTTCAGTGAAGGATTTGTGCCCATCTCCAAGTATCAGGAAGTCCATAGATGTGTGATAAGACCCATAGCTTCTTGAGTATTAAATACCAAAATACTCATCTTTTATTCTTAAAAACAGTTAAGTATTGGTTAACTGTTAAGGCATTAGCATTCTTGCATCAACATTTAAATCTCCAATAATAGAGAATATATGTAAATCAGGGTTGAAATGAAGGCTTCTTGCAGACATTTCATCATCATATCAGTGATGATATTACCTATTCTGGGTAAATTAAATGTCTGCAAGAAAACAACCAAGCTCAGACAAAATCTCCTTCCAAGATTAGATTTTCCTATCCAAATTTCTCCAAACATTTTTATAAAACCCATTTGAATTTGATCTGGGGTGTAAATGGGGTGGGGGTGAGCTAATATTAAAGTTCTATTATCAAATTTTCCCTTGAGAATAAGATAAATCTCCATCATTATCTTTTGCGATCTTTTTTATTTTCAATTCTATATTGGTCTCTAATTAAAATGGCCACTCTCTGGATTCATTAGCACTTTCAGCAAAAAAAAAAAAAAAAAAGCTTTTCCAAATTGCCTTTCTTAAGCAATCCTAACTTGTATGTTTCCCTCATCATCACTATTGATGCGTTAAAGGATATTATGTATTTATAGATATTCTCTTCTATTGGATCTTATATATTTGCTAATTCTAGTTCTTTTTAATCAAATCTCCCATTCCCCAACATTTAAAGATGCTGTTGTATTTTACATTCAGTCGTTTCTGCTTTATATTTCTCCAGTGTACATTTTGCTTCCCTAAATAAGGCATTGCAATAACAGCTACAAAGACATTACAACAGCAAGCAGATAGTTTGATTAAGTTGGAGTAGATTTCAGAGAAACCATTTAATTTAATTGTCCCCTTTCACCTGAACCCCCTCTTCTCCGTTCCATTGCCCTAATTCCCATCTAATCTCTCCCAA